CATTATGTCAATGTAAAATTATTTAAAAAGTATTTCAAAATATTCGTCAGTTATAATAAATCTTTTGTATACTAAAATCTTGTTAAGATATTCATCTTATCTGTCCCAATTCAAAACCCGCGCATGGTTCCTCCACTATGGGAGTCGTTCCTCTTATATGGCGTGTGTATCGTGTCTCGTGTTGTGTGTTCCCTTTTTGGCTGCGGGTGTTATCATAACTGATGAATATTTTGAAATATTTTTTAAATAATTTTACATTGACATAATGGCATGCAATGCAATAGATTAACGTAAATGGAGCACCTGATGATGGCACTATGTTGCCGAAACATGTTGTGAAGTGACGGGTGAAAGTGGANTGGGAGTCGTTCCTCTTATATGGCGTGTGTATCGTGTCTCGTGTTGTGTGTTCCCTTTTTGGCTGCGGGTGTTATCATAACTGATGAATATTTTGAAATATTTTTTAAATAATTTTACATTGACATAATGGCATGCAATGCAATAGATTAACGTAAATGGAGCACCTGATGATGGCACTATGTTGCCGAAACATGTTGTGAAGTGACGGGTGAAAGTGGATGCACTACAAGACGGCAACTGTATACATATCATGGACGAAAATCAGTGCAACAGGACGCTAAAATACAACATTATAGATCTTACACATTCGGTAGGACTCCTTGGGCGGGTGATCAGCTCGTCGCAAGGCCTCTACCTGTACACAAACACAGAAAAACGCACACAAACTAAACATCCATGCCCTGAGTGGGATTCGAACCCACGATCCCGGTTTCCAAGCGAGCGAAGACAGTACATGCCTTAGACCGCTCGGCTACCGTGACCGGCAGGGACAACTTTGCCTTTACCTTTATCTTGTAAACTATGTACTCTACGAAGGGGTAGGGACCACGCTTGTGTACACTATGCATTGTTCGTTTGATACCCGGTATGACGCTTTCGCATCCCTCTTTCACCGTGTGAATGGTTAAACTGAAATAAATGGGAAAGGCTATGTGGATGCTACCCCCGGGGGTTGGTTCCGTAGCGCAGGGCGCGCAGGGCGTGGGATGCCTGTGTGCGCGTAACGGAAAGACATCAGCTGTTACACGCCCACATGAGGGACAATCAGAACCAAGAGACCGGCTGTTTCTTGGTTCTGTTGCTGCTACTGCATTTTACGGTTGAAGAGTTGCAACAGATGATTTATGGTCCTTCTATCGATACCATTAATGTTCTTGGGAAACGGCATGAACAGAGCAAGGTTACATTAAGAATGCTAAAATGAGATGAAGTTGTATGAGATCGTGGAGGGATGACTCCACACATTCGTAACTTCGGCATTAGATTGAGGTGAGTGATCTGTTTTATGCCTCGGCCGCTTTATCCCCTCCGAAATGGCATCTGTAGCCAGGGGGCTGCTGGGTCCCCATAGTTAGTCTGGACGTTGTTGAAGACAGAAAAATTGATTCCCATCTTAAAGAAGAATGCTGATAATGGTCATCATTTTGTATTTATCCCTTTGAATGGATTCTGTAAAATTTATCATAATTGCGCACGTACGACTGCCACAGTGAGCTGTGAGGTATAGAAACATGGCGGGAACGTTAATATTTTTGTATAATTTCATATTTCACACAAATAAAAATGTTCGCATGTCCGTCTCATTAAATCATATGTCTATATTGTAGACACGGAACAGCGACGATTCATGGGTTTGTGTTATAACATCCTGAAGTAAAAAAAGTAAAGCTATCCCCGTACCAGGCCGTGAAGGCCCATAGGGCTGTGAGGCGTTGAGGGTCCCACATTGTCTAGGGCAATCGGCTCACGGATGACGGTGAGGTTGTCAGCCTTCCATAGACCTTTTTCCGTGGTCTAAGTAGAGTTAAACAATGGCAGTTGCCCAAATTTTATCATGAATATAGTTAGAGGGGAAGACAGGTATTTTAAAAGTAAGTAAAGCTATCCCTGTAACAGGCCGTGAAGGCCCATAGGGCTGTGAGGCGTTGAGGGTCCCACATTATCTGGACAATCGGCTCAAAGATGGCGGTAAGTTTGTCAGCCTTACGCACCGGCCGCGCTTCACTAACTTCGCAAAATTTTAAGAAGTCCTGTTGATTATACTTACGTTATTAAGAATCAGGTAACGAGATAAATGTTCCATTTTTCTTAATTTGTGTTTATTTGTAGACCAACTTTCATAAAGTTTCTACTAGACACAAGTAACCACTTCTGTTTTACAGTTCAGTGTACCTTCGCTTCCATCATACACCGTCCACGTTCCTCAGCCCATCCCAAATTTACGTCCACAGAGTGGACGGAATATTCGACTGAACAAAATTAAAACGTTATTACTTTTTTTTTTGCTTTCTTGGGGGCGGGGTGAGACTGAGTCCTCTTCGTACGTCGGCCACTAATTGGCTTATTCTACCAGCCCCAGATGATAGATGATGAGTGTGGAACAGTCGATGGAATGAGGATTGTCAGGGGAAACCGAAGTACTCGGAGAAAACCTGCCCCAATGCCACTTTGTCCACCATAAATCCCACATGACCTGACCTGGGCTCGAACCCGGACCGCCGCTCTGGAAACCCGGCGACTAACCTCCTGAGCTGTGGGATGGCTTTAAAACTGAACTAAACTTCCATGGATATAACTTGGAACCATATAAATAGTCTGCTTCCTCACAGATATCACAGTGTGAAGATAAACTGGTGATAAGAGTTTAGATTGCGGTTTGGTTAAGTAGCTGTGTCTTCCGGGGAACACAGTGTCTCGTTCTTCAAGACAGAAACCCGGTATGCTTCTGCCCTGAAGACTGAGGCACGTTCTTCCGAAAGGTGGTAATTTCGTGCGAAACTAGACGGTTCCGTAACTCACATTGCAGTCTAAATTGTCATCACTGTAAAACCCTCAATCCCAAGCAACTGTTTATGACGCAGTAGTTACTACCTGTAGGCCTACTACCCACTTTAACATACAAAGTCTTCATTTTGACCACACAATTTATTTCGCATAGCTCTTAAGGCGCGTCCACATTACTCGTGCTCGTGCTCGTGCTCGTGTGACTCGCTATGCTCGCGAGTAATGTGGACGATATGACATGTCACGAGACAAGAAAATTTTAAATTTTTAATTAAAAAAACTATAACCATTAAATTAAAATACGACTACACCCTATACACACTACGAGTCAATATACGGATCCTCACGCGCCGAAGCCTGGCGAGCAACTGAAGTAGTGTGGACGAAGATTTACGAGCACAAGTAGAAGCCAGACGAGTCTCCCGACGAGCACAAGCCTGGCGAGCACGAGCACGAGTAATGTGGACGCGCCTTTAGACTAAACAGCTAATATTTCCCAAGATGACATTAACCATGGGCTTGGAACCTGGTCTCTGACATTAAAGGAGGAACATAGACTGGGGGTGTTTGAGAACAGGGTGCTGAGGAAAATATTTGGACCGAAGAGAGATGAAGTGACAGGAGGTTGGAAAAAACTGCATAATGAGGAGCTTCATAACTTGTGCTCTTCTCCTAGTATAATTAGAATGATCAAGTCAAGAAGGATGAGGTGGGCAGGACATGTAGCACGAATGGGGGAGAGAGGAACGCATATAGGATATTGGTGGGAAAGTCCGAAAGAAAGAGACAACTAGGAAGACCAAAACGTAGGTTTGTGGACAATATTAAAATTGATCTTAGTGCGTTAGAATGGGATGGTATGGACTGGATCGATCTGGCTCAGGATAGGGACCAGAGGAGGGCTCTTGTGAACACGGTAACGAACCTTCGGGTTCCATGAAATGCTGCGAATTTCTGGAGTGGCTGCACAACTTGCAGCTTCTGAAGAAGGGCTCAACTTCTTAAGTAAGAACATTAACCAGATGGTCTGCACAATACAGACGTATTTCCTGTGAGGTAGGAACTGAATTCTTAATTGTGATTTGTGTTAATTTGATGCTTCAGCAGTTACGTATGAGTGAATGTAACGCGGTGTAGCCTATACGATTAACGAACGGGAGCCGGAGCGACTTGTTGATAGAGAACAGAGTGCATGGCGCCACATTAAATTTTATATGTAGGGGCTGAGATATTGATCCTTAGCGTCCCACGTACCACTCGACTAATATTGTGGGTTGTTCCTTCTTTCCCCTTCTACTGTCCATGGTTTATATCTCGTCCCAGGCAAGACCATCAAACTATCTCGCGCATCAAGAAAGGGGGAAGAGGAATGGGCTCACTCGCGGAGTCCGTCCCACTGCCGGCGGACACATACGCTGTCTGACTTTGCGGGTTACGTCATTAGGAGCGCATTGGAAATCGATAGGATAAAGCTCACTTTAAATTTTAAGTGATGAGATTGCTGACTTGTGTGTAGGTTAGCCTTATAATAACACGATCCATTTTTAAATCTGTTCTATATATTTGACTGGTGTCTATTTGCATATTAAAATGTTGATAATTCTGTTAATAAGTTGATTGAAAGAGATGGCAGCACATGCTGTGCGTGGGGGTGGATCTATCTGCTCATGCGCCAAGCAGCTTGTTGCGGCTGAACCCGTGAGTTACACTGATAGTTAAGTATGAATGGGGCATATGTCTTCCATACGGTTTACGGATAATTAACTTATCGAACAGTGATAACGCAGTAAGTATGTGTTTCTTGTTTGCGGTCAGATATTAGTTCACTTACAGGCCGCGATGACTGACAATGTGTTTTGGTATACGTGTTTTATAAACGTGAAATTAACACAAATCACCAGGTATATGTTGTCTTCTCCATTCTTTTAAAATAATTTATATGTGTGATCTGTGACATTTAGTTTTCCTCTTCTGATAGTGTGTGTTTACTTGTCATACTGTATCCTTGGTATCACAATATGTTGTTTGAATATTGACCTTCCTCCCAGCTGGCCTGGAACTGGGTCAGTAATTCTCTGTTGACGTTTCGACAATGCGACAATGTCAACTGACATTTGTTATTATTAATATATATACGTATATATGTATGTGTGTTTATTTAGTTACCGAATACCGGTGAGGAAACAAGGACAGAATGATACTCCAGGACTGAAGAATTGATTTTGGCATTATAGTTGGTCATGGCTTTGGATCTATATTTTGTGCCGTTTAACATTTAACGTATAAGCGCCAGCGTTTCATGTAGGCAATACGGTTTGTCTGTAGGATTACAATTGGAATTGTTTATTTAATTACGGGTAATATGTTGAAGTTTTTATATGATTTCTCTATATGCAAACACAACAATTATTGTAATACTTGAGTTTTTCACGGCGGTGATTATGAAGAATGTCATCTTCTGGGACGTGGCACCTTGTAGATCTTGTGTGAATCGATGTTTCGGAGGAACGTATCGCAGACTGAGTCTGTAGCCACCTGCTCACGGATTTTTCTACCATGATGATGGAGGCGATGTGTTCCTCCGAAACGTCGGTTCACGGAAGATATACACGGTGCCACATCCCAGGAGACGGCATTCATCACAACAATTATTATTTTACACATAATTTGCTGCATTAATTTTCTAGACTATCTGCTGTCATAAGAAAGGAAAATATTCCAAGTATGTTGTAATTATTATTATTATTGTTATTATCATCACCACCACCACCATCATCATCATCATCATCACCATTGTCATCATTTTCCATTTCGGGGTAATCCGGCCAGAAGTACAGTGCAAAGTGAGGTATGATTTCAACTGTTTGCCAACCAGAGGAATAATAATTGTGCTTGGCATTCTTTATCTCACAGCACCTCATCCATCACATTATTGTGATGATGATTATCATCATCATTATGCTGTTGTACGTAACGAAGCTGTCACTATCGAGAATAAAAAGCATGAAAAAATAGAATGATAAACGAATGTGGGGAAGTCGACAGAATGAGAACTGGCAGGGTAAACTGAAGTACTCACGTTCCCACCTCATGAGTCGTAGTACGCGGGTTCAAATACCCGGCGGAGGTCGTTGAATTTTTAAGGGCGAAAAAATTCAAGGAACAAGTCCTCCGGGAGGGACTTTAAGCCGTGGGTCCCGTGTCGTAGCTTTACGGCACGTAAAAGAACCTCATACCTCTAAAGGAGGTCTCTGAGCCAAATTAACGGACGTTTCCCGCCCAACAGCAGTCTCTAATACCTCCGGTAGATGGGGGAAGCATTATAGATACCTCTCAGCTAGTAGAGCCGGTCTCGCTGGCTGGTCGGGACTGATGGTAAGCACCAGTACCGGTAGGATATAGAGACTGGTAGAAATCATAAGAGGGAAGCACAATGGACCAATACAGGTCTCAGTGCATGGGGAAACCCACCCTCTCCAATAACTAACTAAACTGAAGTACTCTGAGAAGACCCTCCTATACCAATTTGTCCACTACATAGATACTTCATGATCTGGCCTGGGGTCGAACCCGCGCCAGTGCTGTGGGAGGCGGACGGCTAACGGCCTGAGCTATGACCAGGCCATCGCTATTAAAGAATGATACATCATTCAGTAAGGTTACTAGGTGGGAATAGGAAGCCAGCGTTGAGTTGCCGAACTAGTGCTGTAGGGATCCACCTATACTCTATTCTGAATGTCTACGGATTCCATGTAAACAAAACGCCGTCGATAGGCGATGGCGTGCTTGCTTCTTATTGGCTTACAGTCCGGGGAAGTACTCCCAGCAGGGTACAAAAATGCCTCTCTTTATTGCAACAATAGTAAGTTAACTTGACGCTGTAGGCTCTGCTTCGCTGACGGTGTATACGGAGCAGTCCGAGCTTTGTGAACTACGCGGTACCTTGTCCCGCTGCGTGTGTCTCATTTGCTTGCATGCGCTCCGTAGACATTACGAATGAAGTATAGTGTCATGCTTCGGGTACACTGTGATTCAGGGTCAGGGCACGGCGCCCTTTCCACCCCACCCTTTATTATACCACGGTATATAAATGTCTATATTAAAATAGAACGTAGAATGGACCCTCGTAACGTCCAATTCGGACGAATTTACCGTTCCCCGAATATAAAGCGTCCCCCAGTTTTGAAAGGTATTGAAGCAACATCGTTACACGTATTTTTATGCGACCTATTGGATAGTCTCGAAATACAAATAAAAATTATGGATCTATTTTTTTTTTCTGAAATACGATGGGGTACCCAAAAGAAAGGGAACTATTTTTTTTTGTGGGCAGAGCTTTTGTAGTACCGCGTTTTGCCGCTATGAGCGCATAGAGCTAACATTCCTGAGTCGATAAGCCGACTACCGTTGCTTCAGAAGGTAAGGACTAGTTTCGGCAGAGTTTATAGTGACAACTGTTTTGTGTGATCGTCGTTTTTGCAATGGCTGATTTTCGTGAACAGCGTGCGGCGGTGAAATTCTGCTTTTTGCTCGGGAAAAGTGGAACAGAAACTCTTGAAATGTTAAAAACGGCGTACAAGGACGATGCTATGGGGAAAACTCAAGTGTTTGAGTGGTTTTCCCGTTTCAAANCCTGCTCACACAGCCCTGTCTGTACGATAATTCTTGACCAAAAATTGTATGACCCCTGTTCCTCACCCTCCATATTCACCCGACCTTGCCCCGTGCGACTTTTTTTTTTGTTTCCTCGAATGAAAAGAGACATGAAAGGAAAAAACGACGGAGGCGCTGTCAAGCATCTCAAAAGATGAATTTAGACAATGTTTTGAAAAATGGAATAAAAGACTAGACAAGTGTATTAGTGTAAGTGGAGAGTACTTTGAAGGGGATTGAAGGTTTGTTCTTAAAATTTGAATAAATCAGTTTAAAAAAAAGTTCGGTTTCTTTTGGGTACCCCCTCGTATTTCGTTTACCCTTTTGAAGTCTGAACACGACACCTCCAGAATGGTAAACAGGAGTGCCTGCCACTTGATCGAGACTTTCATTGTAAGCAAAAAAGAAAAGTAAAGGTATCTCTGTAACAGGCCGTGGAGGCCCATAAGGTTCTGAGATGTTGAGGCTCTCACATTTTCTAGACAATCGGCTCACAGATGGCGGTGAGGTCAGCTTTACGCTCCGGCTGCCCTTTACCCCCGGGAATATTCCTGGTACTCGTTTCTGTTAGAGGCTGAGTCAACCCCAGGGCCATAGTGCCCCTGGAAGGATTAGGTAAATTGAAAAATCCACCTCATTGGTATTCGATCCCGCGCCCTTCCGGCTTGTAGCATAGTGTCTCAACCAACTGCGCTACCGCATGTCCCAGGCTTTCTTTGTACTTTGTTAATAATTCTCCTTTGTCATTCTTATTTCATAAGAAAATAATTATTTCACGGATGTGATTAGGCAGTGCACTGAAGAGTGGATAAGCCAAGAAATGACAAGAAACAATTATTTTCCGTTTTTCTTTGCTTACATCCCATTCTTAAGGAAGAAAATCAGGCTTGTGAAATGACAATGTTATCTGTGTGGCCCCTCGTTCAACTTTCGAACCAATTGACCAATTTTCATTAAATTTGGTACTACGCGTGCTATTAGAGGCTAACATCAACCTCTTAATTTTTAAATATCGACAATCTGTAATAAAACATGGCGGTTTCACGAACTTGTGAGGTGGAAGCGATAACAGCGCAGCTTAGCAGATGGTCCTGAAATGATTAACGACAATATAACTTACAAAAATACGCGACTGTTGTTCATAAATGAAAATAAATCAGTGCTGATAAAACGCAAAAGAAAAAATGGCGGCTGCGTTCCTGAAGACCTAACGTAATTCAAGAAAAGAACTTTTTGTGATTCGCATAAAGTGAGACTCGATATTTTTCATTTCGCATTATTTCAAATTCGCATAAAATGCTACCGCTCTGTAATGACTTTTGGTTTGCTGATGTTAACTAAAGAACTTATGTTTATATTGGAACCGTTCATACAAAAGTTAATTAGGAGGATACAGTTCAATAATTAACTGATTGGGACATGTGTATCAGCATACTTATCAATTTATTAGGTAACTGTCACGCCTGAGTCAGTTAATACATTCATTGTTATACTGATGCACACTTGTCATTCATTTAATTATAGAACTGTAACCTCTTAATTAATTGTTGTATCAACGGTCCTAATATACAAATTTATATATAGATGAAGATTTTTTTTTTTCCTGTGGCGCTACAGCCCCAATTTGGGCCTAGGCCTACCTCCATGAAACTCTCCGTTTCACTTCGGTTTACTAGATCTTACACATTCGGTAGGACTCCTTGGGTGAGTGATCAGCTCGTCGCAAGGTCTCTACCTGTAGACAAACACAGAAAAACGCACACAAACATCCATGCCCTGAGTGGGATTCGAACCCACGATTTCGGTTTCCGAGCGAGCGAAGACAGTGCATGCCTTAGACCGCTCGGCTACCGTGACCGGCTATATAGATGAAGAAGCCAAACACTAAAGTTAAACCGAAGAATCGTTGAAGCTATGATCACAATAATTGGTGTAGAGCTAGCTCATAATCGTACATACAGATTAGGTACGAAATAATTTACCGTCGATAACAAACATGGCGGCCGTGCGAAGTTTTAACGTCATGTCCGACAATTTTAAAATATTTAGGTAATATCTAAATAACAACATTTTCTGAAAATGACAACTGCGACGACAGCAGCAGAAACAAAAACAATGATATTGATGATATTATGAATAATGAATTAATTCATTCATTGATGATATTAACACTAGTAATAATGACAAGAATTCTGACAAAAACAGCAACAAAAACAACAGCAATATTATTAAAAATCAACAAGAAACTGCAGTAAATTAAAAATCTGATTTGACTAAAATTCAATCTTATGACCGTCTGTGTACGAGTCCAGGATGATAGCACACAAGATTAGGATATAATGAATTGTATTGTAGAATTATAAATTTGTGCTTTCTCAGTAAGGTTTGATTACACACGGTAATATGTTAATAACGCTTTGCAATCCATATTCAAGATGCCGCCGTTCGTCCCCGCAGACCTGCAAGGAGGCAATTATAGCGTCAGCACTCCAATATATTAGTACACCAGCATCATAATGTTTGAGGGCGTTGTTGCAACGATTCTGAACCGGTACCTTGGCAAGTACATTCGAGATCTCGATACTGAGAACCTCAATGTTGGTATCTTCAGCGGAGATGTTCAGCTGACAGAGTTGATGTTGAAACCTGAAGCTCTGGTTAGTATTTTCCTTTAGCTTTATAATATACAGAATAATATATTCTGGAATTTGACGCCGTTAAGTCTGGTGGAAGTCTACCGACGTCTGACAGGAACATACTGCCTCCATCTTTAGTGTTAGGTAGACTGAACACCGGCGCGCGTCAAGACACGATGTCTACGACATGACGCAAAGAGAGGAGCACAGTTGGAACGAATCAGATTATGAAAACCACCGCACACCGGTCTGAGTCAAGATGCTGACGTCAGCTTCATGCTGATGAATCACGAATTAAGAAGGACTGCGTCTTTTGTCTCATGCCTTGAGGCTTGTCTTGACGCAGTTGGTGTGTGGCCGCCCTTAAAGGCAAGCAACAAACAAGCAGCAAAGTTTTTTGTACCCTTTTAATGATGGTTACAGGATTGTCTTATTTCAAAGTAGACTGTCATATTCTTGAACTTGGGATATAAACTCACGTCTGAGAGATAATACTGTGAGATATATTCTCAGAACCATTGTTTTATTTGTGTTGAAGAGTCAAGTCTTGCTCAAGAGCAGCAATCTAACACAGCCAAATTTCTCACAGTATTAGCATATTCATTACCAACTTAACTTTTATTAGGTGTGCATTGATACAATTGTGACCGCCTATGTGGTCTAGTGGTCAGAGTTCCTGGCTACAGATCCAAAGGTCCGGGTTCGATTCCCGCCCCTACCAGATTTTCTGAGAAGTAGTGGGTCTGGAACGGGGTCCACTCAGCCTCGCGAGGATAATTGAAGAGCTATTTCAAGGAAATTGCGGCTCCGGTCTAGAAAACCGAAATTAACGGCCGTGGGGATTCGTTGCGCTGACCACGCGACACCCTCTATCCGCTGAAGTTGGCACTAATTTCGCCGACAAGCGGTGGTCGCTCAGTCGGTATAGTTCGGTTGCGGACTTAAACCACGGAGTTTTTTTGATACAATGGTAACAGCACATGTATGTGGTCCAGCGTGTCAAGCATTGCATTTTTTCAACATTACAGTGGAACTTTCATTCAGCATTCTTAATTATACATAAAAAGGTAAAGTTGTCCCTGTGCTTAACTAAATAAGCACTATGCCATGAAGGCGTATGGGGGAGTGGAAGTATAGACACACGTTTTCTTGACCTCAGCAATAGTTGGAGGTGAGTGTTCAGCTTCAGGCCCAGGCCGCTTCACCCCTGGGGAAAGAGCACCTCATACCCAATGGATACGAGGCTGGGTGGGCACTAGAGCCAGTCTGGATGACATGGAGATGTGAAAATTTTTGCCCCCACTGGTACTCGAACTTCGACCACTTGGTCGCCCAGCCTGCAGCCAATCGCTACACCGACTGCGTTATTCCGGCTCTATCCATATACACGAGGGTAAGTCAATAAGTAAGTTACAAATGGATATAGAACTTAAACAAATAAGAGTACTGATTTGAAAAATGCTTTTATTTCTCAACATAATCTCCCTGTACATTGAGGCACTTGTCCCATCGTTTCACACACCCCTGAAAAACAGCAACATAAAATTCTTTGGGCTGATGTTGTAACCAGGAGGTAACTTCCCTTTCTACAGCTACATCGTCGGGAAAATATTCGGCCGAAAGATGATGTTTTAAGAGGGCCGAACAAATGGAAGTCGCTTGGAAACTTCGTAAGGCCATTCAACAGAAACGACCAGGACTCACCAAAGGCATGTTGCTCTTGCATGACAATGCACGTCCCCATTTTGCCAAGAAGACTAATGAGACTGCGAAATTTCAACTGGGAAGTCCTCGAGCATCCTCCATATAGCCCCAACCTTGCTCCAAGCGACTTCCATTTGTTCGGTCTTCTTAAACATCATCTTTCGGCTGAACATTTTCCTGACGATGAAGCTGCAGAAAGGGAAGTCACCACCTGGTCCCGACAGCAGCCCAAAGAATTTTATGCTGCTGGTTTTCAGGGGCTTGTGAAACAATGGGACAAGTGCCTCAATGTACAGGGAGATTATGTTGAGAAATAAAAGCATTTTTCAAATCAATACTCTTATTTGTTTAAGTTCTATATCCATTTGTAACTTACTTATTGACTTACTTACATATATAGGCATTTTCCATTGGTCCTAGCCAAAGTAAATTTCTACCAGATTACATGGCGCCACATTCCATAGGATAACATTCTTTCTAGTCACTAGTGTGGGATCTTGAACTTTACTGTATTTGTAATATACAGTTGCAAAATCCTGTCCCCCCCCCCACACACACACCCCACCCTATTGCATATAACCTCTCTATTGATCAATTCATACACATTAAACCATAATTTAGTTGAATATCTTTTCTAGCAACCACAAGAATTTTTTTTTTTTACAAAATACAGAAGTTTAATCCTGACAGAAAAATATGTACCTCCAACTGCTAACAACTCTAACTACTACATAATGACCATTCTTCTTAAACTTGCAGTACGAGCTTGATATCCCAATAGAAGTGAAAGTTGGTACCATTGGAAGAATTAGTTTAAGTATTCCATGGACTGGGCTGTACACTCAACCTGTAACAGTGACATTAGAGGTAAGGAGAATATCACATCTTGTGAAACATAGCAGGTAATATGTGTATGCTGTTATTGGTGGGTCTTTGTTGATTTTGCCAGACAGGATTCATATAATTAGTAACAAGTTATGAGCTGAGTGGTTCAGTCTAGTGTGCCCTTCTAAACAAGATCACTTCTTTGTAAATATAATATATAAATGCATGCATGCATGCCTCAACTTACATGATATAGACTTATGCTAATTTCATATTAACACTATTTAATATAATTTTATTTTCTTAATCTACTGTTTTAGTCAGGAGTAAAAGATAATGAAATTTTCTGTCTAAAACAATATTAGCAATTGTAAACTGCTAGAATGAATAGTATTAAAATTAACCGAATTAAGTGTTTGAAGGTGATGAAATCAAAGAAGTAATAATAAAAGAAGAAAATTTCGTGTTAAGCATTTCTAGTTATCCAGAAAATGAAGCAATAATTACACTTCTCATCAATGCATTTGGAATATACTACACTTATACAACTGTCACTTTATGAACATTATTGACATCTTTCGATCACAGTTACCATCCTTCTCTATCTGTCCACCATGTCCTCCTCCTAGCCTTTCCTCAGCCATTGCAGTGCAGATTTTCTTCATCCTTCTAACATTTCGTTTTCCTTCCGTCTTCAAAACATGCTACATATATATGCGGTTCTATAAGTCAAGCAAACACCATTTCTATTGCTTCTTGGTGAATTTACATTAAGTAATATTCATACACAAAATGCTCTCTCTGTCATTATACACAGTGTTCAGTAAATCTATCATCATACACACTGTTCAGCAAATCTATCATCATCAACATTGTTCAGAAAATCTATCATCATACACACTGTTTTGGCAGATTTGTTATCATACACAGTGTCCAGCATACACACTGTTTAGCAAATCTGCCATTATATACATACTGTTCAGCAAGTCTATTATGATACACATTGTTCAGAAAATCTATCATAAGCACCATTCGCAAGTCTATCATTATACACACTGTTCAGAAAATCTGCCATCATACACACTGCTTGGCAGATCTGTCATCATACACAATGTCCAGACATTATACACACTGTTCAGAAAATCTCCTGAAATAATTCATTTAGAAATTTGGTAACAACAATTTTATGTGTAAGTAAACTAAAAATTCTGATGGTCTGTAATGTCACTTGTTGAGATTTTACTGTTACATTTTTGCAAAGAAAAGCAATAAATACTGAACAATCTATGTGATACTTACAGAGTACACTGTACAATTGTATTATATGGAAATTGTGTTTCAGGATGTCTATGTGATTACTGGGCCTATTGTTGACCGCCCCTATGACCCCGAAAAGGAGAAGAGGTTAATTCGAGCAGCAAAGAAGAAGAAACTGGAAGATTTAGAAGGGGAGAGCTTACTGGGGACAGGTTTGTTTATTATCTTCACTCGCAGAAATCATAAAGTATTTATTTAATAACTGAACTCAAGATGGTATCTGATATGTAACCTGCTTTCCAATTGTGTTCTTAATATTTTCTACATTCTGGATAAGCTATAGATCAGCATGGACCAGTTTGTTTGTGTGTGTTTAAGCTGAAATTTTTGCAGGCCTTCCTGATGCAAAAACATTTCTTGAGAACTTGATAACTACAGTAATCAACAATCTCCAGATATATGTTCGTAACATTCATGTTCGTTATGAAGACACAGTTACGAACCCAGATTGTTCCTTTGCCTGTGGGATCTGCATCCAGAGTGTATCAGTGGAGACAACTAACAAGTAAGTGCTTTTACACAATTTACTGTATGAAAAATGGAAGGAAATGCCTCATCAGGAGGTGGCACACTTTTTTTTCTTTTAAAACACATTGTATATTTCCCTTACATGTAGTTATCAAGGTAGAGTAAGTACTGCAGGCTTATAAAATTGAACTGACATTAGCATTTCACCGACAGTAACCGAGAGTTTGTGCCTAATATGCAGAAACATATTTTGGTACTTGAGTGTGAACTTATCAAAAATGTACTGCTGTTGGCACGCTGGATTAGTTGTAATCTTTTGTATGGGCTGTGTAGTTTGGTTCAGTATATAACAGCAGTAAGGTAAGTAAGTAAAGCTATCCCTGTAACAGGCCATGAAGGCCCATAGGGTTGTGAGATGTTGAGGGTCTACATTATCGAGACAATCGGCTCAAAGATGGCAGTAAGGTTGTCAGCCTTATGCGCCAGCCGCGCTTTACTCCCCAGGAAAATTATTTATTTAATTCCTGGTACTCATTTCTGTTATAGGCTGAGTAAACAGCAGTACAATCTGAAAACATTTATTCTCACTGTGATCCTTGTTTAAAGATATTTTATTTTATATTTTTCGAAAGAAGTAAGTCGGAAGTTACTTAACTGCTTTTCAGTATATATAACTAAGATTATTTCACAGGATCTTATGTGATGATGTTTTCAGAAAGTGAGTAAAGGAATATGGTCAAGAACACTGTCATCTTTGTACATAATCCTGCCAATAGTCCAACAGCCTCCAACTTTCCTCATTCACCCTTTCATGCAAACCCAAGTGCAGGCATGCACTACCAGGTTCTTATCATGATGTCGCTTGTTCAAAAAAATATTTTGTTCCACTATGACTTGCAAAATTTTTATTAGTGCTGTTACACAATATTCTATATTTATTACACTTATAATATGTAATTTTATCCAGTGCTTTGTATCAGTATAAACTTGGTATTTTGGTAAGAAAATCTGGAAGTAAAAGACCATTTATAAGTCCTATGTATGAAGGATTTATAAACGGTCGTTTCCCTCCAGAGTGAAGATAAAGGTAAACTTGTGTCTGTGCTTGAGTAATCACTACATCATGTGGGGAGTGGAGGTATAGCCACAAGCATTCTTATCCTTGGCACTTAACTGGAGGTGAGTGGTCTGCTTTAGCTCAGTGAAAGGGGTCATGGCACAAATGGATAGGCTGAATGTGTTCCAAAGCTGGCCTGGGCATGGTGACAAAGGCGTTTGCTGAGAATAAAAACTTGTTCGTCCACATTATAGCCCAGTCACTACTCTGACATAGCAGCCATAGTTCTCAGATAATAATGAAGGACATATTGCAAAATGTAGTGTAAATGTGTGGAATGGATTCATTTGTGTTAGGATATGGACCAGTCTTGGGCTCCCATGAACGCAGTGATACACTTTTGGGTTCCATAAAAACAGGAAATTATTTTGAATAGCTGAGCAACTATTGGCTTCTCAAGATGGGTTTTGCTGCATGATGTTAGTTCTAACTTGATATCTCACAGTAAGTGAAGAAGACAGACAAGGGTATTTGAGAACATGGAGCAGAGGAAAGTATTTGTACCTAAGTGACAGGAGGGAGGAAGAGATTAGTTGACGAGATTCATAATCTGTATTCTTATAAAAATAAAGTAATAAATAAAGCTACCCCTGTAACAGGCCTTGGAGGTCCAAACAATTATGAGATATCAAGGTTCCCACATTTTATAAACAATCAGCTCACAAATGGTGGTGAGGTTGTCAGCCTTACATGCCGGCCACCCTTTAACCCCAGGAAGATTCCTGGTACTCATTTCTTTTAGAGGCTGAGTGGACGCCAGGGCCATAGTGCAGCTGGAAGAATTAGGTCGACTGAAGAATTCAGTGACCTCACTGGGAATCGAGGCTGCACCCTTCTGGCTTGTAGCAAAGTGCCGCAACAAATTACGCTACTGTGTGCCCCCACCTATACTCCTGCTGAATATTATTACAGTCAATAAAGAGAGTGAAGTGGACAGGGCATGTAGTATGCTTGGAAGAAATGAAAAATACATATTTTAGTTGGAAAACCAGAACAGAAGAGATCACTAGTAAGACCTTGGCATAAATGTGTGACTGATATTAACATGAATCTTCATCCATGTTACTGTATATAAGATTTTTTGTACAATTTTTTGTTTATTCTAGTAAATGGAAGCCTTCTATTACACCACAAGGGGCAACCTCCCTGTATCAACTGGTTCGAATGGAATCATTCTCTATCTACTGGAACCCTTCATGTGGTGTAGGAGGCCTTGTCACTGACTTAATTGGTCCTGGGTGTGCACCCTATGGCTGGCGAAATGAGATGAGGAGAGGTCTGGAGACTTTCAGCATCAACAAAGAAGACTTCGACTTCAGTAAGTATCTGTCCTCACTTCAACTGACTGACCCCATGGAGCCTTGCCATCCTAATACTTGTTCAGCTACTCAAGAAATTCCCAGCATTTTATGGAACATGAAAGAAATTTCATTACCGTGTTCACATGAGCCCACCACTGGTCCCTGTTCTGAGTGAGATAAACCCAGTCTACAACCTCCCTTCCTGCTTGTTTAAGATCGCTCTATGGCCAGGTCATCCTAGTAGCTGCTTTCCTTTAGGTTTTTGGAACAAATTTTTGTGTGCGTCACTTGTCCCTACACAATCTGAACCGTTGAAGATAAGGCAAAGTTGTCCTTGTGCTTAATTAATTAAGCACTATGCCTTGAAGATATATAAGGGAGTAGAGGTATAGCTCCACTAGTCTTGACCTTGGCACTAGATGAGAGGTGAGTGGTCAGTTTCCCACCTTGGCTAGTTTAGAAACAGCCTGTCATACCCATTAGCTAGGAGGCTGGTTGGGCCCCAGAGCTCGCCTGGATGCTGTGGCATAAAGACAGATCTCTTACTCCTGCTGGGAATCGAACCCCAGCTTTCCAGCCTGTAGCCCATCATTATATTGACAGCTATCAAAACTCTCAATACATGAATGTTATTAACATAAGCTCCAACGTTTATATTTATTTCACACAATGTACTGAGACTTTTAATTTAAAATTAAAATGAAAAGTTCTACCTAGGGGTGCTTAAAAATCAATTGTTACTTAAAATATCAGGATCCTGCCATGAAGGACACCAATTTTATGACTCTTAATGGAGGTAACATTTATCTTATGTATATACTTATGGCATAGGGAGCATGCAGTAGCGTAGTGGTTGAGGGGCTATGCTACAAGCCGGAAGGTTGCGGCTTCAAGTCCTGATGAGGTCATTGAATTTTTTTCAGTTGACCTAATCCTTCCAGCCGCACTAGGCACTGAGGTTTACTCAGCCTCTAACAGAAATGAGTACCAGGAATTAATTAAATAATTTTCCTGGGGAGTAAAGCACGGCCGACGTGTAAGGCTGACAACCTTACCGCCATCTTTGAGCCGATTGTCTAGATAATGTGGGACCCTCAACTTCTCACAACCCTATGGGCCTTCACGGCCTGGTGCAGGGATAGCTTTACTTTTACTTTTCATATACTTATGGCATAACCTCTGATGATATGGCATTCATACTGAGGTCTGTAAACACAGGGGTAGATCGAGAGACTTGATTGCCAGGTGGCCAGTGTAAAAGTGGAAACCTTAATGGGGGGGGGGGGCAGGAAGAGGAGGAAATTTTAGGCTCACTTTTTGGAGGGACATATCACCTCTATCTTCATGGTTGAAGAGTAAGCCAAGCAAGAGACTAACAAACGCAGGCAGAAAGCTAAATTTAATTTTCAACACTGAAATTGAAATTATAGGTTCCTCCATAGTGTCAGGCCCTCAGTAAACTACACAGTGTGTATTATAAACCCACAAGACCCTACTCTTCACCGTCAAACCAATTTGTACTATATTCATTTGAAGGTTATAACTGATGCATATTTACAAAACATATGAGATGAGTTAGTAACCGTTGCATGAAATATTCTGTTTCGTTACATATAGTGTTTGATATAAATGTTCTGTTTTATTTGTGAGGCCAACATATTGTCACTACATCAACACTGCTGTGATTCACACAACACCATTTGTACTTTGGATTCTTCACCAAGGTCTTCACTCTCACTCTGTCGCCAACCTTGATGGGGTGTAGACTCGGGTGGGAAGGTGGGAACCCTAGAAGCTCAATGTGGATAAACCTTACCCCGTATGTGCTGCCCTTATTGTTAAGTATACAGTAAATAAGCTAAGACTACTGTCTTTGGGATGTGACACCATGTAACCTGGTAGAAGTTTACTAAGGAATGTACTGCATATTTCTAGCTTGGCTTAATATTTTACCCCAAAGATGGAGGCATTACCTTCCTCTCAGGTGTATCTCTCAGACTACATGGCTGCATATCACAGAAGATAGTACACTTCATATTCACTGCTGTGAGTACCTAATATATCAAATAAATAAATAAATAAGATTTATGGTCAAGAAGTGAGTGGTTAGTGTCATGCTCAGATCTCTTTACTCCAAGAGAAAGGGCTGAAGAATCCTGTGCAGTCTAGGTAGGCTCAGGCGTCATTATCAATATGATTGTGATGATGAATCCCTGTGATTGAGCCTGGAATTGAACCTAGGATCTCTGATCTATAACCCATCCCTTTAGCCAGATCACAACAGACTTCTCACAGTTTTATGCTTATTACTCACTGTTTTCACAGTATAAAAGAAAAGAACGCAATTGCAGTTGATTATGTCCATCTGTCTACATGTTTCAACCCCAGACCTACTACATGTACACTCGTAAAATGTATGATGTTATGTCATTGGAGGCTTCCCCCAGATTCATACTTTTTAATTCTGTACATTTGTTTATACCAGTGTGGCAAATGCATCAATTGCAAGATGGGACACTACTACACCCACTGAACAGTGGCAACCTTGGTGACCTTATTAATTATGTGGCTGTATTATGTTCTTAACATTAATGAGGTTATTGTTCTTCCTTATATCTAGTTGTGAAACCAATCACTGCTAAGATGAAGATCATTGTCAATAAGTCAAATGAAGCTCGTGTCCCAAAACTGTTGGTAGACTTCGTTCTTCAAGATGCTGCAACCCAACTCTCTCGTCAACAATACCTCTCCATCTTAGGCCTTACTGAATCTTTCAAACGTATGAATATCAACAGGTAATACAGTTTGCACCAGACATATGCAAATCTTGAATTTCGTGATTGGACTGAGACAAATTTCCTTGATGTTGATTTTTTTTTGTTTTGAGAATTTAGATCCTCATCCATAAAAATCTTAACAGTTGATAACACTAGAATGAAGTAATATATCAGCAGAATCTACCTGTCCCCCCTCTCTTTGTCCCTCCCTTTTTCTGCTCATGGTGAAAAATAACACAGCCCTAGAATTGAATTTTTTTTTTCAGATTTAATATTTGTGGAAAATTTTCATTAAAGCAGAGTGTGATATCAAAGGGGAAGAGTAAAAGAATTTAGTGCATTGTGGAAAGTGGCTTGTGTTCTATTACAATGAAAAAAATTATCCGGTAGATAAAATTCTTGATTCCTGAAATTTTCCAAAATGTTCATCTTGATTGTGTTTTGAACTGAAACAGTGATTCTCACTCATGCACGCTTCTTATTTAAGCTTTTACTAGTAACCCCAATGATATAAGATTTCCTGTGCAAGTGCATTAATTGATTTCTTTTTATAGAAATTTCCGGCAGTTTCATCCGGGTGTGCCAGTCTGCAATAACATACCAAAATGGTGGAAATATGCATATGATTCTGTTCTGGAGCAGAGAGTCCGGCCCTACTCCTGGCAGCGCATTAAAGCACACAGGTAATGGTCTTCATTTACAAATGTTCACAACTAGAGTTCTGTCAAAGCCACATGTGGAGCAGGTTGGGTCATAACTTCGTGGTTGATTGAGTAGTGCTACAGCTTCATATTCAAGAGGTCTTTGGCTCAAATCACTGCCCAGAGACTGGCTATTCACGTGTTTAAAGCTTTAAGGTTTAAAGGTTTAAGGGCAGAGCCCATGTGGAGGTGGGTCCTAATACCTCCGCTGTAGCCCTGTGAGTCGTAGGAGGAGATAAATAGGGAACCAAGTGAGAGGGGACATGACTAGGCCACCATGTTCCTGGGGGATATAAATATGGGGACCTGGCCCTCCAGGTTGGTAGAGTCTTGAATCTGAAAGAGTAAAATATGGTCATGAGTCCCGTAGGACTCAGACCCAAGAATGACTCTGCTGACAACAGCCAGCAGCAATTGTAAATGACAGACACGTCCTCCTTCGGAGAGGGTGCCCCACATCAACGAACTTGCAACTGCCTGACAGTAACAAAAATCTGGCCTTCGGCCCCAGATGGGGCTTCAAATCAAGATAGATTAGCTGACTGATCATTGGTCATAACATAGCTTTGACTTTGAGTCTTTAAAGGATTAAGTGGTAACTGCCTCTTGCTGCTTATTTTGAAGTTAATAGTGTGATGATTTTTTTATTTCAGAGAACATTATCGAAGTTACAAGAACACATACAAGAGAACACTGCTAAGTCCCAACGATACAGAGCTGAAATTGGACTTACAGCTGCTGGAGGACCAGCTTGCAATTGTAGACATCGTAGTTGCTAGAGAACATGCCAAGATTGAGGTTTGTTTCCATTTTCAAACAGTTTTTCTCATCCAATGAAATAGACTATATAAGAGAGTAACAAAACTTTCACAGATCTAAATGCATGAAAATAAATAACGCAGCTCAGTTGGTATAGCAATGAGCTGTGGGCTGGACAGACAGGGTTCAATTCCAGATAGGGGCAAGAGATTTTTCTCTACTCCACAGTGTCCTTACTGTCCATACCAGCTATGGGGCCCAACCAGGCCTCTCTACAATTAGCACCAGGGGCTCATTACCTGTGGGTAAAATGGCAGGGCCCTGAAGTTAACCCCTCATCTCCATCTAGTGCCAGAATCAAGAATGATGGAGCTGTACCGCCATTTCTCATTTGTCTTTATGGCACAGTGCTTGCTTAAGCACAGGGGCAACATTACTCTAATAAATAACAAAACTTCATTAATTTGAAATCAAATAACAAGCATTGCACACATACAAAAACAAATAAATAATGAATATTTAAGCAAGAGTTGAACGATTCTATATATATCGTTTTGTTAAAGGGAGTTTAACATTTTATGTTACTTGGAAATTTTTCTTGGCCATGAAATTTATAGGTGATGTATGTTTTCACAACCATCCATAGTTTCTGAAGACTGAATTGACTACACCTGGAACATAATTGGAAGTTTATTTTACATGGTTAGTAATGATAAGTGACTTTTACTTTTTAAGGTGTTGAATTGCCTTCATAATGCTAACATCTATGGGTATGAACCCTGGGACTGAAGATATTAATAGCACATTTACATCTGATACATCTAAGTATTAGTATAGTGGATTATTTACTCACAACAGATGAGAAAATAAATGATGTGTCTTGTCATGGATAATTTACTAATTGGTTCTTTGAATTAATTGTTTCTTTAGTTTCCAATTTTATTCTGTAAATTAATAGATTGAACACTCAGATACACGTAAGTCACACCTCATTAATTTTCACTGAATGGATCATCTTTAATTTGTGTTTACTTTATGGTTTATTTAATGACACTGTCAGTATCTCAGAGACTAGCATCAAACTGTCTGATGAATAATGAATAATAAATTTGAAAGACTGTGAAAGGAAGTACTTTTGGCCTAATTCGAGGTCCTGCCTTGACAGTTGTCATCAGGGACTGAGAAATACCCAGAGAAAACCTCAGTCAGGATAATTGGTCTCTGGAAACCTCGAGAATATGAGTCAGAAGCATTACTGCCTAATCAGATTTGCTCGTTGATTGTCTTTGTTGAAGGATTGTTTAGTTTTTCAGCAGTGCTTTCTTTATCTGAGCAGATATTTTAATATAAAGGAGATGAGAAGGTGAGTGGGTAAGAATTTGGAAGGAAGTGTTAATGAGCTATTTCAAAGTACTATCTGAAGATATAACAGAGATACAGGATGTTAAGTAATCTGTTGCATAATCTTGCCACTGAATGTGGTAGCAGCAGCTGTTAAACTGATGTGCAAATATATCATTGGAGTTCTGGATGCAATTTGAATCCTGACTATCAGTCTCTTTTTTAATTACATGAGTATATACTACTCTGTCCAAAAAGTATCAGACCTTGGGCGGGAAAAAAAGTTCTGCATCTGGGTGGTTACAATACCTAATCGCCTTCAAAGTAGGCCCCTTGTGACTCCACTCACTTAGCCAAGCGGTGCTTCCATGGCTGGAAGCAATTCTGGAAGGCTTCTTTTGGAATGGTGTGCAGCTGCACCGTTGCGTTCTGTATGATGTCCTCATGGCTGTCAAAACGGCAGCCTTTTAGCGGTGTCTTCAATCTCGGGAACAGCCAGACATCACAAGGAGCCATGTCAGAAGAGTAGGGAGCCTGGCGAACCTGCGGAATGCCATGCTTGGCCAGGAAACCCTGAATCAGGTGTGGGGCGTTGTCATGATGCAGCTGCCAGTTGCGTGCGTCCCACAGCTCCGTTCTCTTGCGCCAAATTGTATCTTGAAGATGGCGGAGAACTTATTGGTAGTACTTCTTATTGACAGTCTGGCCTAGTGGTGCATACTCATGATGCACAACACCCCGGTAATTGCAAAAAACAGTCAGTATCACCTTCACATTGCTCCAAACCTGTCGTGCTCTTTTGGGCCTCGGGGTTGTTGGATGCTTCCATTGTGATGCCTGGACCTTGGTTTCTGGGTCATACCCCAAGTTTCTGACAAAACTTAATGCAGTATCACTGCTCCAAGCATTCTGTCATCTTGAGCAAAACAAGAATGTGACGAACACATATTACACCACTTCGCTATCTGGCAGCCAGAGACGCATCCAGCAGTGTTGAGAGTCAGCAAAAAATCACGCATGCTTCTACCACTTCTACCACTACGCTCAGTTTCCCCACCCCTTTGGCCATTACTTACAGTGGAAAAAATAAAGTCAGATACTTTTTGGACATACGGTATAAAGTTATTAATTTGAGTGTTATTTCTACTTTAAAATTTTGATTACTGTATGTTGTGATACTGTTAAGCATAGTAACCATATTATGTTTGAAAATTTGGTTCTTATTCAGGTTTGTTATAGAGATCTCCTAAATGAGAAATTGTAACTTCGCTGAGTGTTACTAATTGTATACTTAAAGAATAATATATTCCATTGTGTGATCATTCATGGTTATAATTCTTGTGTTCATTAGCTACACAATGAAGATCCTGAGCACATTTTAGTGCATGAAACTGAAGCAGACTGGTGGGATGTTTGGGGCCAAGATAAGATTTTTGAGCTACAAGTACAAACTGAAAAGGAACGTGGCCTGTGGGCGCAGCTGTCGCTGGAGGATAGGAAGAAACTTTGTGAAGCAATTGGTTATGTAGAAGGCGGTACAAGACCAGACAAGCCAAAACAGTACATAGGTGAAGAATAGCAGTCATTACCATTATTTGTCAAATATATCACTGTATTGAAATTTAACAGGCCAAATTTCCATTCCACAACATCATTAAATGTAATGTTTGTGTGAGAATGATAAAGAAAGTAAGTGCATGCATACGTAAGTGTGAGGGACTGGGGTTTTATTTCCTCAAATGAACTTTGGTATCCAGTTTTTATTCTGCCACTTTACTTCTCATTGTACTTCTCCATCTTTTTCTCTCCTCCTATTTCTCCCTGTCCCATTCGTCTTATACTTCTAATTACTCTTCCAGAATAATTCACATTTCCTATGGGTTGATGGATGAAAAATCTCCACTTTCTCCTTTCTAACCACAATCTTTCCATTTTAATTTCTTGCCAACTTTTTCCACTCTTCTCGATGGCTTCCAGTACCTGCTGAAAAATCTTGTTCTAGGTTATCCCATAGCTCTCTTTCCTCTAAATTTTAATTCCAGTACCCTTCTGAGTATTCCTGTTCTATCCATTCTTTTTATGTGACCAAACCATAGTAATCATTTCTCTTCCAACTTTGTTGACAAATTTTGAATAAGAATTGTACTAAAAATCTCATTTGTATTTCCATCCCCTTTTGTTTTCATTTATTAATTGTAAAAATATGGCATCCATTACTTTGATTTTGCATTCTTCTCTCTTTATAAAGGTCCATACTTAAGTTTTATGTATCAATACCTCTTTAAAATATAGTTATGGATTGCCATTTTGCATTGCTTTGTGTGCCTTTAAAGCCTTATTTTCTGCCCATATACTATTGAGTCTGTTATTATGAACTTGTGTCACCCCTGCAACATAACTGAACGCCTCTGCTTTGTGCTGTGGACATGAGTGAGCTGATTCTTACTACACTACATATAATCTTATTGCCCCTTTTTCAGAGCACAAATTCAATTTCACACTGGCTAACTGTTCACTCAGCCTAGTGAACCACAGAAGAGAAGTTCTTGTGATAACTCTAACTCAATTTCTCGCAAGTCTGGAGACCAGACCGTCAGCACAGGCATTTAAAGTTTCAGCAAGAGCAGAAAGTTTTGTTGTTGAAGGAGCAAGTGTGGAAAATGACCTCATCCCCATGGTTACAGCAGATAATATTCTTTCAGGTATATTGCAGTGATCAAATGATTATATCAGGTCCTTACAGCTGCTCATAACTTAAAAGTAGGTGTAGTAATTGAATTATGATTATGAACCTGATGGATTTGTTAAAAAATTACTGCATGAACAGCAGATGCATAGACAATAAGCCTCACTGTGTAACACTTTGTCTGTCAGAGATTCATTCATTCATTCATTCATTTCCTTTATTTTCCATATATCTATACAGGCAAAAAACCTAGGATGTGGAAATAGTCCCTTTGATAATAGATGTATACATATAATACATTACATAAGTCACACAACCAAAATCACACACACTAGTCAACCAACATAAATAATAGAACAAAAAAAAAACTTGTTATAATTAATGAACATAATTTAAAAAGAACATTACTATAAAACTTAAAATTAATACAATTTCACTCAAATTACCCAAATTAACTTAATTAAATGCATTACAAATTTATACACCTATGACCAATTATCTTTCCTTCTTTCTTTCTTTCTTTATTTCATTTTCCCATAAATCAAAATACATTGATACAGGACTCGTCATATACATACACATCCTCCACTTTCCATAAAAATCCATACAGGCAACAGACCCAGGATGTGGAAATAGTCACCAAACACATACACAAAGTCACACAAGCCACACAACGAAGATCACCCACATTAACTATCTAACACATACAACAATACGAGGCAAAAAGATAATATCCTAATTAATAGACATAATTCACAAGTAACCACAATACAACGCCTCACATCTCCCATACCAACTATATTAAAATATGGCTTTAAAACCTTCAAATTTATGTAAATTTGTAATTAAAATACTCATTTAATGCATAAAAAGAATTAGATAGGAGAGGGTGGGAGAAAAGTAGCACAAGTGACCATTGGGTGGTGTTGGCAATACAGTGGGGTGGGGGGNGTGTGGGAAGAACTGAAAGCTGATGAGAAGGATAAGCTGTTGATATTTTTATAGCAACTGTGAATGATTGCACTGAAAGTATTACTATTAGACAGCTGTTGATGATGGCCTGTTATTGTCAGTACTTGTTGTTCTGCTGAATTAGTAAATATAATTTTATCTTGCAATCTGGCAGTGTTCACTAAATTATTTTAAATCACAATGTATTACAGTGATACACAGTTCAATCTGGAAATTTAAAATATAACTTTTTAATTACAGGCAATACATCATCAAATTTTCTCGCTGTAGACTTTGAGAAACATCCATTAAATTGTTAGGCTGACTTTGGAGTTGCTGTCAGTTTAGAGCCAGTAGAAGTTGTGTATCACGAGGTAAGTATATGATGCAGTGTGCATGATTTAAATGCTATTTACACTCCTATCCCTTATCAGATTTCTATAAACACTGAATTTTATATTATTTTCTCTCTAGTACGCTGTTTCAGAGATCATTAGCTTCTTCCAGACAAGGTCTGTGACACTTCAAGATGCTGTAGAATTCTCCAAACAGGGAATATGTAAAGCTAATGAAGTTGGTAGGACACTCGTCGAGTATGCCATTGCTCGCCACAAAACCATTGATATCAACGTGGACCTTAAAGGCCCATACCTTGTCATACCTGAACTTGGATCTGTACAGAAGTAAGTTTTCTAAGTGTCTTGTCATTAAACACATACAATAAGAGTGAACAAAAACTGGTATGACTATATCATCATGTGAACTTTGTACTGTGGAAAGAAGTAACAAATGTTTGTGACCTTGACTGTTTATCAGTAAGGTAATTTAGTGTAAGGGGTGCAAGAAAAAATGAACCAAATTGATGATTTAGACTGTAACCCTAACATTGCAATAACCATTAAAAATTTTAAAAGAATTTTATTTCTTTATATGATTATGGTGACACATAACAATATGTTTACTGTCTGTGATATCAACCTGATCTTAGGAAATTATATTTTTGTATATTTTCGCCCACACTTATATCCTTTGGAAAGAAGCATGAAAGCATAAATTGTCTTGTGGGAACATCCCACATACTATCACGCTGTTTCACCGATCAACAGTCAACACTCACTCCTAAGTCCATGGCACATTGCTACACATTGCTACACATTGCTGTCAGCTCTCATATTTGCACAGCGCTCGCTGTCCAGTTCACTTTTCACCATCACACGCGCTAACCAACCACATTGCTGCCACCACTCATATTTATACACACTCGCTGTCCAGGCCACATTTAAATCGTCACGTGCGCTAGCCAATCAACGCTCACAGTCGCAACTGCAAGTTTCGCTCCTCCATCAAGCATGGTTTAAAAGGCGGAGCCCAAAGCTCGCAATCATCAGTGACCACATCAGCCAGTCAGTCATCACACTTAGTCTAGAGCGATCGGTCTTTGGAGTGATCGGCTCTCCGGCGGTCATGCCCAACACACCGGGCAACTAGCGCAGCTGCCACCACTCCAGTGACCACGCTCCACTACCAGACATCTTCCAGCAACCACGCTCTGTGACCAGGCAACTTCTGGCAACTGCCGCACTGTGACCAGACAACTAACTCAGCTGCCGCAACATTAGCCAACACACCGTAGCCAACAGATATTTCTACCAGCACATGCAGCCCTACATCACTGGCCAGACAGACCAGCCGAACGGCCATAAAACTCTATCCATCGCAGTGGAACAAACGGCCCTTTTCAGAGCCCACAAACTTTCCGAAGTGGTTGTCTATTGGAGTATTGACAAATCCCACAATCTGTTATGCCATAAACATTTATTTTTTATATATTTACATACATTTCAGTAAATAATTTTAAGAAGGTGGTGAAAATAAAGCAGTATGCAGGCAGTACATTCCCACAAAACATCGGTAAACCTAGATGGGACTACATGACATCATGCCACAGAAGATAACATTCATAGTCACTATTTGGAGAACCTGAATTCCGCTATTATCTACATCTTCCTGCAATTTCAGTCAAGGTCTTCCCACATTTCTTCTATCTTCTGGCTTTCTATAAAAATTGTCTTACCTGACCTTATTTGATCAATTTCAATCACTTGTCTCAAACACGCCAATCTTCTTCCTTTTAGTATCCACTACTAGAAGAATTCTGTCAGTTCCTGCTGAGTTCTCATTCTCTAAACACATTGCTCAATTACTGGTCGATAAAATGTTCTCAAAATTTTCCTCCCCCATGGATTTAATGTAATGTTATTCTTTTCACTCAAGGACCATGTTCCATATCCATGCATCACAATTTGATTTAGCCAAGTCCAAAAACCCAGTAATCTTGTTTTGTTTACTCTGATTTTCCTTTTTCAACCTGAACAGTATGTGCCTGCTTAATTAAGTTTCTCTTTACTATAAAACTAGTTTATTGACCTTCATTAAGGGTTCGATTCCGGGTCTGGTCAAGTGAAGTGGCATTTGTGGTGGACAAAGTGGCGCGGGGCAGGTTTTCTCTGAGTACTTCGGTTTCCCCTGCCAATCTTCATTCCACCAATTGCTCCACAATCACCCTCACCTATCATTTAGGGACTGGTACAATAGGCCAGAAGTGGCCGCAGTTCAAGGGACTTAGTCTGACCCCACTAGCAATTAAAAAATTGACCATTATAGTAAAATTTTACACTTTACATGAACATGAAGTAGGTTCCTGAGCGTCAATAAAATGTCAGAATTAAGGCTGGGATTTTACGTCTTGTGGCACTGTGTAGTCTTTCTAGTCAGTTATTTAACAATGCTGTCAGTACCAAGACTATATGACACTCTAATGACATATAATTCTATAGGCATGTGCTAACACTTCAGAGGAGTAAACTGTCTCCATATTCGGTGTAACTACCCTGAATTCTTAATTCTGATATTTTTCATGAACTGTTGGCATCTGTCTGCAAAAGTATGTATCATCACATCACAGAAGATCGTAATCTTAATATTCACTACTGCGAGAACTTCAGATTCTGTGTCAGAATTGGTTCCATTGAACAGTTAATAATGACCTTTTCATTCTATGTTCTTTGTTTCAGGGGTGGCAGTATCATGATAGTGGACTTTGGACGAGTGGTGATGAAGAGTGATTTACAGTCTGACAGTGCAGGTCTCGAAGACGCAACACAGATGGAGTTGGAAGAGAGGTTGTATGACAGACTTCATGTTGACTTGTCAGATCTCCAGCTCCTCTTCTGTGATTCAGGTAACAGAACATGAAGTTCTTTTATATTGTTAATGTGTGTCTAGCTGAATTAACGTTGCTGTCATTAACTCCAGTACATAGTGCTGAATGAATGCAAATGATGAATTGTTAAGGATGTGGAAGGAAGCAATCATGGCATAACATAAGGTACTGCCCAGTGTTTGTCAGTCAGGTAGAAGGCCACCATAAAAGATCTTGGATTTACTGCATTGATTAGGCTATGACTTACTACTTTCAAATCTTTCCAATTTATTACTTGTCTGTCATCCTACTATTCAATCTTATATAGTCTAGTTACTGTGTGCCTTGTTAAATAACACCCTCTCCCAAACAAAGTCTTGGAAATTGGAAGGAAGAGACTCTTTTTATGTGAAGTTAAAGTTTTTGCACTCTTCCGACTAGATCTCATTTATATAGATTGATAATTGCTATGGCGTGCCAGCAAAGAGTGTGATTTAATAACCCATGTTCCATGGATAATGTTTACAAAGAATTAAATTTAAGATCTGTGTTGACAGTAATTTTTTCCCCCAACAGGAGAAGAGTGGAGGGATGCCAGGAAGATGCAAGACACAGATTTTCATTTGGTTCCAAAGATTCGTTGTCAGGTAGTGTTCTCAAACAGCGTGAAGCCCAGCTACAGGCAACTTCCCAGGTAGGTCCAAATTGAATAAAATTAAGTAAGATTTGAGGTTTTCATGGTAATGAAGATATGTATTGCAGCGTTCTGGATCATAGCACTTTGCAGTGTGATAGATTGTTATCAGTGTTACAGGGAAACAAAATGACTGAGAAGATGGAAACAGTATATTGCTCTGAAACATTGGTACCAACCTGATAGACTACATTGTCGTAACTCAGAAGAAGCGTGTAAGAACAGTTGATATGTCATTCTTATTAGCTGTTTACTGTAAAATTCTGCATTTAAAAATGCAAGGCTTTCAGTGTGTAAATGATAATGACTCTGGGAAGGATGTTGCTTTACAATGCTGTCAACAAGTAGAGTATACAGTGTTAAGTTGTAGAAAGATAGGCGAATAATAAAATGGAAACTATTTGGAAGGATTTGGCCATGGTGTGATCAAGTTACTATCCCGGAATTTGTCTGGTGGGACTGAGAAAAATTATGAAGAACCTCAGTCAGGATTACCATTGTCTCAGACAAGATTCAAAGAGAGAAGCTCTCAGATATTAGTTGAGAGTGTTAACAGTACAAGAATTGGTTCAAGAACGAACTTATATTATTTTTCCTGCTCATTTCTTTCACTCTGGAACAATGTGCCAGACACCCCCCCCCAAAAAAAATTATTTTTATAACTGCAGCCCTGGTTACATCTAGACTGGTGGTTCTCACAATTTTTTAATCTGTGGACTCCCTAGTATCACACTACACTATTAAGGATGCCTCATTCATCCATGTGTAAATTATCTGCATATCAAATGGAAATAGATTCAAATAAAATTCTTTACTTAAAATGTTTTAATTACTGTGCTACATTTACAAAGTGTTTAGTATTCTTTAAAAAATGTTCTCTTAACTTGATTGTTTAATGAAAAAAATGGCAAATCATCAGTATGTAGCTGGTGTAGTACTTGTATGCAATTTTGAGTCCAAAATATTTCTTATACAATTTTTCCCAGAAAACAGATTTTATAAAATAATTAAAATGTTAAATACAAACTGTTGTCCTTCTAACTTCTAATAGGAAGATAAAAATAATCTTACAGACCCTTAGGGGTGTGCAGACCACACTTTGAGAACAACTTGTTTAGAAAATAACTTTCAGTGCATGCTTGATGCTTTACAATTGTTGTATGAATTTATGTATTCCTATTTCTGCTTTCCAGGCACAAATTGAATATTTCAATTTCAAGCCTGAAGTTGAATTTGTCAGACCGTAAAATTGGAATGGCCCTGGACTTCCTGGACAACCTACCGTTACCTTCACCCAATACATTACGAGTATCTGAAGTGGATTCTGCACTAGAAAGAGAGGTTGCCGAAGATAGGAACATGGCAAGACTTCTGAACAGTGATAAAATAATGTCTGAATTTAGCAGCAGCCAACTTCTGCAAATTAAAAGGACTGTTGTAATGGCTCAATTGTCTCGACAAGACAAGAAGTTTGAGCACTTTGATAAGGCAGCAGGGAAAGTGGAAATGCTTGAAGTGGATAAGTAAGTACTGCTTCAGACAACTTACTGATCTCTGTATAGTAAGAGAAGTTACTTAACAAAGTTTTATAAAAAAAATAGGGAAATGTACTGTAATGGATGGTTGGTTTGTGATTTATATACTGACTTTTAACTGTAGTTAGACTGTATAAGGTGGAATACTAGGATGACTGATGAAGTGGAAAGGATTTGGAAGGAAGTGGTTGTGGCCTAATCAAGAAGATATTGTGGAATTTGCCTGGAGGTACTGAGGAATATCACAAAGAACCTTAGAATGGCTAATGTCCTAGCTGAGCTTCAAACAGAAAATCTTCAAATAATGGGTTATGAGATCCGCCACTACACCAACTTTTTTTTTCATTGGCTTTGATGTGTATCTGTTGTTGCAAAGATAGTCACATGACAGCTTATTGTACTGAATAAAGTGAGAAATCGTCTTTCCTTGTACTCTGTAAAATCCTTAATGCTCAATAAGAAGGTATCATGTAAACTTATGCCAACAATATAAGCATATTTTGTTTCTCTTTCAAACACTATTAAAGGGTTAGGTCTAGCCATTTTACATTGAAATGCATGGGCATGGTACACAGGCCTTAGACCAGAATTAATGATGCTGATATAGAGATCTTTTAATTAATTCAGTTGTTTCCAAAGGTGGAGCATATGATATTCTGGGAAAGCTGTGCAGTGAAACTGAACATGAATTCAGCATGTCAAGGTGCAAAGAACATGTGGAAAATCTGTCCATTTTTATTTTAATTGAAGCTTTACAAGCTCACTGTAAAGAGCCGGTTTTGAGAAAGCCTGTAAATATCAGTTTCTGCTTAATGTAGCTTAGGCGTTATATTCTCAGGGGCCAACAGGATTTTATTCAGTGAGGAGGTGAGCAGACAGAATGGAATTTAAGCCAATTTTGTTGAGGAGGTTGTGAAATGCTTTTGTGCTCATAACTGAAGAATAACATATTTTTTATGAGAATAGTTTTAATTTTTTAATTAATGTTGGGTACATTCCTCCTTTTTTACAATTTTAATTGTTTCCCACCAAGTCCAAGGGGAGGCACGTGCTCTGTCTGCCAACAGGATACATTTTAGAAACATACATTTTCTGAAATGTTGTGTTCTACTCAAAATATAAAACAATGGACAAAATTTGGAATCTGAAACATTGTGTTCCATTTGGAACATAAGATGATGGACAAAGTTCAGAATCCCAGTGATCTTATGTGTAACATACCATCATCAGAAACTTTCAGAATTGAGTTACAGTAGTTGTAAATTGAGAGTCATGTTAACACTTTCCAGGAGTTTCATTTCATCAGATCACAGTGATGAAGAAAATGAACTTTGGGCCCGCACTGTGGATCTTCCTGGATTTGACGATAATGTTTCACCACACAACACTATTGCTATGCTTCTGAGAATAATTGTTGGTGAGGTAAGACACATCTCATTCATCAACATTAATATGAAACTGTAGAACAGAGAAGATCCTTTTTATTTTATTAACTCTTTGACTGGCGCGGGCGTGTTTTAGCGCCCGGATGATGCCAGCCGTTCCCTGGCGTTGGCGTGTTTTAACGCTTTGACAATCTCGTCCCTTCTTTGCTCTCTTGGCACTCATCAACCAAAGACATATATATGATAGTTTTTGTGCATGTTTGTAAAGAACCCTTGTAAACTTTATGGGGGTCTATATTACTGTCAGAACCCTCTGAGAATGTAAAGGTCAGAAAATATTTCACATTCATTCAGTTTCACCATGGCTTCTTGCAGCAAGTGTCTTCGTGTTCCTGCAGACCAGCTGGAAAATGTTGTGAACGAGATTTTTTCTGATGATGATAGTGACGATGAAATAATAATTCCTGAATTGGATGAAGTTGATAGTGACAATAATACAGTGATAGACAATGATCCACAAGACAGTAATCATGAACATTTACCTACTACGAGTGCGGTGCCTGACACGCCCATCTCATGAACGTACAGAGATATTGTACGCCCAATATGTCCATTTGTTCGGGATCAAAATTGATATAACACATAAAATGCATTCCTTTTCATGGATTAAATTTTTTTCTGGATGACGACTTGGTAAATCACATCACAACTGAAACCAATCGCTATGCTCACCAGCACTTCAACACACATGAGTTAGCTCCTCACTCTCGAAAACACAATTACAATTATGTCACATCAGATGAAATCTGGACATACTTAGGAATTGTGTTCATGACAGGAATCGACAAACGCCCTGAAATTGAAGAATATTTGTCCACTAGGCCCCTATTTCACACCCATGGTTTGGACAAAACATGTCTTTGCGGTTGAATAGTTTCATTCTATTCAAAAAGAACACAACAAACGAAAAATACAAGAAGAGAGATTACAGATTCAAAGATTTTATATTGGACTGTATAGAAAAATGACTGAACCAAACAAACAGTGTGGAGAGGGAGAAAAGTCAAGGAATGAAGTGGATGACGAATCTATTGGGTCAGACTAGAGTGCAGTCACGCCTCCGCCCTCGACCTTGAAAAAACCACCAGTGAAAGAGCCAGCAAATCGTCTAGAGGGTGGCTTGAAAATTCACAAAATGGTCCATGTTCCTAACAGTAACAATAAGAAGAATGGTGCCCTGATAAAGTGTCGCGTGAGTGCTAAGCACAAGGTTAGAAAAGAAACAAGTATCATGTGTACAGGCTGCGGTGTGGCTCTCTGCAAACTTTCATGTTTCAATGTTTATCACACGAAGAAAAACTAATAAAGAGGTGTGGAAAAGCATTAATTGCATAAAATATTGTATTTTAATTACTTCCTAAAAATTTCGTTTTTAAAAACCAATTTTTGTTGAAGTTGTTTAGGAAAAAGTAACTACATGCATTTTAGCGACATAAGGTTTAAAGGGCCTGCCAGGACAGGGGTGGGATTTAAATAACCTTCGCGCCAGTCAAAGAGTTAATTATGCATATATTGGCATTTAATCTGTTATGTACCTGTGTGAGATACAAGATTCTCGCAGTAGTGAGTATTCAAATTATGGCCTTCTGGGATGTGAATCCTTATAGTCTGGTAGGTAGTTATTAATGTTGCAGGGAAATATTCTCCCTCCATCATCAGGGTTTTCGTTTGACAATAAAGATGGAGAAAATATGTTAAGCATTTGCTCATATCCACCATACTGCATGGCACCATATCCGAGGAGATTGCAACCTGAAATGCTCTTGCCTTCCCTAAATCATGGTGGTTGAATGTAAAATTTGTGACACTAATATGGCTCAGTGGTTTAATTCTTGTTTTCTGGCAGCAGGTTCCACTGAAATGATGGTAGCTATCTACCAGACTGTATGGCACCACATCCCCGGAGGCAGTATTCTTTTATGTATATTTAATTCTGTTTTGGTTTATTTAATAAGACTGCCAGTAGTTCAGACGGAACAGGGTTAAATGATAGAATGATGTTGTACAGTGAACTGAAAAGGTTGTGAATGGAAGTTATCATGACCTGGGTATCATTTACCAGGCTACACTGACAAAAACAGTGGAAGATCTGTCATGATAGCTGGTATTGTGGCTAAGGTTTGAATACATTACCTCCCAGATAAGAAGCAGGTTCACTGAACATTCAACCTCAACATTTTGCACCTAGATGTAGATGGCAGGGTAGTATAAAAATGGATCTTAGCTGAATAGATGGGACTAGTAAATGGTCCCACCTGTGAAAGGTATAATTAAATAAATAAAACAGCCTCTCACATCATATGTGATAAGGTTCAAGGTGAATTTTGTCATTAGGGACTCAATTTTATTAGGCAAAATTTATATCTAAATGCCCACTAAGAAAGTACTGTGATTAATCCCAAAATGCAGGCCGCGCCATAGCTCAAGCGGTTAGTTGCTGGCTTCCCACCGCGGCGGCCCGGGTTCGATCCCGGGTCTGGTTAATTGGGATTTGTGGTGGACAAAGTGGCACTGGGGCAGGTTTCGTCTGAGTACTTCGGTTTCCCTTTCCAGTCTTCATTCCACCAATTGCTCCACAATCACCCTCACCTATCATCTGGGGCTGGTACAATAGGCCAGAAGTGGCTGCAGTACAAGGGACTTAGTCCCACCCCACTAGCAATAAAAAAATCCCAAAATGCAGTATTGTTAGAAGGATAACTCAGAAAGGGGATGTACAATAGATTTTGGGTGGCTACAGTGTAAGGGTCATGTAATGCCAACTCCTGCATGTAACACAGTTTAGAAACTGTAAACTTGATTTACCTGGCTGAGGTAATTGTCTGATGGCAAGGTTTGTTGAGAATGGTGATGAAAGTTTGGGGTTTCTTAAGGAGGAATTTCTTGGTCGCCTGAGTTTGAAAGAGTCTGCAACTGGTGTTTTCTGTGCAGGTGGTGCTTCAGTTGGCTCGATCCAACAACAGGGTGGATAAGCCATACCTCATGCTGCAAGTTAGCAAGATATGCTGGGACACAGCACTCATGGAATATGGGCCGGCCGTGCAGGCCAGCATTGGAGGGATTCATCTTATAGACAAAATTCACACTGGCTGCTCTGGGGAATATCTGGAGTTGGTATCCACTGATAGTGCAGAAGATATGGTGACATTACTGTACAGAAAAGTGAGAACTGAAAGAGTCTGCATGCATCTTTATGTCTTTATTAAGAAAATTTAATAATGTGTCATAATTTATACTCATTTATGGAATTATTTGGAGCTCATGTGGCTGTTCAAATACCAGCACTGTAATTGAGTGATTGCATTTTGTTTTCTGGGAATCTGGTAATTTAAATTAAACTGTTATTTTAGTGTGAAGAAGTAAAATGTCATGGAGGCCCATAGGGTTGTGAGACATTGAGGCACCCACATATTCTAGATAATCGGCTCACAGATGACAGGTTATCAGTCTTACGCACTGGTTGACCGCCCTGTACCCCAGAAAGATTCTTTGTACTTATTTCTGTTAGAGGCTGAGTCGGCTCTGGGGCCATAATGTGGCTGGAAGGATTAGGTCAAATGAAAAACTCAGTGACCTCACTGGGAACTGAACCCATCACCTTCCACCTTGTAGCATAGTGCCTCAACCAACTACACTACTACATGCACCTTAATGTGAACAGTGCACTGGTAATAACTGCCTCTATTAAGCTATGTGGCATAGACAGAATTATCTGATATTTCAGAGAATTTTCTCTGTTTTCACGGTTTAATCACAGTGAGATTCTCTGAAGCATTGGCAGACCAGCTCTTCAGAACACGGTGGCATTGCAAAACTAGCTTTATGATTAGCTTTAAATTGTGATTAAAGGCAGAAAACTTCTAAAACAGTATTCTGGTTGATCCATAGGTACGAGCAAACTGCCCAGACTTCAAGTCCCATTTCCACAGTGTGGAGCAGTCACTGGTTCTGGACTTCACATCGCTGTCAGTCGTTTTTCACAGAGAAGCCTTCTCAACCCTAAACAAATATCTGCAATATCTGCTGCAAAAGTAAGCACTCATCCCTACTCAGTAATTTAAACAAGAGCTACATCCCCTCCTCATGCTCTTCTTCCTCCTTCTCATCCTCCTCTTCCTACTCCTTCTCCACCTCCACTTCCTCTTTCTTGTCCCTAACCTCTTCATACTTTCCCTCCTCATCATTGTCCTCATCCTCTTTCTCCTTGTCCTATAATCCTCCATATTCTTATCATCCTACTTGTTCTTGTCCTCCCCTAGTTCTCCTTATCTCCCCCCCCCGACTCCCAACCCCACTTCCATTTACACTGCTACTTTTTCTAGCACATATGTCTGCGCTTCTATCCAAGTTTTCCCAGATCTCCTCCTCCTCTGTCTCCTCCTATGTTCTCCCTGTCTTCCTTATGTATGGTTTCAACCCTTTCACCTAGTCTTTTTGAGACTGATCTTTTTTATAGACAAAAATAATTCTTCTGAAGGACACCATCTTCTGGAATATCATGCTGTGTAGTCCGTTAGAAGTCAACCGAAGTGTTGGAGGTACATATCGCCTCCATTTTCAGGCTCAAATAATCCGAGCAAGATACCAGCATGAAAGCAGATGACACGCTAAGCAATCATCTGGCTGGAAATTTTGGATTATGTAGGAAGCAGGTGCAAAATGGAAAAGTGGACCTCAGTTCCCATTGGCTCTCTGTGGGACACAGTGAAACCTCTGGGCTCTCACGTGACTACAGAGAGAACCAACAGGAGTTTAGGATGACCATAAAAAGGGGCAGTTTCACTGGTCAATATGTTCCTCTGAAATGTTGGTTGACTTTCAGTGGACTGCATGGCGTGATATGCCAGAAGATAGTACCCTTCATAACAATCGCAGTGAGTACTTCACATCTTACAATAATTCTTCTCTTATTCCTTCTCCCCAGCCACATAATCGCCTCTTTGGTTCATCTGATCGTAGCTCCACTTCCATTCACCATCCACTGTGAGATCTATATATCCAAAAGTGCTTCTGAAATTCCCAGAGTAACTAGCACAAAGGTTTGTTAGTACAGTGGAAAGCCTTCAACAGTCTATTCTTGGAACCTGAAGCTGTCCGCTAAATGCCAGCAGTGAAAGCCGAAAGACAATGTGCATCCATTTGGCAGATGCAAGAGTCAGCAGATAAAATATCTTTTGCTGGTGTATTACTGAGTATGACAGTTGTGGAATAGGATGTAATGCACTGTATGTTAACAGGATTCAGACAAGGGAAACACATTTACGACCTCTGGTTTCTGGGTCCCCCACCATGATGACATGGTTGTTTTCTGGGGATGCTGACCCGCCGATACCACCAGGTGCTACAAAGTTCAGTTACTCAACCAGGCTTGGAGAGATCAGAATGAGGCTGTGTGATACAGACATGGACTTTCTTGAGCTGAAGGTTTGTGTCATTGTTTGTATGAATCTTCTGTCCCTGTTTGTTTACTATGCACTTTGGGGGACAGATTTTAACTGAGGAGTGACAATGTTTGTACTGTGAAAGCATAATGCTTAGTGAGCTGCACCACATGCATGAGCTATTACAGTAATAAAAGTACAGAGCTAGTAAGAATTGAGTTGGCAATGAATATGTTAATACCATGAGAAATGTGGCTGTTTCAGGTTGCAGGTCTTGAGAGTGATTGTCTTTTCAAAGCAAATGAAAGAATGGTTCTGAGAATATATCTCACAACACTGACTGTAGATGATCTGTCAGACATGACTTTATACCCAAAGGTAAGACTACTTCAGTTCTGTAACATAAGATGCCACAGTGAACCACAACAATCTTTCAACCATCATTGAAACATGATAGCTCTGAAAACAAATATGACAAAAATGGTTTAAATACAGAAATTTTGAGCCATTCTGATTTGCTACCAGTTCATAATCTTGTATCTTATCTTTTATTCATAAACCTGAAGACTGAAATATAAAAAAACTCTGATTTTACCCATTGTTTTAATGGTTGTGAAACTTCGTTTCTCACGTTAAGAGGTGAACATAGAGCGAGGGTGTTTAATAACACTGTTCCAAAGATAATATTTGGTTCTAAGATGCAGGAAACAACAGGAGGCTGCAGAAAATTACATGATGAGGAATTTTATAATTTGTATTCTTTACCAAATATTAATAGAGTGATTTAGTCAAAGAATCATTATGGTATGCATCCAGTTGTGCATCATGATATCACAGATGAGGCCATCTACACAACAATAATATCTCCGAATGTAAACAAAGACAAATCAGTACTAATAGATCACTATTTGTTTACTGCGCATTGGGGTTCCACTACATGTTTCAACCTTCAAGTGGTTATCATCAGGTGTACTTACAAGAAGTCAGTCTTAGTTCTTGAATTGTATTGGTCTATGTCACAAATGTAAGACTAACCCTCTAGACCATGCATTGTCAAAAATTAAGGTTTTATTATTTTCCTTTTTATTCTCTTGATTTTGCATGGAAAAACTTTAAGGTTATAGAGGAATGAAAATTCATTCATTCAGAGTATATAAAACATATGGATATGCAGGATAGGCATTTCCTAGAAAATTCCCTAGTATTAAGACAATTCCAACCACTGAAATTGAGATAGAAGTATAATATATTCCCTGAAAGCAAAATACTCCTCAGGTTATGGTCGAATAACAAGAAAAATTTTAAAAGGTTGCACATCTCTAATTTTTTACCCGTAAACTCACATTTCTAGTCACTAACTATTCACAGGGATCTTCCCTGATTGTCTTAAGATTTCAGCAGTAAGACCACTATACAAAAAAGGAAACAAAAGTAGTATGTCAAACTATATGCCAATTTTACTATTAACTACTTTTTGTAAAGTACTTGAGAAAGTTGTGCACAGCAGATTAAGCCATTATTTGCAAACTAATAATATACTAGTCCCAGAACAGTTTTGCTTCAGGAAAGGAATATCCACTGAAAATGCAGTCTTAAGCTAACAGACAGTGTATTAAAATTTGTTATTAAAAGAAATGCATGTTGGTGGAATATTATGTGATTTGGCAAAAACTTTTGGCTGTGTAAATCACAAAATTTTATTAACTAAATGACATTTTTCGGCATTCAAGGGAAAAGAGCAAGGTGTTTTAAATCCTACCTAAGAGACAGAAAACAAAAGATTGAAATAAAATCATCATTTAACCCTAATTAATTACCAAACTGGGGAACAATGAAGCATGGATTTCCTCAGGGGTCAGTTTTAGGGCCTTTGCTTTACCTAATCTATATAAATGACCTCCCTCCTATACTAAACACTTCATCAATACCCATAATATTTGCTGATGACACTACTGTCATAATTTCTAGTAAAATTTAGATGATTTCTGCATACTATGAAACAAAGTTCTCTCTCAAATGAGTAAATGATTTTCTGCAAACAAGCTGTCCCTAAATCTAGATAGAACAAATGCAATAAAATTTATAACAAAAAACTCGCCACAGTATTCATTAAACATTGGATATAATGATAAATATATAGAAGAGTTAGTAAACACAAAATTCCTTGGCTTACAAATTGATAATCATTTAAACTGGAAAAACCAAATTGATCAGTTGTTTCCAAAGCTAAGTGGAGTATGTTACGCAGTTAGATTTCAGTTGTTTAAATAGCGTAAGTTGACAGTACTGATGTACGTGTATATATGTGGATGCATTTTTTAATATGTAACCACTGTGTTTTCCGGTGTGAAAACTTCAGTTGTACTGTACATATGTTCTTGTAGTTTTATGACATATTCCACATCTTACAGTAATTTTGACTAGTTTTGGATTTAGGGAATGCAATTCAGAGTAAATGTAATGGACTGTAGTGTCCATTATTAGAGTAGTTGTAACTTTGCCTGAAGTTTAACATGTTCCTCTGCAGGTAGTGACCATTGAAGAAGATAAAGTATTTGACTTCAAATATGTGAGACACAGCCCAAAATTGTACACTCAGTCTGATCTTGGCTCAAATAAGGATGATGTCAAATCAGATGGGAGTCTCAGGTTGCACATTGGGAGGATCCATGTTGTCCTACTGTACAAACTTCTTGTTGATCTACAAGTAGGTGACGATATATGACTTTCTTTAATACTGAGCATTCATCTCTATGGATTGTGTTTGCCTGTGTGTAGTGTGACTCTGAACATATGTGTACCTCAGATTCGAAAGCTTACACTGAAGTAAGAATCATATCTTTTATACTTTGCCTGACACATCTTTGAGTTTACAGAAGAAAGGTCCTGTGTTTTCAACAAGATCTCTGGTATGGTGATTTTGGTTCCCATCCTATATTGAAAATAAAATCTAACAGTTTTCTGGTGATGACAGAATGACCTGTGTCTCTATATGATGATGATGATGATGATGATGACACTCCCTCACAGACGTTCTACATGCAATACACATTAGTTGTATAAATTACAGTGGCCATGTTAAAGGAGTGGATAGAACAAGGATGCTAGGAAAGACATTAGAATTAAAATGTGAAAAAAATAGACCTATCTTCTAAGTATGCTGGGTCTGTACTATGCAACGTTATTTTATTTTATGATTGCAGTCTTCTAGGATGTGATGCAATGTAGTTTGGACCTTCAGGACAGAAGAGGTGGAGAAGTCACTTTTTTACTTTGAAGGGGTAGTAGGTTCCTCCAAAACTTTTTAGTCTCTCTACCAAACTACATGGCGTCACATTCCAGAGAAATGTAATTGTAACTCCACCAGGAGTACATTAAATCTCATTATTTCTTCTATGAAGAAGCACATGTGTTAATTGTGAAACTATTCAAGTCCCTTTTGTGTCCACTGTAACTACATACTTTTCTGTTGCCAGCACTTCATGGAGCCATTTATTCACCCTGGGGTGCCTGCACATGTTATAAATATGGCTGAGAAATCTGTGGAGCAGCAGATTGTGCAGTTGCGAGGCTGGAGCACTCGTCTGCATCTGTCACTGGATTTTCATGCTCCAACGCTCCTTCTCCCACAGAAGTCATCCTCTCCAAATCTCATTATTATGAATATGGGTGAGTTCAGTATTGGAAGGAGCATAGACTGTCTCATGCTGTCTTATTGGACTGTATAGTGTTTTTAAGCAAGTCATATGATTTACTCAAAAGGAAAATAAGGCAAAAATAGAATTTGTATGCATTAAAGCCATCACACAAATATACTCTTTATTTCTGTATTCAGATTTGAGATTCTCACTGTGGCAAGTCTTCAGGTTATAGTCTTCTAATTCAATGAAATTTGGTAGGTAGCTACTAGCATTTTCAAGGAATCAACTGCCTGTACTTGAGGCAAGAAAAGTAAGCAACATGGGGAAGAATGGTAAGGTAAAATGTAAAGCTATCCCTGTAACAGTCCATGGAGGCCCATAGAGTTTTGAGACATCGAGGCTCCCACATTTTCTAGACATTTGGCTCACAGATTGCGGTGAAGTTGTCAGCCTTATGCACTGGCTTTCTGCCCTTTAGCCCCAGGAAAATTCCTTGTACTCATTTGTGTTAGAGGCTGAGTTGACCCCAGGCCCATAATGTGACTGGAAGGATTAGGTCAACTGAAAAATCCAGTGACCTCATCAGGAACCAAACCCACGACCTTCTTCCTTGTAGCATAGTTCTTCAACCAACACTACTACAGGGTCGGGAAGAATGACAAGCAGATATATATTTGATGAACATTTTGTGTGGAGACTAGTTCACAGTATTTGTACAAAGTTTTTATCATTTCCATAATATGTCTATAAGTTCCTGCAAAACAGAGAAGAATGTGATGTTACAGGCAGTGTTCCCCACAGATGATACATGTACAAGTCTGAAGGATATCACGAAAACCAGTTTGGTTATAGATGTGGTAGTGGAACTCATGTGCTGCTATCCTGGGGTATAGATGGCACCATTTTAAATTTGGATATGGGGAAGGGAGGGCCAAAATTTGGGCCTATGAGCAAACCAAGAGCTACAGTGTCCATGAAAAGGGCTGTATTGTAAGGATGTGTGTCAGGGGGGGGGGAGAGAAATTGAGCATTAACAGAAGGAATGGGGTAACAGAAATGAAGAAAACAATAAATATTAAGATAATAAAATGAAAGTACGTGATACTAAACAGAACCTGGGATAAGTTAGATGGTATAGTTACTAGGTTACCGGCTACACTTTTGAGTTATCAGGTTTCAGTTCCTTGTGGAGGCAAGCAATTTACACTTCTCCACAGTATAGAGACTGGNCCTTTAATTTCTACTGTCCCCCTACCCTACCGGTACTGGTGCGTGCTATCAGCCCTGTTCAGCCAACGAGGTTGGCCGTCGGTACCTGATATTTCCCCCATCTACCAGAGGCGTTGGAAACTACTTGGGCGGGAAATTGTTGCCTAATTAATTTTGCTCAGAGGTCTCCTAGAGAAATTAGGGTCTTTTATGTGCCATAAATCTACGACACGGGACCCACGGCTTAAAGTCCGTCCCAGAGGACTTGTTCCCTGAATTTTTCCGCCCTTAAAATTTCCACGACCTCCGCCGTGTTTGAACCCGCGTACCTTGAGTCCTGAGGTGGGAAAACGTTACCCTTAGACTACGGAGGCCGCTTTAGAGTAGAGGTTCAGGACATGCATGGCTATGCATCCTCTCTTCTCTATTAATTAAGTACAGGGACAATTTAATCCTTGCTTTTACCTTACACACTCTCAAAGCTCACAGCATTATGTCCAAGATGACCATAATCTTATGTCTGTAATATTTCCTGTATTCAGATTAAATTCTTGCTTAGGAGAAAATTCTGAGAGCTATGAATGTGATGCTGTGTATGACTATAAAACATATATATATAATATTGTAATGTGTTTTTGTTACTGAAGACGCCGTTTGGATTGTTAATTGGTTTATTCAACAACCTACAAGTCTCGGCTACAATTAATTACAACAATGTTACGGGTTTACACACTTTACAAACCCTACACACAAATCTGTCCACTCTGTCCTCAGTAGTCTACACGTATTCACAGTACGGGAGCTATACAAGTGTCACTGTGTCACACACTCCCAATTACTTCTAAGGTATCACAAACTATCACTGATTATGACACGCGCGTCTGGTTCTTCTTTCCGCTATGACTGCTAGATTCCAACTCTCTTCGTAGGCAGTGTAGTTCTCTTATAAACCCTCAGCCAGACAACGGGAAACGCCTCGCTTCCTTGTTGCCTAGTCGCCGTGTTTACAGGTGTTACTGGCAACGCTGTCGGGAGTTGTTTATGGCTGCATAGCAACCACGGCATCCTTTGGTCACGTCACCGCTGGCAGGGTAGGGGAAAGAGTGTTGACTTGCCTGTTACCCTAGTAACGACAGCGCTCCGATGCCGCCACGTCACCGCTGGGGAGGGAGGGGTTGTCCTCCATAGCGCAACACATCACAATATTAATAATCCAGTATGCTAAAATTTAAGGATTTCTAGAGATTATTATGTTGGAATTTAATGCAGATGTGCCAGTTAAGTGTCGTTTAAAACTCTGAAGACACAAATACTTGTTTTGATGTTTTTGTGAATGTCAGATTTAGAAGATGGATAGGATGACTAGCACACATGGAAGAAGAAAGAATTGCCACATTTTAGAACTAAGCCCTGAAGGATAGATACCACTTGGGAAATAATAATAGAAATGGATGGGAGGATAATATTAGAATACATACATACATAGAATTAGAACTAGACTGTGAAGTCATGAATTTGATTGAAGTGGCCAAACCTTTGCAGTTTTTTCCTCTTGAAACTGTGTTAACAAATTTTGGAATTCTAACTCTCTTTCTATAAGTTTCATTTCTTCTTCTATTTCATCTTGTTTCTCCTTCAGTATTTCTCAGAAATTTCATATTCATTGATCTGGGTTTGGTTTTGTTTATTCTGTTTCTTTATTAAGTATATTTTGTTTAATTACCAGGTGACTTGAGTGTTGAAAACTTCTTCAAGGAGATGACAAACTTACACTTCCCTCAACTAAACTCTGGTTCAGCATTGTCTGTAACTGGTGAGGTACCAGTGGTGGACAATGTTTTGGTCCGCCTGGAGTCAGTGCAAGTGTCAAGAGCAGTCATGACCCTGGCAGGCTCTCTTGAGATACAAGTAAGTGTATAATTGTAGCCATGCAGTTTGGAGAAAGCCCACATTTTGGAAGAAAATCAGGCTTTCTTTGAACTGCATAGCGTTACAAGCCAGAAGACTGTAGTCACTTCTGTGAGAACATTAAATCCCGAAATTTAGTCTGTCTATATCTTTTACTTTAAATCTATTCTGCTGCACAAATCATACATGAGTAACTTAGTGGGGTAAAGTGGCCTCCGTAGTCTAGCGGTAACGTTCCCACCTCATGACTCGTGGTACGCGGGTTCAAATACCCGGCGGAGGTCATCGAATTTTTAAGGGCGGAAAAATTCAGGGAACAAGTCCTCCGGGAGGGACTTTAAGCTGTGTGTCCCGTGCCATAACTTTACGGCACGTAAAAGAACCTCATATCCCCAAAGGGGATCACTGAGCCAAATTCCAGGACGTTTCCCGCCCAACAATAGTCTCTAAGGCCTCCGATAGATGGGGGAAGCATTATAGACACCACTAAGCAAGTGGCTGAACTCGCTTTCTCGGCGGGACTGATGGTATGCACCATTTATCGATAGGGTATAGAGACTGGTAGAATATCATAGAGGGAAGCACAATAGATCAAACTGGTCGCGGTGCATGGGGAAACCCACCCTCTCTAAATAATAATAATAATAATAATAATAATAATAATAATAATAATAATAACTTGGTGGGGTAACGGTGTACAATATTGTATTTCAGCATCATGTTGCATTACTATTAATCTTCAGTGGATAAGTGTCTTCACCATCCAGATACAATGGTTTTATTTTTACCTTCTATCCTACACACACTCTTGTACAATATGTTTATGTATCACATGACCATCCACAGTTGTAGTTCCTCTTATTACGATGTATAACATTATGGAATGTTAAGCGTTAATATATAATACATTCATGCCAAAAATATTAACAGAATACAATGTACATACAATTGGCAGTGTGTGCTGCTGGCAATTGGAAGGTATGAGAATTTTATGGATTTTAGAGAATTTTTATTGAACATAACAGATTCCCCATGTAACTAAATTAAACTGGCCATGCAACAATTTTAGTAAAGGTGACTATATCTGAGTATTGCTGTGAGAATACAAAACATGTTGTAGAAGAGTGTACATAGGATAGAAGACATGAATAATAACGTTGCATTTGGATGGCGAAAACATCTATCCACTGAAGATCAATAGTGTTCAAACTGGTTAATTTCATGTGACACAATATCAAGTCTGACTCATGGGCACAATGAAAGACCAGAGATCATCCATTGACAGCCATAATATGGTCAAATTATGAGAAATTCTTCCATTTTCTCCTCTAGCCTGGCATAATAATGCTTCCCCTTTACTATCTATCAGCAGCCAAGTTATAACCAACTTCATGGAGCTGAGTCCTTCTTGAGAAGCCACCAGTTGCTCAGCAACTCGGAACTTCCCAACATTTAATGGAAGCCAACTGCTCATTACCGTGCTCACAAGAGCCTTCCATTGGTCCCTATCCTTAGCCATATCAATCCAGCCCATACCGTTTCATCCTATCTCTTTAAGATCCATTTTAATATTATCCACCCACCTATATCTTGGTCTTCTTATTGGTCTCTTTCCTTCTGGATTTCCCACCAATATTGTACATGCATTCCTCTTCTCCCCAGTTCATGCTACATGCCCTGCCCCCCTCATCCTCTTTGACGTGATCAATTTAATTATACTTGCTGAAGAGTATATGTTATGAAGTTCCTCATTATGCAGTTTTCTTCAACCTCCCATCTCTTCACCTGTCTTTGGTACAAATATTCTCCTCAGCAGGAAATATGTTATACCTAACATTATTTAATATCTTTCCAGTGGATAAATTATTTCTTCCTTCAATCTGAGGACATATTTATGACCAATGAAATGTGTCAGACACCTAGTTATTCACATTAGCATGAGATAAGATCAGTAGATGATATTACTGGTGTGTACATAGTAAAATTCATTGTAGGTCTGCCTGAATGTTGAGAAGTAAGAGTACAGTCTTTAGCATGTTGTATCATTTAATTTGAGTTAATGTAATTGGAACTGACTTGTGACAGGAGCCAATTCTGGAACAAGTGAGCATACGGCTTGATGTGAAGAGGATGGTGGCGTACCATCACACCGTGAACTCGTTGCCTACTGCGCCCAGTCCATATTTACAGCTGCACAGGGATCTCTTACTGTATGAAGTTGTTGGAGGAATGGAGAACGTTAGGATTAACCTTGGGCAGCGTGACTTGGCTACACTTCTCTCAGTTTGGAGTGACAATCTTGCTGAAGGCAGATTTATGGGTGAGTAATTAGAAACGAATATTGTTTTCAAGTGATGTTAAAAGTTGTAACAGAATGGAGGTTGAATTCTGTTGTTCTTATTGGTGGTAATTTATAGTCAAAAGATGGAAGGAAAGAATGCCAATTTACAAGATAGTGACATGTAGATGACACAGTAATTTATATTGTAGCATGACTACTTAAATAGTTTAAGTTGCATGGGAACGACTCCCTAAGTAAGTGAGACATCATTAGGTAAGGTCTTGGAAACATGTCAGTGAAAATGAAGGAATCATTGGAAACAGTGTTTTCTGTGCAGTGCAACCTGAGGCTATATAGCAATGGCAAGCGAGTAAAATTAGTTAGTACTGCAGTAAATGACAGACCCGTCCTCATCAAAGAGGGCGCCCCACATCGACAAAACCACAACTGTCTGACAATAACATAAATCAGCTCTTGTTCACCAGATGGGACTTGATACCAAGACCGACTGGCTGATTGACCGTTGGCCATAACGTGATTTTGACTTTGACCCTGAAATTGGTTAGTTGTATTGGTATTGGTTAGTATTTCTTGGGTTTCTGGATTTCATCCATCCCCTAGCAATCCAAAGAGAATGTATATGAAGCTGGATCCGTTTCCATTAACAGGAGAAGAGATGGCGAGGAACCTGAGCATATAAGCTGATCCAATTTTTGAGAGCAAAATAAATGGTAACTTGTATTCAGGGGATACTTGGTTCAGACCTGGACACCGGCCATCCTGATTGAGATTTTTCACGGTCTTCCTCAGTTCCCGCAGGCATATACAAGGACATTACCTAGGCCATGACCTCTTCTTTACAGATCCTTTCCAATTAATCATTACTGTATCAATCTAACAATTGATACTAATGGTCTAGATACTGAGAGCATTTCAAAACAATCCACAATCCCAGTTTCCCATTTGTTGTGAACTACCCAGAAACCATGTAATCCTATGTGTAAGTTACCATAGTCAGAATCTTTAGCATTGAGAGTTACAGACTGTCTCAAGATTCATCTAGGGGGATGAAGGAAAAATGAGTGCATCTTGGTCTAGCCAGAATTGGAACCCACTATCTCAGAACTTCAAGTCATATGTGATACTTTGGAAATACGTGCTCCATCTGCATTTGTACTAGTGACTGTCCTTGTTGTTTTGTGTAGATATGCAACTAAGCTCAGACTCCACATCCCCTGCTGAAGCACCAACACCCACAAATCCAGCAGAGGACCCAGCTGTGAAGAAGCTGCAGGCATTCTTCTGTCAGAGTGAGCAAGTGCGACGTGAGTCCAGTGTTCGTCTCTCACTTGATGGACTACAACTGTACCTCTTCAATGATATGGATGAGGTGAATTGCCAGTTTTATTAAGCAGGCAAAATAACTTATGCTTTTCTTTATCCCCTTTCAGACTCAAATTATTTTCTAATTTTCTCCTTCTGTTCCCCTACTACTACACTATCCTCGTCTCCTCATCTTCCTCTTCATAATTGCTTTTCCTTTACACCTTTTTAACCTCCCTTTTCCCTCTTTTCTTTTAATTTTCCTCCTCCATCTTACTTCACCCATCTTCTTTCTGTTTGTTCTTCTCTTTTCATTTCCTTCTCCCTTCCTCTTTAACCATTTGACTTCAAACCCTGACATAGATTCAGCTGCTAGAAATTCCAACAGCGCTTTGGGACTAAATGCAGTTGCACAGAAAAGCCCACAATACTTCCTCAGATGACTTTGGAATAACCACAAATACAGGTGCATTGAAAGCCTGTTCTTATTTCTGAACATCATTATGTTACACTTGATGTCAAGTAGTGGGGGAAATGCTGTACCAGGTTAACAACAACAAGCCATTCTCTTTGGCTGTTGCTGTTTTGACACAAGTAATCCAACTGATCTAATTGGCATGTGGTGCATAAAGAGTTAACTTTCTCTGTTTTCATCATCATCATCATCATCATCATCATCTCCTTCTGCCCTCCTGCTCCTTCAATGACATGACCTTTACAATTGTGCACGCAAGGTCTGAAGGGATTATGTATTTTTTTCATTTCCCATATTAGTTCTTCTATTTCTAAATGAAGCCTTTCTAAATGATATCGCGTGAAGAATGCTGTAATCTCTCTGCAGGTTCTCAGTTCTCCAGTGAGAGACATGAATCATGGACTATGCAAGTTGGATATTGGAGAAGCAGTACTGTCAGTGGATACTTTCACAGATCACAGTTTGGAGCTGAAGATGGCCCTGCAGTCTTGCTTGCTGGAAGACATCCGTCCTGATAACAGCATTATGATCAGGAAGTTAGTACTAATGTCATAAAATGTCAATTTCTGACCTGAGATTTCATGTTTTAGTGACACAGCATGTTGCCACAAGCTTTGTATTTCCTTATAAAATAATTATAAATGAAAATAAGGCCTGTGTTATCATATTCTGCCACTTCTTACTGCACTTATCTGCATGTATGCATTAATGTGTGTCATTCCTCTTGGCTGAAAACTGAGCTTGCTTGTCCCCTCTTCTGTTGGTGTCTTGCTTGGCTTGCTCTTTGACCATGAAAATACAGGCAGTATATTCCTTACAAATTTGACTGAACTACATAGATTAAAGCATTCCATCTTCTGAGATATAATGCCATGTAGTCTGTTCAGAATCAACTGACATTTCAGAGGAACAGGTCACCCCCATCTTTGGGATTGAAGAATAAGCGAAACAAAAATCCTCCAGAGTTCTGCTTGCCACATGCTTCATGCTAACTTCTGCTTTGCTTACTCTTTGACACTGCAGATGGAAGTGACATGTTCCTCTGAAAAATCAGTTGACTTTCAGTGGACTGCATGGCCTTATATCCCATAAGATAGAACTCTTTATAACTGCCGCTGTGAGGACCTCAGGTCCTGTGTGGCACCACATCCATGAAGATAGAACTGCACAATGCTATTGGCCTACAGCACCTTAGCAATGAAGCTGAAATTTTACTGCAGCATGGCGATGCATATTTTCTGTAATTATTTCCCTCACTCTTTCTAGAGGGATGGAGACTTATCAGAACGTCTGAACCTTTGAAATCCCATTTTGTTAGTCAGCAGAAGTCCCAAAAACTTGTTCTTTTTCTTTCAAAATAATGTGACTAGAAGTGAGTTCTAGTTGTTAGATTATTTTGTGAAGGCAATAAAGCATATGGAGTGACAGCTTACCTCTGTGTTTGAAGCAGCTAAGTAAGTTAAGTCACTGACTCTTGCATTTGTGAAGACTAAAATGTCGAAATTCATGCCTACTAAGTCTGGTGATAATATGAGTCTTTTAGAAGAGAAAAGCTAAGGACAGCTCACTCACATACATCCTTCAGTGTTGTGAATGTTGTTTTGACTATTTTGAGCTACTGGAAGGTTCTTTGGATGGTACTCATACATGCACTGAATGACAGATTGATTTGTGAACAAAGAATTGGAAATTATGTGGAAGGGAGGGATCATGGTCTAATTTAAGGTATTGTCCTATGGCATTTGGCATGTAAAATCTCAGTCAGGGTAGCTGGATTCTATGCTGAAATTTGACCCCTGGAATATGAAGTGTGACAACTGTTTGACCCAAACATGGGGTGCTTTTGAATATTATGATAATTATTCTCTAAACATTTGTGACAGTGACTGATTCATTATAGAAATATTATATTAGACATTGTGCATTTTTGACAACATTAATTATGACCATTGGGACAGCCCAGCAATTTGTTTATATTCTTTTTTTTTTCAGAATATTTCAGTCCCACAGTGGCGAAACAAAGATGGATTCCAGTCCCATCTCAGTGTCTGCACCACCAATCATTGATGTGACATTTAAGCAGACTCAAAGTGGTGACCGTTGTATTGATATCCTTGTAGAGAAAACAAGACTCAATCTGTCAGTTCCATTTTTTATGAACTTGGGCAGATTCTTGATGGACTGTCTTCCAGGAGAGCGCCCCACTGATGGTGGGGTTATAAACCATGGTTATGTAGGAGACTTAGGAGTTCAGGTGAGTTGTATTAACAGACTGGTTTCTCTGAGGAAAAAAAAATATCTAGTAGGAGGATATGCCATCTTATCTCTGAATAAATAATCAAATTTTCAGGCCTTCTTTTTTTTTTTTGGCAGAATTTGCATAAAATGAATGCATATAGGTGATGACATGTCTTTCTGGATTTGTGAAGCACAAAACTGCTGGACCTATTTTGATAAAATTAGACATGAACATTATGCTGTTGTATACTACTAATACTTTTAATCTTTAACCCTTTGGACACCACAAGCCAATTAAATTGGCTCAGAATACTTAGCATTACAGCTGCAATAGCCAAAGAGACTGTCTTGTTTTTAATCACTTAATACAGAATCTGTAGCAATAGATGGCATCATATGTGACATACTGATGTTTACATGAAAGAACAGGCTTTCACGTGATCTTCCCTATGGCTGTTTGAAGGAAATCTGAGGAAGTATTATGTATTTTTCTGGCCAGCTGAATTTACCCCAAGCAGTCTTAACATTTCTAACATGTAGCTCTGTGTCAGGATTTGCAAGTCAAAGGATTAATTTCATATATTGGTTATGACAACAGAGTGGGTGCATTACCTTATGAGGCCACTACTGAAATGCAGTTACTTCAGTAATGGTAGCAAAAAGAATAATCACAGTAATATATTTTTTATCTTCTAGAAATGTATGTACACTGAAAGTGAATGTCTTGGTAGAGAGCAGATTGTATTACATATAATATTGCATGCATTCGTTTAATTATGCCATTGAAGAAATGTAGTGAATATAGGTTCAATGAAGAAAGAAGCTATTTGAAACACATGGCATTGAGAATGTGAAGATGCAAAGAACATCTGTGGAAACTGTGTTCACTAGTATGGTTTGCGACTTTTCATCTTTATGCCATTCAGAGATAATGCATTAGCCATTCCAAGTCCATATAAAATTCACATTGTGAACATTTACCGTCATATTGTGTTACAATATTCAAATACAGAACAAAGCTCCTGTAGAAACACTGAAACCAGTGCCCCAGAGACCACCCAGCTCTGCTGACAGTACCAGTGGCTACTTCTCGTCTGGTGCATCTTATGTTGATGATCAGGCTGGTAAGTTTATGGGAATTTTCCCATTTTTATATACATATATACACCAATTTCCCAGGGAAGATACAAGAAATATATTTTTGCTTATTACTTGTGGTCTTCTGGGTTATGAAACATGCAGTATGGTAGGTGGGTATCAAGCTTAGGATGTTCAGCCCTGAAAACAGAGGCAATATATTCCTCAGAAATGTTGGTACCCAACTACCATATTACAACATATCATAACGCTTGTTATTTTCACCACACGAGAACCTCAGATTATACATATGTATGTTTATTAAAGTTAATAATAACATGTGAGCTTTTCAAAGCTAAGAAGACTGATTACAACTTCTTGTTAAACAATGCTCAAATAAAGGAAACAAGTTACATATAGACCAGTATGCAGAAACCAGCATATACTGCATTGCATCAATGGCTTATTTTTCTGGTAAGTATGCATTTCATCAGCTATAACGTTCTTTACATCAGTAGCTTACCAGTCTTTTCATGTACGTATATACATATATATATATACATTCATCCATTCATTTCCTTTATTTTCCATATATCCATGCAGGTAACAAACCTAGGATGTGGAAATGGTCCCTTTGAAAATAGATATATCAAAATACATATACAAAATTGAACAAGTCACATAATTAAAATCACTTACATTAATCGATTAACATAAATAATAATATCAAGTAAGCAATTTAATAAGATTTTAATTATTGTAAGTACTTTATTGTGAAGTAAAGACGTAATTTTTATTTAACCCTTTCACTGTTATTAAAGGAAAATATACAAGTCATGCCAGAAAATATTCCTGGATTGTTGAGATTACATCAGTACAATATTTCGTAGTGGTTATGGCACTATGCTACAAGTCGGAAGGTCGCGGGTTCAAATACCGATGAGGTCATTGGATTTTTTTCAGTTGACCTAATCCTTCCGGCCGCACTATGGCCCTGGGGTTCACTCAGCCTCTAACAGAAATGAGTACCAGGAATTAAATAAATAATTTTCCTGGGAGGTAAAGCTCGGCCGGCGCATAAGGCTGACAACCTTACCGCCATCTTTGAGCTGATTGTCTAGATAATGCGGAACCCTTAACGTCTCACAACCCTATGGGCCTTCATGGCCTGTTACAGGGATAGCTTTACTTTTTTTTTTTTTTTTTTTTTTTTTACAATATTTCATGTGTGTGTATGTAAGTCATTTGCCTCATGGTGAAGATGGTGACTGCTGTGTACCCTGAAACCTTGGTACATCTTCAACATACATCATGTCTAAATGCTGGAAAGCCAGGGTCATGCAGTTAGTTTCAACAGATTTTTTTACAGCCTAAGCATGGCAAAAGGCTGAATTGACATGCTGCTTGTCCTACAGGACTGTCAGTATCAGTGCAACTGAGGAAGCCAGAGATTATGCTGTTTGCCGATTTGTCAGAGCACAATGGCCATGCCTTGTTGCTCCGTACTGAATTCCTCATAGACTACAGCCGCCACCCTGGTCGAGACTCACTGATCTGTTCTCTGGCAGGGCTGCAGATATTCTCTAAACTTCAGGGACGTAACAAACAGCCTCCACACCTGGTAAAAATTGTGTTCTATTTACTGTCTTTTTACTTATTTTTTATTTCAAAGTTTCACTATTCTTGTACTTCATAGCTAGTTTTGTACATAGTCCCCTTCATTAATATTCCAGCCTTCTGTTGCCTCATGAATTCTTTCCAACCATTTTAGTTCTGATCTCCAGATTTAATATTTTACATTTTATTTCCTGTGAATATGATGTCTTGGAATTCTTCCTGCTGTGGTAGTGTAGTTGGCTGAGGCACTATGCTACAAGCCAGAAGGTCACGGATTCAAGTCCCGATGAGGTCATTGGATTTCTTTTCAATGCACCTAATCCTTCCAGCCGCACTATGGCCCTGGGGTCGACTCAACCTCTAAAAGAAATGAGTACCAGGAATATTCTTGGAATATTCTTGGGAGTAAAGGGCAGCCGGCGTGTAGGGCTGACAGCCTTACCGCCATCTATGAGCCGATTGTCTAGAAAATGTGGGAACCTCAACATCTCACAATCCTCTGGGCATCCACAGCCTGTTACAGGGATAGCTTTACTTTCTTTACTTCTTACTTATTCCTCCTCCTCCTCCTGCCTGTGCTCCTCCTCTCCCTCCCACTCTTGCCTCTGCTCATCATCATTCTTCTCCTGCTCCCCTTGTTCCTACTCCTCTTCCTCCTTCTCCACCTTCAATTGTCTCATTCTCCTCCTGTCACTGCTCCTCCTCTGTCTGCCACTGCTTCTCTTACTCCTTCTCTTTCCCCTGCTCCTCCTGTTCCTCTGGCTCTTCCTTCCCTCTTTCTCAGGCTTTTTCTCCTCCTCCTCTTCCTTCTGGTCCTCCTCCTGACCCTGTTCCTTTTACTCCTCCATCCCTTCCTCCTCCTCCTGCCCCTGCTCCTCTTATTCCTTCTCCTTTCCCTGCTCCTCCACTTTTTTTGGCTTCTTCTCTTTTTCTTCCTCCTCCTCCTGCTCCTTCTCCTCCTCCTCCTCTTCTGGCTCCTCCTCTCTATTATTTTAATCTTCTCATAACATAATTTCAAATTCCAAATGGACAAAAAGTCTCCAGTCTGTTCTATCTTCCATGCAGAGATAAAAGCAGGCAGACTTTCTGTGCTCTTGAGCTAGATGGCCACTTTCCAGACATGTTAAGTAAGGACAATACACTGCACACTCTAAAATAAGATGGAAATAGAAACCATGTCACCAGCTGTCTCCTTACTTCACTTATGCATGTGTGTTGGTTGGCCAATGTCCAGTTACATATCCTGTGATTCCACTGACATGTGCACACATGCAAACTTAATTTCTTAGCAAATAATAATTTCTTAAGAAGAAAATTAGGTTTTGCTGAATTTGTTATTTAGGGCATTCTAAATGGTGCCCCCACCCTCTCAACAGGGAACAGAAGAAGCTCCAGATTATGAAATGTTGTGTTCTTCAGATTACTGGATGATGGACAAACTTCCAAACCCCAGAAATCCTGATTGTTATTTAGCATGTTGTATCTTAAAAATTTAATGTGTAACCAAAATTTTCATGAGGGACTATTTGTGGTACATATCTTTACTTTTACGATCATGTTTTATAATTTATTTAAGGAAAATGTTCTAAAACCCAATCATCTAAAACACAAAGTGCTTTGTACATGAGAAAGGGTGGAAATTATGTGGTTTGTTTTCAGGTTTTGCATCCATGTGATATAGAATTTGTCAAGAGTTTCAAGTCAGTGGAAGATGGACTAAAAGTGACCGCAACAGTCAGTACTATAGATGTTCATCTGTCAGCCAGCACTGTACACACTGTCAGTGATGTGAGTAATCTATGTAAAAACTGTTCCAAAGTAGATGATCACAGGTATATTCTTTTATATATTGAGTTCCTTTCAACAAAATGACTGTCAAAGTCAAATGATTGTCTAAAAGACCAAGAATCTTTACTCTGTATTCCTTACTCCTATTGGTCAACTCCAAGCCCTAGTCTGGTCCTCTCTTTCCCTACATCAGTACCACTTTTCCATTCTACCACTTACCATTCTACCCTGAACATGGAGTCAGCATGTCACTTCGCAACATTAGTAACCATCTACCAGTCTGCTTATGTTACATCCCAGAAGCCTGTAGCCTTAACAAGTAAAATTGTAGTTTGTATTTAAGTTTCATGCAGTGTGTGGTTTATATGATTCAGGTGATTGAAGACATCAGAAACTTGCTCCAAGCTGAAGAGACTGAAACACCAACAAAACTTGGGAATTATAATGCTGACTTGGATGATCTCTGGTCTCCAAAGAAAATTCAACCTTACATTCTCTCTGACACTTGTGGTAAGTGAATACAGTTTTGATTTTCCTAAATGCTGTGTAATCTGAGCCACTAAGAGCATTATTAAATAAACCATAACTAAATAAGTAACAATATTTGTTTGTGTTTTTAGAAAGTCTGTTGTATAGCCAGCCAGCTTATCCTGAAGGACGCCCTAAGGAAGCACTCACAGTGGCTGTTCCTAAGATATGTGTGGTTTTTGAGCTGGAAGATGGAAATCACAGGATACCTGTTCTTCTCTTCAAGTCATCTATAGAAGCCAATGTCAATGACTGGTCCAAACAAATGTATATGAAAGGTAGAATATCTGTAAAACGTTTATATGTCTAGAAATTAGACCAGTGTTTCTCAACTAGTGGGACTTTACAGGGAGTAGGATGGAACATGAGGTCTCAAAATTATCAGTTCCTCTCATTCATTGATACAATACTAAAATGTATATAATTGTAAAAATACACTTCTTGGAAAAAGTGAAGCATTGTTTTTACTATGATGAGACTACCATTCCTTTGATAAAGTGACTAGGGGGGTGCTAGATACAAATGCTTGAGTTTCACTGACCTAGACTATTTATGATCAACTCATGGAAGATTATATTGGAAAGGCATGCAGCATGTGTGAGAGATGAGACGTGCACATAAAATTTATTTAAGAAACTAGAAGGGAAGAAATGAGGATATTATTTTAATAGATTTTAAAGTATTAAGGTTGGAGGATATGGACCGAATTTATAGGGCTTAAGGATAAGTACCAGTGGCAGCCTCTTGTAATATTTTTAATAAATTTATGGTTTCCATAAAAAGTGGTAAATGTCTTGATTTGCTTAGCAACTGCTCAGAGGTAGTAGTTCAGCAGTTAGCAAGCTATTTGGTTAATTTAAATATAATGTATATTTGTACATTATGGTCAACAAAGGGCATTAAATGTTGCTGAATTTGCTGTGCTAATTGCAGTGAAGGATAAATGTATTTAAAGTTACTGTTCTTTTTCTGGAGGTTGTCCACTATCTTGTATTCCAAAGGTACACAACATTTTGGAAAGTGAGTGTGTTTCTGCTCCCAGGTGAAAGAATGAGGTGACATCTCAGTTGCGTCCTTTAGGAATTGCTAATCTCTGGTCCAGGGTTTGGGTTTATTTCTTTCTATTGGACCCACTGTGTAGGTGCCTTCTGGCCCTATCACCTGAAAACACAAAGAGCTCCACTTTGCATTACTGGAGTTTTGGACTTTGTCCATCGTCCAGTTTTCTTCTTCCAGAAAGAATGTAACATTTCAGAAACTGAATCTGTTCCACCCTCAAGTGTGGAGGCAGAAGACGACTACTCTGTTGGGTCCATTAGAAAGAGCTCACCTCAGTCTCTGGACAGCCTATGTCAGTGTAGCTATAGCTACGTATATACTGCAAATAAAGATTTGTCAGTGTGAGATAGTAGGAAAATGTACAATAGAAACTGAGACCATGCACAGACCTTCAACTAAAATAGAAAAGGAGATGGGAAATGAGTGTAACAAACCAAACCAAACCAACAACAAAATCCATAAACAATAATTCATATAATTGTTGTGTTCTTTAGAGTACCGGACCATGGATAAAGATCAGAAATCCAGTAATCCTGAGTGTTAATTGCCATTGTCATATCTTTTGAAATCTACACATAAACAGATCAAGTTTTTAAAACATTTTATTCTGAAAGAATATCCCACCATGGACAGAATCAAGAAACAGGGTAATTCCAAATGTTATCACCAGGGCCCGGATTTTGATGACCTGAATATATTTAAAAAATGACCTATAAAATAACGGAAAAATCCAGGAAAATGACCAAAAATATGATCTAAAAATGTAATATGCAGGGCCCGGATTTTGATGACCTGAAAATATTAAAAAAATGACCTATAAAATGACCGAAAAAATCCAGAAAAATGACCTAAAGGAGAAAAGAAAGAACACTTCGCTTCCATGTTATTCACATTTCAGAAAACATATGAAGAAAAATTCCCTAAAATTGCCAAAAAATGACAAGAAATACCCTTAAAAGTCCAAAATATTACCCCCAAAATGAAAAAAATACCTATAAAATTTACATTTCTGTAGCCAGCAGCTCATATCCGAGAGTTATATATTTAAGAGCATCGCATAGGATACAAGGAAAAAAAGATGACATGTCATCAAAATCCGGGCCCTGGTTATCACCATAACCCTTTAGAATTATGATATATATTGTTAGGCTGCTGTTCTTATTTCTTAACACAGATGAAGCTTATGGCCTTGTGTGAATTTTGTGGGTGTGCTGCTAATAACCTTTTGAACCAAATGGGAAGATTTCATGAACCTTTTGTTATCTTCAGCCGAGATACAGGTGCAGGCCTCATACTATAATGACAGAGTTGGAGCGTGGGAGCCCCTTATTGAGCCCTGTGTGGAGGAAGAGAATGTGTACAGGCCTTGGGAGATCTTTGTGAAGGTACTGCATAACATAACAATTAGAACAAATATTATGCATTATTATCCATCGTACTGTTTCTGTCTAAAACACAGTGTTTCGGAGACTGGATTCTGTCTCCGTCTTCAGGTAAAACCTACTTGGTTGGGTCCAATCCATAGAGCTAGTTACTATCTCCGGGGACAGTTGGCCCCAATTGATAGAGCTAGTCACTCTCTACTGAGATGATGACTAGCTCTAACGATTGGGTCCAACTGAATAGGTTTTACCTGAAGATGGAAACAGAATCCAGTCTCAGAAACGTTGTGTTTTTAAATATAAAGAGGATGGTGTTTTAGATAAAAACAGGACAGTTGATAATGTCCAGAAGCACAATATTTGTACTAGTGTGTCATCATCACAGATTTTTAGATGTTATAACAATTAGAGTTATCAAGACAGATTTGTCATTTCCATAAGAGCTAGATAATTTTATTTTCTTGAAAGATTTCTAAATATTTAGGTTCATTATGAGATAAGGTCTATTCATTTCAACCTAACAGTGATGTTTCCAGTTTCTTCCTCTGTTTTCAACTTTCTCACCTAATTCAGCTGTCAAGTTTTGGTCTTCTTCTGAATCTTCTTTGTACATTACTAACTAACTAACCCTCTGGTAGCAGAATTCGAAGGCTCAACACCGCTAATATCAAAGCCCACCACTGGACATGATCCTGAGCCAGTTCCATCCACCTCCCATCCTCACAGCCTGTTTCCTTAAGATTCATCTTACTATTTAAACTGACTCTAGGGTAGCAGAGCCTAAGGTGTGACATCATTGATACTAAAGCACTAAATGTTACAATTTGGGTGGGTTAACTCCCCTTTGTTTCCATCCCTCCACCCACTCATCCCTCCCTATATTCCTTTTACTACCACTTGGAGCATAAGGCAACTGTGAAACATTGTTTCGCTTCAGTTCTCTTTTGTTTAACTGTCTCAAAAACCTTAGGACTGTAATGCACTTGGCATGAAATTTGCTTTTCATTTTACTTATTTATTTGAAACATTTTTCAGTCTTATAAATCCTTAGCAAGTTATGATCCATACATGTGTGCAGAAACACATGCAGGTCAGCATGTAATGTGTCCATTGTTGTCATTCAGTTTCAATCAAAACTGGAACATGCTGACAAATATTAACAAAACTACACAGTACCAAATTTCATGAATACCCATTAAGTGGCTGTCTAACTGTTGCATGTCTACAGTTGGCTGGATAAAAAAGGACCAGGATGAAACTAATAAGTGCACTTTCTCAACTGTTCTTCGTGAATGTGTCAGTAACCCAGTTTGTTTCATATCGAAGGCAGGTTAGAGCTAGAAAATTATATTTATTAATGCCTTATGTAATGTGGAGGTAAACCTTCACATAACAGGTTTCCTTCTTGTAAGTGTAAGTCTATTTAACCACTGATTTTAGGTTTTTCAAGCTAAAGCATTCCCAATTTCAAGTCGGCTGGACCATGATGCTGCGACAGAAACAGACAGCAGTCACACAAAGATTGAACGTCGAGCAGTGAGCAGGATGGCTGAGGATTCTGAAACATCTGCAGATGACACAGAGCCAGAAAATGGGATGACATTCATAAGGAGACACAACGTTCAGTCATCACACACTTTGAAAAGAAATGCAAATGGTGAGCTTACAGATTGGTCCATCATATCATTACTTTTTTATATATGGACCAGATCCTTGAATTCCACATATTGTGGCAATCCAATAGCAAGAAAATAATATCAGAATGTTTTCTATATGAGACAGAAATCTTCTATTACACTGTCTCTCTAAGTAAAAGTGGATATCATGTGGTGATGTCAAAAACTGGGCAATGTGTTCTTGCTAGAATTAGAGTCAGTTTATTGGATGTGGTGTTCTCACAATGGCGACTGTGAAGTGTACTGTATTCTGGCCTATGATGCAGTGTAATCTGGTATAAATGCAGTGACATCTTGGAGAACCAGTCTGCCTCCATCTTCAGGATTAGAGATATGCTAAGCTAGCAAGAAGCAGGCAGGAAGCTGAGTGAGGTGTTATGCTGTATAGTCTATTATAAGTTAACTAACTTTTCAAAGGAATATACTGTCTCCGTTTGCATGGTCAACGATATACTAAGCAGGCAATGAGAAAAAGCAAGAACTTGCTGCAATACACTTCTCTGAAATGTCAGTGAACTTGTACAATACTGCACTGAGTCATATCCCAGAAGATACTAATAATATTTCCTATGTAAGTTAACATGAAGAACAAGTAGTTAGCTTCTTGTGGCCAATGAGCAAGTCAGTGTTTCAAGATACAGTCTTCTGGGATGTGGTGCCATGTAGTTCGTTAGAGAACAAACCAACATTTTGGAGAAACCTGCTGCCTCCATGTCGATGATGACCCTGTCAACCAAATTACATGGTGCTGCATTCCAGAAGTCCACTGTCTAAACAGTCACTGCTCTGAGAACCTAAAATCCGTTAATTGTTTAATTAACAGTGCTCAGAGTACCAAGTTTAGCAGATAGAGGGTGTCACGTGGTCAGCACAATGAATCCCCATGGTCGTTAATTTCGGTTTTCTAGACCGGAGCCACTATTTCCTTGAAATAGCTCCTCAATTATCATCACGAGGCTGAGTGAACCCTGCTCCAGATGCACTACTTCTCAGAAAAATCTAATAGTGCCAAAAAAAAAACACAGAGTTTTCTTTTTGTCAGTAGCTCAGAAAAGACAGCATATAATATTAGGATGATTACTGAATAACCAGTTGGAAAGTATGAGTGGGGAAGCAGGTGTAACCTAATCAGGTTCTATATTGGTATTTTTCTTAAAGGACTGAGTAAAACAATGAGAACCTTCACTTAGAGTGTCAAATACTACATGCGCAGGAGAGGAGTGTGAACCAGGGCCAGTCTAGATGTGGGTACAAAGAGAAATAATTCTGCCCCGGTCTGGAATTGAACCTTAGCCATCTGATCCTTAGCACAGAGTAACATTATTGACTTTTCTATCCTGGTTCCTTGTTAAAATATCTGAATGGCTATAAAATTTTCATAGTGTCTGCCCTCCAGTATGGCTGTCAATATCATACTGAGCCAGAAATCAGAATGTGTTGTTCCTCTCTTGATGTATATATAATTTGTTGCTGCTGTTGCAGAAAACGTGAGCTTGATTGGCTATCCTGATGACACAGATTCAGAAGATGAGGAAGGGGTGCTGGAAAAACTTGCAGGAGCTGTAGGACATTTATTCACTGGGTAATGTTTTATTCTTTTAGTTCTGTAAGACATAACTTTATTTATGCTGAAGCTTGGTACTTAGGAATTCCCATTATAGAAGTGGTAACAGAACTCTGCCTCAAGTCTGTGAATTAAGAAACTTGGTTATGACAATTATATATTAGAGTCTTTTTCTTAGTAACAGGAGCAAATATGTTGTGTCTTCATAACTTGTACTCTTCTCCAAGTATAATTAGAATGATCAAGTCAAGGAGAATGAGGTGGGCAGGGAATATAGCACGAATGGGGGCAAAGACAAATGCATATAGGATATTGATGGTTAAGCCAGAAAGAAAGAGACCATTGGGAAGACCAAGGCATAGGTGGGTGGACAATAATAAAATGGATCTTAGAGAGATAGGATGGGATGGTATGGATTGGATTGATCTGGCTCAGGATAGGGACCAGTGGAGGGCTCTTGTGAACATGGTAATGAACCTTCGGGTTCCATAAAATGCTGGGAAATTCTTGAGTAGATGCAGAATTGGTAGCTCCTCAAGAAGGGCTCAGCTCCATGAGTAAGTAAGTAAGTAAGTAATATGTTGTGTAACATTGGCTTTCAGAGTTTTTCTGAATTGTATGTTTAAACTGTTACAGTGTCTTGGAATACATTTCAGTCACTGATTCACCCTGGAACAGCAATGTACACTGAAATGTTGGAACAGCTTCAACATCTTACATGCTGGCAATAGCTTGGGCACAATCCAAATGTAATGTTTATGAATAACCACCAAGTAGTATAGCGACACTTGAGCTGTCTAATAACTCCCATGAGTTTTACAGTTATGTGAATATTGCAGGTTGAAACTGAACCTTAAAACAAATGTCTGACCAATGTAAAATCGAAAGTCACTTTTTTTTAATTGTGGCAGTTTTATTACTGGTGTATGACATGGCTAAACCCTGAAAATCAAAGTTACATATTAAATACAACCCATGAACATTTAAATACAAAAAGAACATATTGTCATTAATCTGTAGTAAGTGTAGTCACTTTGACATGTTCATTGCCAATCCTGTCACCTGATGGAGTGATGTTTACTGATTGCAATGCTAATACCATCCAGTGATGGGCTGTTGTCACTGTGTACATAAATGTCATGTTCTCCTCAAGAAACCACTTAAATACAGAAAATACAGAGAAGCTTTAAATGTAGCTTGTCAGAGCTAGGAAGAGTTGAATCATGCAGTGACTGTCAGTTATTCTTTGCTTGTTCTCTTCCATTTCTGCTTTTAACTTAGTATTCATACTTCATTCATTATTTGTACAGTGTACAAGGAAAATATCACATTTAGGGATGGTTGTGTCACTCTGACCATCCAGCAGCCTGTGTGCATCTACATACTTAAACTTGAGAACTGCTGGTCAAATTTTAACGGAATTTCATACGAACATTGTACCATTTCAGGTCACATTTTAATTCCATAGAGTTGATAATATCAATATGGCAGACACACAGATTTGTGAGGTGGGAGTGACACTGGTATAGCTATTTAAATGCGGTAACAGCACAAACCAGTGTTTTCCTTGGTAACCAGGGGTAGGATATTAACCTTGTTAATGATAGTAATTGTGGTAATGACTGAAATAAAAGCAATAACACTAATGAAATTCAGAGCTATAACTAACTGACTAACTAACTAACTAAATGGATCTGAGCTATTCTTAAGAATTTCCTAACATTTTGTGGAACCTGCAGGTTCATTACCATGTTCACAAGAGTCCTCCACTGGTACCTATCCTGCATCAGATCAATCTAGTTCATGCCACTCCATCCTGCCCCTCTAAGATCCATGTTAATGATATCCACCCATCTACATCTTGGTCTTTCTAGTGATATCTTTCCTTCTGGCTTTCCCACCAATTCCTACATATGTTCCCCTTCTCCCCCCATTCATACTACATGCCCTGACTCCCCTTGACTTGATCATTCTAATTATACTTGGCAGAGGGTACAAGTTTTGAAATTCAGAGCTATAGGAAATGTAAATTCACTTGTAACATGTGTGGAAACTGCACACTGCGGCACAGTATGGACCTTTCCATTAAAGACTTGGGATTTTTTTCCTGAGCCATATTGGAAGACACAAGCCCCATACACAATTCAAAAATCTTCTTGCTGAACAGATTTATTTCCTCACACTTTGCTTTCTGCTGAATATTTCATTACTATTTTGCAAACATGTTTGTTCATGTTCAGCTATCCTTGCATCTTCTGAACATTCAAGTGGAGATGATCTCTTCCAATTTCAGTAACTTTCTATGCATTTTGGTCAGCTTTAGTCTATTCAGACAGGCCAAACCAAGAAGGAAACGTTCTTTCTGTATACCAGATGATGGAAACATCCAGTTTCTGAAAAACTGCATTTGGAAGAACTCAAGGCTAGGCAAAATACTAGTCTTGTTTACAGATATGTCATTACAAATTCTGACAATAGCAGATTTAGTGAGACCTTGGTAGACTTGTAATCAACTGTCTTGCCTCTAGAGATAGCAGCGATGGAGAAGCCAGTGAATCAGAGGATTCCAGTGGGGCTGAACCATCTGTTGAGACTGAGGAGGCCTCAGAAATAACCATGAGCTGTGGCAGCACTGTGGTTGGTAGAGACGAGAGAGCAATATTCCTGAAGAAGCAGAGTAAGTGACAGTTTCCTTTGCTTTTGTCTCTCTACTTGATACTTTTTTCTGTTCACAAGAATAATGCCTATTTATGAAAGGACTGTAAAGAACTGAAATGAGGATAGGATTGATGGATAGGAATTTTTGATAGGAGACAACATGGTTGTGTTAGTAATACCAAGTTTTGCACTTACATTTTTGCAAAAATCAAACTTTTAGAACAGAATTTGCCACTAGATTTTGTCTGTGTGAGTGTGACTTATAGACCTCTTGTGAGAGTGAGTGAAGTGCATTCAGAAAATTGTGTGTCTGAGCAGATGACTCCATAGACTCTGGATTGGAGACAGAGCTGCCAGATCGCCTGGCAATGTACTTCATGTTGGAGGCAAAGGATCGGCTAGACATAACACTGACTCCAGCAAGTCTTCAAATGTTGCATGATCTCACCACAGCATTCACTCGTAGTATTCCAGACATCCCTCCTGCTGCATTCCATGGACTAGAAGCGCCCCTGTCACTGCAAAATGACCTGGGGCCTTGGACAAAGGTTACATTGCTCTCGAGGGCTGAGGTAAGTTATAATGAGCACAGTTTGCTCTGAATTTGATGTGGAACACTGTGAAGATAAATGTGTTTGAAATGTGCTGTTGTGTATCAAGTGTTTTGGAGGACGGTATTGCATCCATCTTCAGAGTATAAGAGTAGTTTCTTCTACCCAAGTGATAAAGGTAGTGATTTGGGTGAGAGGGAGTGTTAACTCTATACCATAGGATACTAGGATGTTGTGAAATTTTACATATTGCCATTGACTAGCCGGTTCTTGTGAACATCTGGGTTCCATAGAAGGTGGGGAATTGCTTGAGTACTTGACTCTTAGCTTCTCAGGAAGGGCCGTGCTCCATGGAGGTCAGTTTATTAGAATCATCACATACACAGAATCAAGTAGCATAACAGAAGTTTATGTGAGGCTCAAGGTTTTCATTCAGGTGAGTATTCAAGTCTTCTGGGGCATGACACCATGTAGCTTGGTAGATAGTAAAATAGCTACCAAACTGAACGGCATTATCACATGGTTTGGCATAGTTATAACATGTTAGGCTTACATTCAGTAGGTACTCAGTTCAAATTTCAGCCAGGACACTGGCTATCCTGACAGGTTCAAGTGGTTTTCCTCAGTTCTTCTAGGCAACTGTAGGAATAGTACCTCAATTAGGTCATGGCTGCTCAAGGCCAATTCATCATTCATCTGCCATCCTTCTGTTCCATACTATATACTCTAGATGCTGAGAACACCATAAAAAGATTGTGGCCTTACATGACAGAAGATGATAGCATGAATACCAGGAGGGTGAATAAAATTACATACTTTGTATTTCAGACTACACCCGATGGTAAAGACAGAATTGTCATGACAGCGTTGTACAATAAGTCAGATTCACTTCCAAGCAGCCCTGCCTCTACAACTGGTGGCTTAGGAGATGTTAGTCCAACTGACTCTGACATAGACATAGAAAGGTAAGAAAGTGACACTGGAGAGAGCTAATCGTACTCTTGTGTTCTTGTTCATTCCTGGCTGAATCAGTGCTGTTTTCCACCTAAATCCTTCGGGAAGTCACAAGTTCAAATTTCAGCCCAGACATCAATTACCCATTGTGAGATTTTTCATGACTTCTGCAGTATTTCTAGTTTAATACTGGTGTGATATGACTAGGACCTGTTTGCTTTATTTCCAATACTTTCCTGAGCATTGCATATATTGTGATTGTTTTTAGACCTGGCTGTTTCCAACAGAATATACAGTGGATCTGGTCCACTAACTGAGATAATAATTGCAGGTTATTTGTTACTCATCATGGCGTCACCCTCCCTTACTTCCACACTGCAGCTGAAACCACTACGATGATACATTTTGTCACATTTATCCTCATAAACAACTCCAGATGCCATGTCTAAAAACACAGCTCAGTCTTCCTATTTGATTCTGAATAATCACTACAGTTTTTATAGATTCATTAGGCCCTTCAAGTTCAATTTTCTTTTTATGAAGTTGGCATTCCCATGTAAGTGTATGCAATGTAATTAATAAGAAAGCCATATCAAAAGAAGATAATTAAATTGTAATCCAATTTGAGCCCCAAGCAGAAGCAGTACCAGGAGGTGGTTATTTACTTCGTCACTATCAAAATATATGGTAACTAAAAATATCTTCATCACTCCGTAACCAGCCAAGTGCTGGGACAGAGATGAAGTACCCAACTTAATGACCGACAAATATGATAATGTGCTATCTGATTAGTGATATTTGCATATCTGAGATGGTAGTGTAGATGACTGTGGAGCAATGACATGTTTTATATCCATTTTTGGATCTCTTGAACTTACAATAAATACAGTGATGAAGTGATGATTAGAGGAGTTTGCTCCAGTGCCATCCAATCCACAGTAAATCGCCAATGAATACTAAGACAGTGAAAACCCATACAAAGACAAAAGGGAGTTGGATACTTTATTCAGACACCTGTGCCTGTGAGATCCATTACAAAGTCTGGTGAGCTTAAGACTCTATGGTGGTGATATGAGCAACAATAACAGTGGTGATCATGATGATTTTTTTTCTTTTCCAGCTTTGAAGGAGGATTTAGCTCACAGAGCAATGAAGGAACCTCAGGACAGGAGCTGTTTTCACCGCTTCTGAGGTTTCCTGGCGATTCTGTAACCAAACTTTATAAGAAAGTGACAGAGGAAAGGTTAATCATTGAGGTGGAAGGTATGTTAATCTTTCAAAGTACAAAGGTAACTATTAATACCACTGCTTTAATATTAAACAGTCTGCATTTTTCTCACTCAGTGTATTTATGTGTTTTTCATGATTATTTCCCTGAACAATTCTTATTGTTAAAAAAAAGTATAAAGTAAAGCTACCACCATACCAGGTTGTGAAGGCCCATAGGGTTGTGAGACGTTGAAGGTCCCACATTGTCTAGGCCAAGGATCTCCAAATTACGGCCCGCGGGCCACATCCGGCCCGTGATGTGATTTTATCCGGCCCGCGAAAGAATTGTGCAGAAATGCGCCAATTGAACTAATTTTCCAGTGAGTACTGGTAAATGTGATTCCGAGCTTATTGACCTGACATATTATACTGCAGTTCGATGGCTTAGCTGTGGAAAGGTTCTTTCGCGCTTCTTTCAGCTCAGGAATGAAATTGATATATTTCTTACCGAGAAAAACCATCACGAAACACTCTTATCAGATACCGAGCGGCTTTGGAAATTAGCATTTTTTGCTGATCTGGTGAACCATATGAACCATTTGAATTTAAAGTTGCAGGGTGAAAATAACTTAGTCTGTGATTTATTTGCACTTATCAAGGCATTGAGAGCAAAGTTGATACTTCTGGAAAGCCAAGTGAAAAATTGTAACTTTGTTCATATGCTATACTGTGCAGAGTTGCATAAAAAGGGTGAAGCAGAATTTCCTTCCTCATTTGCAGATTTAGTCATTTCAGATTTGAAAGAATAATTTCAGAAGCGATTTGCTGATTTGGATTCCAGTGCTCAGGAAATTAAGACTGTTTCAAAATCTGTTTGACTGTAATGCTGCAGATATTCCAAGTCAAATTCAAATAAAAATTATTAAACTCAGGAAAATTATCATATTAAAGACAAATACAAGGAAGGAATTTTGATCAAATTTTATAAATTTCAGGACTCTGAGCAATTTCCAAATTTAAAGAAATTTGTCTGTAAATTTATTTCCATTTTTGGGACAACATATCTGTGTGAACAAATTTTTCCCAGATGAAGTACATCAAGTCAAAATACAGGGTAAATTTATCCGATGAACATTTAAAGTCGCTACTTGTGGTTAGTGTTTCAAAATTTGAACCTCAATTTAATCAGATTTTAAGAATGCAAAAAGAGTTCCATCATTCATATTAATTGTTTTATTATAATTTGTGATAAAAATATGAGCATTTGCTGCTACTGTCTGTTGTCATTAATATACGATAATTTATTCTCACGTACTTTGTATTTAGTTTATGAAATTCTGTGCTTTTGATAAAACTCATACACCTAGAGTTATTAATTTCTCATTTTATCTGGCCCGTTGAAAGTGCTGAATTACCTAATGTGGCCCGCGGTTCGAAAAGTTTGGAGACCCCTGGTCTAGACAAGATGCTCAAAGATGGCGGTAAGGTTGTCAGCCCTATGCGCTGGCCGCGCTTTATTCCCCAGGATAATTATTTAATTAATTCCTGGTACTCATTTCTGTTAGAGACTGAGTAAACCCCAGGGCCTAGTGCAGCTGAAGGATTAAATTTGTTTTTGCAAGCTATGAACTGAAATTTAAATATTATTGGGATAAGTATCAGGTTTTGACAGGTATTGCATTGAATAGCTGAGATTGTTCCATATCCAGGTTTAACGTTGTTCCTGGGTAATATTGTACTTCAGCATTGTGTTGCAATATTATTAATCTTCAGTGGATAAATGTTTTCACTCTTCAAGTTCAATGTTTTTATTCTTGCCTCCTATCCTATGTACACTATTCTGCAACATGTTTTGACCTGCCAAGGCCATCTTCAGGCAAAAGTTACTCTAACTAAACTTGTTGCACAGTCAGTTCAATATATTCATGTGGGAAACATGTTATTATTTTCAATAAAAATCCTCTAAAATTAATAAAATGCCGGTACCAAATGACTGCTAGGAGTGTGCATTGTCAACTGTGTGTTATATCTGTAATATTTTTGTAAGGACTGTATTATATATTAACTGTTAATGTTCTGTTGTATTATATATCTTAGTAAAAGTAAGTATGCCTGAGAATGGCCATGTGAGGCCAAAACATTTTGTAGAAGAGTGTATGTAAGATAGAAGGCAAGAATTAAAATGATGCATTTGTACAGTGAAAAGAACTTAGCCACTGAAAATCACTCCTGAGTAAGTGGGCTCAAGCAGTAATGCTTCTGTGACTTGTGTCTAGGGAGTGAGAGATTAAAATCACAACTGGCAAACTGACTGTCCAAATAGGGGTTCTTAATCTGTTTCCTCCCTTCCTCAAGGCAAATGCCCAGAATGACCTAAATTAGGCCATGACCATTTCCTTCCAAAGCACTTACAGTTCCTTGTTCACTGTCATCCATGCATCTGATGCTACACAGACTGCTACTGACAGCTACAGACAAATAAAGGTAAAACATTTGTCCAAGAGAGTCCTATGTTCAATCCCAGTGTAGGGTGTGATGGATTTGTTTATGTTTTTGTTTATTTATTTATTTATTTATTTATGTGGTGTAAACCAGAAATATGTACAAAATCTGGATTGTAAATATACCAGGTGAATATAGGAAAATGGTATTAAAATAACAAAAGTTGAGTGATTAGCACCTGAGGTTAATATTTGAGACATCCTAGGTTCAATTCTTATTCCAGAGGCTGCCAATCCTTAGGTTTCTCACATGTTATATCCATTCTTTGAGGCTAGTGTTGAATTGTACTTTAAAATCCAACAGAATTGTTCCTTCCAGTATCTTTCCCAGTTCGTTATTTACACACATTCCCAGCAACAGGCTGTGGAAGGTCATGGGATTGTGAGATGCTGAGGCTCCCACACTTTCTAGACAATCAGTTCACAGATGGCCGAGAGGTTGTCAGCCTTATGCACCAGCTGCCTTTAATCTCCAGGAAGATTCCTGGTACTCATTTCTGTTAGAAGCTGAGTTCACTTCAGGGGCGTAGTGCGAGTGGAAGGGTTAGTTAAATTGAAAAATCCAATGACCTCATTGGGAATCGAACTAGTGACCTTCCAGCTTGTAGCATCGTGCCTCAACCAACTATGTTATTGCATGGCCCACAGTTGAGATAACACCATTAAATAAATAAAATTAGCATGGACAAAGAAAGATTTGTTTTGACATGCTGAAAATTGAAGTTAAATTTTGTTGGCTTAGCTTTCAGTTGCAGGTTTTCATGATGGTAGTGATGCAACTTTGGGCCGAAGAATACGGGCTTTTGGGACACAACAATGTGTAATCTGATAGAGGTTTACAGGTATTTCAGAGGATGTACTACTTTCATCTTCAGGGTTGAAGAATGAGCCAAGCAAGTAGTAAACTGACTACTTTTCCTGCTTAACTTACTCTTTTACCCTTGGAATTGGATGCAGTATGTTCCTTCGTAACAATAATGAACTTCTACCAGACAGTATGACATTACATTCCAGCTGGCAGTGATCTTCATAGTCACTGCTGTGGGCACCTCAAACCTCACATATCTTAGGTTACAAAGCAGCAGGAAATTTACTGAATAGCTGAATACCTAGAGACTGGACCATGAAGTTGGTGATAATGTTTCAGGTTTCGACAAACTTGAGGTAGTGGCACCTCAAAGGCTCATCTCCAAATTACATATGTTGCATCCTATGAAGAACAACACTCGTTACTATGCAGTGGTGAACGTGGATATCCACCATTGCCATCGCAAATTATCTGTTAGATCTCCCCTGCAGGTAAGCAAGCAATAAATTACAGCTGACACAAAGCTAGCATCTAAAACTGATGCTCATTGTACTTGCTTTGCATGGCATGCATAAAGGGGACAGCAATTGTCTGTACATTTGAGGTTGAAAATTCTTGGATTTCAGTTGGTATTAGTGATTTTCTGGACTTTGTTCATTATGTAGTATTCTGACAGGATACAGTGTTACAGTAACTGAAGTTTTATCACTGTTCCAGTGATTCAAGTAAGATCTTTTTTTGGAGTGAGCTGAGTTGGTGCTTCCTCATCTTTTCATCTGAGGAGAGAAGCAGATTAATTTTCTAAAATATCATGTTCTATTCTGAATACTACACTATGGGCAAAATCTACAGTTTATTAATCCCATGTATATTGTACTATCACCAGGAACCTTTAGATTTTAGTCACATTTTAATTCTTGAATAACACCTCTTCAATTTAATTTAGGATCCTAAAAGAATGTAGGACAATAGTGTAATCTTTGAAAAACACATGACTTTTGTCTCTTCTGATCTGGGCAATTATAGGAATGATAGGACAAAGTGGTAAGCAGTAGTAGCTCTACTAGTGTAGATGTGATGTGTCATCATCACAGTGGTTCAGCAGAATCTTCTGTCTCTATATTCCTCGTTGACACTGAAGATGGAGGCAGTAGATTCATCCAAAATATTGGTAGCCATATACCAAACTATATACATGGCATAACATCCCAGGAGACTATAATATGGTTACACACTGCTGTAAGACCTTCATATCTCACATGATGAATGTCACATTTCAAGATACAATGTCATTAAAGAAGTGGTAGTATATGGATTGTGTTGTTTTTGTTATAAAGGTGAAAAATGAGACATCATATGCCATGGGACTGTACTATAAGAAGTCTGTGCTAGATGCCCTTGGTGTGGAGCATGTTGGAGAGTCAACAAATCCGTTTGAGGATACAATCAGGGTTGCAATAGTGGAGCCAGATGAGACCTTCAGTATCCCATTGTATGTGGCTTACCACTGCAAACTGTTCATCTTGCCAGCCTACGTAGAGTAAGTGTTTCTCTACCTTATATTCAGGGCTCCACTTAAAGTTCACCCACCCACTCACTCACACAGCTTTCTGGACAGTTTCACACTCTCATTGGCCTGATCCGTGAAGAATTATACCTTATGTATATGTCCATGTGAGGCTCGATTTCAGTCTGGTCAAATTTCTTCCATAGTCTTTAAAAATAATTTTTAGCTCTTACTCTTGAAAAACATACACATGCATAAATACACATATAGAGAAACAGGCTCTGAAAACCTGTTAGAAATTCTTTGTTGATAGGTTTTTCCTTGTTGTCTTGATGGCCTCAGTTTTCTTCTGGGCCGAAGCATTCTGTTGAGCTGGCTGGGAAAATAAGCATTGTTCCTGAAAGTTCTTCTATAGTTAGTTAGTTGCCAGTGCTAAGATGTTTAGGTTGACTTTTTCAAGATGTTATTTGCCTTAAACTTATAATAAGATCCAGAGGACATGGCAATTTTGGGCCAGACAGTGGTATTGTTCACTATATGTCAACTGTCTTCAGACTCTGTGGCCCAGGGATCAGCATAATACGGGCAAATTACAATATAAAAATCACAAATCTCACTTCCATGGAATGCTCTCAGACTGGTGAAAGACAGCCTGGGAATAGGTGCTCCTGGCATGTACAAGAGCCTATGTGAATGCAGGCATGTGTGTTGCTGAGACAGGCTGCAAGATTGGAGAACTCACATTGGAGCACCAGAAGGACCTGTGGTTCTATCATCCAGAGTGCTCAGCAGTGTCAAAACGTTCAGTCAACCGGGTGCACCAAACATACTTTGAGGACACCATGGAATTAGCAAAGCTGCCCCACTATGTCCGAAGAGTTATGAGGGAATCACAGAAATCAGTGTATCTGAGAACTTCAATAGAGAGGGTTGCTACCAGTTACACCCTGCCTGGAAGATCATTCACACACTCAAGCAGCAGAGAGGACACCACAATTGCTGTAAAGCCCATGCAGATGAATGCACAGCCACAGTGACTGAATAAACGATAGTGTGAATGATTCAAGGAAGTCACACAACCTTACAGCTTTGCTAGTGTTGTATAGAGGACAGAAACAGTGATATTTGAACTATAATGCAGTAAATGCTTCAGAACAAAACTGGCATGATATTATTAGGCCTAGAAGCTCATGAGATTTGGCATGAGAATCTACATCCATTGCCACACTCTGATGTTCTCATAACACACCATCATAAAAACTTCCAAATTTATTTGAAGTCACGGTAATAAGAGAAACCAAAGTAAATTTTGTAAAGAATTTCAAAATTGTAAGAAATGTACAGAGAGCACGGGGTAGTGTAGTTGGTTGAGGCACTATGCTACAAGCTGGAAGGTCACAGGTTCGAGTCCCAAGGAGATCATTGGATTTTTAAATTGTCCTAATCCTTCCAGCTGCACTATGGCCCTAGGATCGACTCAACCTCTAACAGAAATGAGTACCAGGAATCTTCCTGGGGGGTGAAGGGCTGCCAGCACATAAGGCTGACAACCTCACCTCCATCTGTGAGCTGATGGTCTAGAAAATGTGCGAGCCTCGACCTCTCACAACCCTATGGACCTCTACAATCCCACTCGAGACATGGGTGTCTCTGTGTGCGTTTATTCTGTGTTTGTGTTGTTCTGTGTGTAGGAAGAGGCCTTGCAACAGGCTGATCCCCCATCAAAGGAGTCCTACCAATTCTGTATAGCGTTAAGAAACTGAAAAAGCGGCCAAGGTTCAAAGGCTTATAGAGTCAGAGAGAGAGCGAGAGAGAGACTCTAGCCCACATTAAGCCTCCTGTGCCAAGTGAGTTTGTCTATTTCTGGAGTCCAGATAACATATACTTATTTTGAAATTAAAATAGAGTGAATGTCAAGATTACATTCTTGTGGTATCTAACAGTGTCTAGTCTGGTAGGTTGGTACCTGTATTTCAGAGGAACACACTGCCTCACTGAAGATGGAGGGGTGCAGGTACCTCTCCAGCTTTCATATCGATCTACCAGATGATACCTCATGAGACCCCAAAAGATCATAAACTTAGCATTCACTGCATGTGAACTTCAGATGTCATGGTAAAATGCTGACTAAAATTTCGCTCTTGTTCTTTGCAGTAGTTACCATGTCAGTGAAGTAGGGCTCTGGTGGCAGGAGCTGGCATCAGACTTGAACACTCCAAAAGATATCTACTGCTCTCCAAAAGAAGAGAAGGATGCTACAGTTTTCTCTGTTAGGGTGTGTATTATCAAGTGGTGTATCTTTATTTTTTAGCTTCTTTGGGATACACTTGTGATAGAAGGGTTCAATTTAATAGCTATATTGAGACTTGGAAAGAAGAACTAAGGATGGAGAGAATGACAGTGCTCCCAGCTTCCCCCTTTATCCACATCTGGCCCATATCAACCAACCCCAAATCCTTGTTGCTAGTGAAGGGTGTCATGCAGTTATCGCTGGTAACATTCATGTGAACACAGTGGCTAGAAGGCTTGAGGGGGATACATGGAAGTATATTGGACTGGGGAAGAATGAAAGGTTAAGGGAGATGTGAAGGTTATTGATCCATGGGACTTTTGTTCATGGCCCCAGTATAGAATATATTTCTTGTCATACTATTTTCTAACACAAAAAGGAAGGTTGTTGCTTACAGTTAGTTTCTTTAAAATGCTTCATAAAATTTAAAAGTGAGGCAGGTTATAATTTATTGAATGTCATCTAAGGAGACTATGAAATGATTTGGTTCTACTGTTGGAAATTTTGAGAACTTACATTAAAGTCAAAGAATCGCCTAATAACAATCTTTTTCCATGTTGTACTTTCAGTTAACAACCATATTAATGTTTGCAGCTTGGTGCCTGTCAGTCAGATCTAGCTGGCCTCTTTGCAGTTGCACACTTGCAATGTATATTCCTTAGCCCTTTGAAACACGATAGTAACTATATTTACCATATACTTCAATATTAAGGAACTCTGGATTTTCTCAATGCAATCTACTATTATGTTTCATATGATTCTCACAATAAACAGCAAGAGAACACTAAGTGATTGGTCTTTATAGCAGTGTCACAGCATGTTCTGTGTGAGGTAGGAGCTGAATTTTTTATATTATTTAGATTAAATCCATACCTCATATGGTTAAACCAGGGTCATTGGTACTATGGGTTGAGAGTTGAGTTTGAATTTGGAGGATGAGGAGGTGTAAAAGTATGAGGGTGTGAGGTGTAATCAAATTTTAATCTTTGCTTAAACAAACATAACATGCAAATTATCTGGCAGACTTTGTTCATATTTTCAGTTGTCTTTCAGCTTGTCTAGTGGTGTTGAAGATAGTTGTGAAACACTAGGCTTTGTGTACAGGAACTTACTCACCTAGAATGTCAGGAGGGTACCTTGTTTAGACCTTGACCATTTCCTTCCCAATTATTTCCAATTTATCATTTATCTTTCATCCCATTATCTGAAACATAGTTTCAGTGCTGACAGCATCATTAAGTAACAGGTTTAAAAATTGCTCTCCTATTTGCCACAGTACTCAGTAAGGGAAAGCAACTTTTTATGTCCTTTTACATTTTCTTCATTTTCTTCAAGTTAACATTTTGTAAGATAATGATGCCTGTCAAGCCAATTTGCTGTAGAGTCATTCACTACTGACCACAATCTAGGATACCACAAAGCTCAGTTTCTGGTCTGCTGGAGTCACAGAAGCAGGAAATCGAATTTTTGCCATGAAATTCTTATGAGTTACTTAACCCATTGCATGTCAGGAACAGCCTAGATCTTCTTGGGGTATTTGTGTTCAAACCAACACAAACAGTCAGTACATTTCTGTCAATAGATGGCATCAAATATGACACACCATTCTTTAGAGGAAGGGACAAGCTTTCATTGAATCTATAGCTGCTGTCATTTTAAGGCTATTTGAGGATAACTGTGTGTTCTTCCTGTGAAACTGCATTTCTCATCAAACAGCCTTTGGATTTCTATTATGCTCGTATATTTCTATGGCAGGACTTGGCAATCAAAGGGTTAACCATCTGCATCCTTTCCCACTTCAGGGAGCATGCCCCAGGAAATTAACCAAAAAAAAAGGCCAAGTTGTCCCTGTGCTTAATTAATTAAACACTATGCCATGAAGGCATATGAGGGAATGGAGTTATAGTTCCACCATTCCTGACCTTGGAACTAGATGGAGGTTAGTGGTCAGCCTCACGCCCCTGCAGCTTTACTCCCAGGGAAGGAACCACCAGTAGCCACTGGATAGGAGGCTGGGTGGGCTCTAGAGTCGGTCTGGATGCTGTGGAGAAGAGAAGAATCTTGCACTGCTGGGAATTGAACCCGGGCTGTCCAGCCCGTAGCCTGTCCCAATACCAATTGAGCTATCGCAATTACTCTGACCTACGAAAAGTGATCATAATTCTAATCTATGAATTGCTGAAAATGATACTTCTCTGGTCTCAGTATGCCAATGCAACCCGCCTAATTTAATAAACTGTGTAGTATCATGTAACTCACAGGTAGAAGCTGAAACCACTTACGAGCTTCATGTTTTATGTAAAGTATGCTTGTGGTGACCAGGGGTTGTAGCACAAGAGTGTATCATTATGCTTGTGGATGCAAATGTGTTGACTGTCTTGTCTGATTGCCTTGTAACTGAGTACATCCTGTCCCTGAGTAGCATGAGCTATAGCAACATGAATTTGACTTAATAGGGTTTTCAAAGTAAGGGTGGTTTTCAAGTAACATGACTGGTTTTTCGGTGTAACATAATTTCAGCACAAGTTGTCCATTATATTAGACTATTTTATATGTGAAATCTGTGTCCCACTAATATGATTTCTTTTTAAGTGAAATTTTTCGAGAACTTGCCTATCATATTGGTTGAGTAGTAGGTGTATGTTGTATTTCTGTTGCAGGCACTCTGTGTTGAAGGTGCACCAATGAACAGAGCTTCTCGTTCCATTCCAAATTATCTGATAAGACTTCTGCCACCACTAGCCATGCACAACAGGTTACCTTATGCAGTTGAAGTTAAAGTTCCTACAATAACATATGAAGTTCGGATTGAAGCAGGGGAAAAAACGAATATATATTTCCTGAATCTTCTGAAGATGCACAAAATATGTGTTGAGGTATTTTAACTAATGATATCAGAAATTTTCTTACTACAGATCTAATGGTGCATATACAAAAATACCTTGTATTCCTGGTTTCTCTACATACAAGATTTGAGATATTCATGGTGGATGTGAATTTGTATTGCAATCTTCTGAATTTTGACACCATATAACACTAAGTGAATTGGTGTAGTGATAATGCTGTAGATTTTCATTCAAAAGGTGCTTGGTTTGAATCTCAGCAGGAACACTGAACACCAGCTATCCTGACAGGTCTTTTGTGATCTTCATCAGTTCATCCAGGCAAGTGACAGAGTAATGCCCTGATTAGGCTGTGACTGCAACCTTTCAAATCCTTTCCAGTTCATCAGTGATCCTATAATTTGGTGCTATGTAGTCTAGGTACTGACAGTACTGTGAAATAATCTCCAAAAGAAAGACTTGTGTAGCCTTCTTATGTGGTTACCAACTTATACCCAGAAGACGGAGGCAGCTGGTTTTCCGGAACATTGGTTACGACCCACAAAATTAAACAGTATCACAATCCAGATGAACATAATCTCAAACTTTGTTAGGTGGAAGTGATACTAGCATGACTATCGAAATGCGGTAGCCATGGTAAATGCAGGGAGTAATATTAAACATTTTACACAGAGAAATACTAATAATGATAGTGACCATGATACTGATGAAACTACAGTATCGAATTTTATATACACACTCAAGCGTGAATTAAAATGTCAAGGTACAAAGAACGCATTTGGGAACTTTGTGCATTGTGGAATGGATTGCAGCTTTCCAGTTCTGCTTCATAATAGGGAATAGGATAAATGAATATAGAGATCAATGTAATAATATTTACTTTTCTTTCCACCTTGAAATTCAGAACTTCAGATGAAAGTACATTGAATTTGTAGAGATGGTGAGAAACTGTGTTGCTCCAGGTACCCATCTACTTGGGCATCCCGTGGATGGGCTCTTTCAACTTGACTGCTGACCTAGAGGAGAAGACTGTTGCCATGGCAACAGAATATGACACAGAAGGAGGCAATAAGCAGCTGGGACTGAGCCTCCATGTGGATCGCACTGAAACCTGTGATGTGTTCTTGCATGCCCCATACTGGATTATTAACAAGACTGGCTTGCCACTGCAAATCAGAGTAAGTGCCATACTGTTCCAAATTTAATGACAGTGGAATGTTGCTGTGGTCATAGCACATTATTTGGACTTGAGCCAGTTTCTGAGTGATGCCAAGAGTTCTGATCATTGCTACATTTTGGAGACTGTCAAAATTGCATTATGAGGAGCCTCGTAATTTGTATACCATACCGAACATTATTAAAATGATCAAATAAAGGAATATTAGATGGGCAAGGCATGTAGCACATGTGAGAGAGAAGGGAAGTGTGTACAAAGTTTTGCTAGGAAAAACCGAAAAAAAAAAGATCAGTAAATATGTTACTATGACAACAAATGTGCAAGCAATATTAGAAGAATTGTTGGACATGTCATTTTCTGTGCAATGCATGTCATATCATATGTATCCTTATTTAATCTATTCTTTTCACATGGCCAAACAATTGTAATCTTTTCTCTGGTATGACAGATACTTTTTTTTACAGGCTTCCCTATCTGACGTTGTGTATGAGGCCCAAGGAGAGGAGCCACTGTTGTTCTGCTACAAGAAACATCGTCGCCGTTGTGTGCGTTTACGGGCCTATCATTCGTCATGGTCATCTGCCTTTTCATTAGACACGGTGGGCTGTACAGGTCTTGTTGTGTGCAAAGATAGGGAACGGAAACGTCGTTATCGGATCCTGCTCAATGTTACGCTGTCAAAGCTCTGCCCAAATTTGACACATATAGTCACTCTCCTGCCTAACTTTCTGGTTGTCAATGACACCCGAAAGCATCTTAGGTTCATGGAGGAGAATGAGAGGGCAGATCTGTGGATTGACCTGGCACCAGGACAGGTGAGTTAGTGCTAAGAGGAACTGTACACCGTGCTAAATAACATACTGTGCATTCCTTGCACAATGTATATGAAAGAAACACATTAAGAGAGAGTTTTGTCAGGTCTGCATGTTTCATCTCGAGAACTGCTGGACATGTGTTGACAAAAAATTAACATGTCCATTATGCTGCTGGAGACCACCATAGATTCATACTGTTATTTTCTTAATAATGGAAAAAGCAGTGTAACAGACATGTGATTTTGTGTCATGGGAACAGTGCTTATGGAGCTACTGATGTGTGGTACCCATTGTAACCAATAACAACCATGGTACCAGAGTAAGGTAGAGGTTAAAGTAAAGTTGTCCCTGTGCTTAACTTAAACACTATGCCATGGAGACACATGGGGCAGTGGATGTATAGATCCAAGTTTTCTTGACATTGGCACTAGATGGAGGTGAATGGCCACTTCACGTCCCAGTCGCTTTATCCCTTGAGAAAGATCCCCCAGTACACATTGGTTAGTGGGCTGGGTGGGTCCCAGCAATCCAGCCCATAGCCAGTCACAACTTGTATATCGACTGTACTAAGAAAATTTCAAACTTTAGGAAGCGTATGTAATATGGCAGGGACTACAGTATTATTATAAATGACCATCATAGTATAGTGCTTGTTTAAAGAAGAGAGCTGTATCTCCAGTTTATTTAGATACATAATTGACAAGTGGGAAGAGTTAATAATGATAAAGCTGACTTCAAGGTCTGACTCGATCTTAAACGTAAAAGGTAAAGCTATTCCTGTCCTGGCCGTGAAGGACCATAAGATTGTGAGACATCAAGGCTCCCACATTTTCTCTAGACAGTCGGTCATAGATGGCAGTAAGTTTGTTAGCCTTATGCGCTGGCTTCCTTTTATGCCCCAGGAAGATTCCTGGTACTCATTTCTGTTAGACGCTGAGTCGGCCCTGGGGCCAGAGTGTGGCTGGAAGGATTAGTTCAATTGGAAAAAATCCATCTTATCGGGATGCCTTAACCAACTTCACTAACATGTACCCCTCTGACACAATCTTAGATATTTAAATAAGCGTGGAAGGCCTTGAAGTATGTCATGTAAAGAACATGCTAGCTTTTGAAACAGTAGGATTGCCAGCATGGCAATGATACTTGGGTAAGAAGGAAGGAACAAATATTTGACATACAATTAGCTGAAATGATAATTGCTAAGAGACTGCAGAAGAATATGTGTGTATGCAAACATGAAACCTATTAATTGCTTTGGAAGTGCCTTATACCTTGGAGCTCCTTAGTTTTGTTTGGATATACCATGTTTGTAGATGTTAGTTAGATATTTTTGGATACATATTGTCATGTGTTGGGTATGTCATGCGACAAGTAATTTCACACCGAATTTATTGCACATTCACTCTTACAGTCACACAATTTACAATCTCACAATTACTGCCCTTGGCAGTATCACAAATTATCACATCAAATCTTCCAACCACGCATTCGGGTCTTCTTCCCACGGCTGCTGCTATATTTCAACTGTCTCCTTAGGTCAGGTCAGGTCAGGTCATGTTACAACTGACGGTCAGTCAGTCTGTCGGTCTTGGTGTCGAGCCCCAGCTGGGGCTCATGACCAGATATTTCTTTTCAATGAAAGTTACCGTCCTGTCCATGTGTAGCGCCCTCTCTGACGAGAGGTCGGGTCTGTCATCTGTCAGTCAGTCTGTATTAAGTCTATTGTCTGTATTTACATACATTTACAAATACACACTTAATCCTTACTTCTATGTACAATATATACACAGCCTCTGTCAGTCCAGGCTAGGTACAGCAGATTATGCTCTTTATATATGTATATATATATTTCCTAGTAGTATTAGCTACCACGGCAGTCTAGTCATTTGGACGGTCGTATGCCTGACCGCCGCCAAGTTTAAGCCTCTTATACTTTCTGTGCCGGGCTTCGCCTTGTCCGATGTTGCGAACATTCTCATTATCATGATTTTGTATGACTTCTGCTTGTTGACTGTCTCCTTAGGCAGTGTAGTTCTCCTATAAACCCTCAGCCGGGCAACAGGAAAACGCCTCGCTTCATTGTTGCCTAGTTGTGTTTACAAAGGAGTTGTTGGGCAACGCTACCAAGAGTTGTTTACTGCTGCCTAGCAACCGCGGCATCCCATGCTATGTCACCGCAGGGGAGGGGTGCAGAGTGTTGACTGGCCTGTTACCATAGTAGCGACAGCGCTCCGATGTTGTTACATCACCACTGGCAGGGGAGGGGATGTCCTCCATAGCGCAATACATCACAATATTATTCTAGGGAGTGATGTGGAATATGTCCTATTCATGGGCATCACTTAGTTTATCCAAAAGTCGGTGCACTGGAAATACAAAGTCGAGAAATGCGAAATGCTGATGAATTAATGTTTTGAATGTTTTCTCTTTCAGTGTGTCCCTTTCTGGCCTGATACAGATTCCATGAGGATGTATGTGAAGTTCCGAGACAGTAAGCTGGTATCACAACACTTCCACATTACGCACGTACATCAGACAGTTCTGCGGATGGATAAAGGTGTAAGTTTTTCTTTTAATATCTGCTATATTGCTCAGACTGCTAGTCCAACTGGATAATCAGAGATATCAACACACTATAACAGGGTTTCCAACCTTCTCCACTTGGCATACTCCTTAGTCTCAGGCTGAAATTAGCCCTTTGACTACAAGTCCCACCACAAAACTACTTCCTCGAAACCCCACTGGTGGTAGATGCAGTAGCATAGAAAGACTTACAGTACCCTCTTCAAATGACTTTCCAGTATCAGCAGGTGTAGGGCATGTGAAAGCATGTTCTTTCTTTAAAAACTGGATATTATATATACCAATTTATTAAAAATGAGCTGATATTTTAGGCTGTGGCGATTTAATACAAATACCCCAAATCGCTTTGATTAGTTTGTGGTGTGGAGAGGGTTAATACCCCTTCTAAGTGGATACAAAACTACATGGCAACACATTTTCTAATGACTTATTTAAGTCCCTGGTAATCAAAATGTTTATGTGACTGATGAAGTAACATAGGGAAGCTATAGCATAACATTTTAACCAAATGTCACTGATACATGTATGTTAGCAGGCTGGGCTCTGTGTGGATGTTAGTGGAGGAGGTGAGCAGCCATTCACAGTAACATTCCGCTGCTATCGTGTGGGCGATGCCCCTGTACGTGTTGACAATCTGTGTGAAGACCTGTTCCTCAAAATTCACCAACAGGATTTAGGACAGGTATGTAGGATGCTTGTAAACAGCCAAAGACCTGGTCATTCCATGTGGAATTAGTAGTAAGCAATTTTATGTTGGGTTGCCTTTCCTAATAATTTGTTTCATTAATTCCTGCATCAGTCATGCAGTATTACAGAAGAATAACATAGGCGGCTCTCATTATACATGCATTTGTTATTCATGCTTTTGCATATTCATTTTTTATAGAAAGAGTGTCAGTGTCCTATCTACAGCTACAGTGGAAGGTGCCCACATATGCCCAAGGTGTTATGCGGGCAGTTTCCATGACTTGCCTTACCATTTTCCACTCCTGCCAGAATAACTCAGTCCATATAGCGACTGTGCTACTGGCTGGTTGGCTGAGCAGATTGGGTTCAATTCCAGCAGGGGAAAGCTTTTTTCTCTTTTCCATAATGTCCAGAGTGGCTATAAGGCCCACCCATCATCCTATAAAATGGGTACTGGGGGCTCTTTCCCCAGGAGGAAGGTGGCTGGGTTGTGAAACTGATAACTCACCATCTAGTGCCAATGTTAAGAAAGGTGGAACTATACCTCCACTCCGCTATTCATTTTCATGGCTTGGTGCTTAATTTATTAAATCCAAGAGATATATTTACCATTACTGAGAGCCATTTATATGGGGTTAAAGCTGCTGGGACTTGAACCTGAAGAAGCATTGCACTCTGTGTTCATTCAGCGTGTATCCAGTTTTATGTGTCTTTGTTATTTGTCACAATTTTCAGGAACATAATCCCACATATAATGTGGGTCACATGTGCAGCACGCAAAGGAATAAGCAAATTCACCCTTTTATTTTACTAAACATTTTTTTTTTCATTCATCCCTTTCCATATAGAAGTAGGTCAGTAATGCTTCACTTCCACATCAAATATATGTATGAATATGGCAGAACTCTTACTGACTATAATTGTCCTGTCCTGCCTTAATCCTATCCTCTTATATGTTTATGGCTATCAGTAAGATATACACTTTTAACAGGTTCTCACAGTATTGACTATGAAGAGTATGGTCTTGTGGGTTGTAACATTGTGTAGTTTGAGGAGAGTACAGTGTTTCAGAGGAAGAAATCACCTCCAACTTCTCAGAGGCAAATAGTAAGACAAGCAAGAAACCAACAAATATATGCAGAATTTTTGCTGTTTCTTCTTTTGATTACAGATGATAAATATGCCAAGAAATATGTAAGATTTGAGGTTTTCACGGCAGTGACTATGAAGTAAGCAGTCTTCTGGGATGTGGCACCATGTAGATGTGGTGTTAATGGACGTTTCAGAGGAACGTATCACCTTCATCTCTGGAAATGTCCAACATTAGTCTGCTTGCACCTGCTCTCACTGTTTTTTCGCTTACGGATTTTATTATTTTTTCCTTCTACACTGAAGATGGAGGCTATACATTCCTCCGAAATGTCAGTTAACACCACATCTACACAGCTCCACATCCCAGAAGACTGCTTTCTTCATGCCAAGAAATGTTCTGACTTTTCCACACTGTAAATGTTTAACGTTGTATGAGGCAACAGATAGTACTTTTCAGTTCTTGTTTATCTGTTGTCAGGTGGCCCTCCTGAGTCCGTATCAGTCAATGTTATATACATGGGATGATCCATCTAAAGAACGATTGCTTCTTTGGAATGTTTACAACAAAAAATCAAAAGGATTTGTTGCTGAGTTCTGGAAGGTAAGGGTTATAAGTTCATATGCACTTTGCAAGTAGTTTAAATGGCCTGTTTTTACTGGCATGCAGGAATAAATTTTGACTCCAAAGGAGCATATGTAACCCCAAATGAAAAGAAATAAATTTGCTCAGAATTCTGTGGAGAAAGGTCCTGAGAAATTATGACTTTGGAGACAAGATGAGATGGCGAGTGGGTCATATTAAGATGGAGCTTATGGGAATAGATTTGTAGGGTGGGAGGTGAGTGAGAGTTATGTGCAGTGTTGAAAACTTTGGCCCTCTTACAAGAAAGTGATTTCTCTCTTGGAACATGGTGATGAACTTTTCTTAGAGGAGGAACTGGAGTACATGATTTGTTACAGTTACAATGGTTTGACTGGGTAAAAATATTGGATAAGAGAAGTGAAATAAGAACAGCATTTGAAGGAAAGATACTTACAGAATGACACACAATAAGATGATTTCAGCTGGGTGTTGGGTAGGGTGGGAGGGGGGGGAGTAGAAAAAGAGATATTCAAACTTTTGGGTTGCATAAACCATGAGGAGAGACTGTGGACCTGTCGTCTTGACAGATTACAGATGAATGAATGAAACCATGAGGAATTTTACAGTCAGCTGAATAACTATATGCTTCTGAAGAAGGATTCTGCTCCATGAAGTTAGTTTAGTTAGTCAGCAATGAGGTAACATGTTATTTTATGTGGATGTTAGCAAATATATACAGGGAAATGCAGAATCAATTTTATGCTTATGTGTTCTTGTAGGATGGTTATGGACAAGAACGGGTCAGCTTCCATACTGTGAAGCAGCCATGTATGGTCACAAGCACGCCAATTGTTACAGCCAAGCTCTCAGCCAGCCTCTATTTTATGCTTATGTGTTCTTGTAGGATGGTTATGGACAAGAACGGGTCAGCTTCCATACTGTGAAGCAGCCATGTATGGTCACAAGCACGCCAATTGTTACAGCCAAGCTCTCAGCCAGCCTCAAGAGGATGTCTCCAAAGTCTCCTGTTCAAGAAGGCAGCAGTAGCAGTGATGATACAGAGTCAGATGAACAGAAGCCCCAGGTATTTCATCTTGCCTGCATTAGAACAACTGAATTATGCTTCACTGTGTTAAAATTTGTGCACAAATATGGTATAGGAGGAAAATTCTTACTAAAATCCATTTACTCCATGATCCAGGATACATCATAACTTTCATAGGCAACGTTATGGAAGAAAATCCCTGTGTAAATAGAATTTTCCACTGACTTATGAATATTACAATCTTCATTGTGCAAAGAACACAATGAAACCAATGGACATGGGTGCTTACAAGTGGGATCAGTCTGGGTATTCCCGCAGAACTTATGGAAAATACCAACATTGAAGAAGGAAGGAATTATACCAAAAATTACAGTTGTTTTAAAAAAAACTGTATTATTCTATCCTGAGGGCTCAGGGGATATCAGTCTTGAACCTCTTAAATGTACCTATGTAAGCTGATCTTCTGGCTTTCTCTCTTTGAAAATATTCTGGTGGAGTCCATTTGGTTTCTGAGTCTCACATTTTGGATACATAATATATTTATATTGTCATATTTGCCGCTCTGGAACATTATCAGATATTAATAACCTTCAGGCCAATCACAGTGGTCATGCAGTCTAAGGAATGAAATGTCTTCAGCCACTCAAATCCTGGGATCATGGGTTCAAATCCCAATCAAGGCATGAATGTGTTGTCTGCTTCTGTGCTTGTGTTGTCCTGTATAGGTAGCGACCTTGTGACTCCATCCAAGGAGTTCTACCAACTGTCTAAGACAGGCATGTCAAACTCAACTTGTACAGAGGGCCACCTCAGCCCTATAGTCCAGGGCCGCACTTCAAAATAGAAATATACATGTTGCGGCTCAAATTTGAGATTGGAGAGCATAAGGCATTCCCAAAATGTTCGCGACTTGCAAAAAGCGTTTCGCAGTTATTACAGTAAATTGTAAACACCAGGACTGGCAAATAGGTTAAGAATGTGGATGCTCAGCAAGTCTGTGTACTCACAGAGCAAGAGCTTGCCTCACTCGGTCACTGGAGTAATCGTAAGAGACCGCATACACAGCAATAAGACGCAAGGGGTCCGCCCACAACCACCAATGAGAGCCAATGAGAATGTTACTATGAGGATTGAGGACACCGAGTAGGAGTACCTACCCTCTGTCATCAACGCTGAATCAGCGAAATAAAACCATAAATTAGGGAATTTCGGGGGATTTGGATCATGTTCTAACACAGAATATTCGGTTGTCAGCCGAAGGCTCTCTTCAACATGGGTATTACCAGCGGAGGCCGTGGGCCGGCATCTTGTACTACAAGTAAGTTTATTTACGCATAACAGCGATGTTGGTCAATAATATTGTTGTTTAATAGTATTGGTGATAACAGTGTTGTTGAGCTATTTGAATGTGCAAATTCCAGTGTACCCGGTGAGCCCTTAGGGTAGGATACTAGGATCCTGTAATTGCCTAGGATATTAGTCAGGCCATAAGTGACTTATAGTGTAGGTGTCAAGGTTATGGTTAGCATGTAATGATAGATATAGTAGGCGGGTTTCAATATGAATAACTAGGGGTAGCTTGTAGAAGAGTGAAAGAACGAAGGACAGTGTAACTGTATATAATGAATAGTAAGGAACAGGATTACGTGGAAAGATTAATCCTTGCCGATAGTCAGGAGTCGAAGAGAGAGAGAGAGAGAGAGACTCCAGTTTACACCCCCGAAGGGGGAGGTTCCTAGTGTAGCCGAAAGTTAATTCAATATGTAGTCCCGACTAAGGGTCGGCCTTGTTCAGTAATGTAAATATTGTAAATTGTGTAAATACAAAACTGTAAATACATAGAGTAGAAAGAGTAGGATGTGCCGGGATTGTGATTCACATCTATAATCAACTTGCCCACCTCCAATCCCAAGCAATCCTGACCAAGCGAGGGCTGAACTGACACAGGCCGCAGTGGCAGCCGAAGGCAAGAAAGACAAACGGGGACAGAGAGGTTAGCGGTATCCTCAGATAAAAGGAGTTACATGTAACTACCTGTAAACTACGGGAGGAGTGGTCAAGAAGGAGCTATGACTATATGCCAGGGAGTGGTGCCCACGATCGAAAGGGCATGTAATTGATGGTGGCAGCTTGTATGAGAGAAGGAGACCCCGAAACCGGAGAATCCTAGCTAAGGGTGAGCTAGGAGGATGGTGTTAACTCCTTACAGAGCAAGTGACGGTGGAGGCAAGGAGGGATACCTCCACGGCCCCCTACTTGCGGCGTAACAGAGGTGGCAGAGGCGGGCTGACTCCATGCCCCCCTGCACCACGGCATTACAATACATTAGATTTTGATGCAAGGAAATTTAATTCTATTTACTATTTAGGAATAATTTCAATATAATTACCTAAAGTGGAACACTTATATTTTGCCCACAAATCAAACACATAATTTTACCTTCTATTTCACAACAGAAATAAGCGATTTCCCATTTTTCTTTAAAAACACGGTGCTCACTTTCAGTAGTTCTTTTTTTGCTACTTGAATTTTTTGAAAGCGACATTGCCCTTTAAAAGTTACTGTACATATACAAGAAAATTCGTAGTTGATAATTTAATGTTTAATTATAACCTTTATACGATCATCACAATGTAACATCAGCACCTGTCACTGTGTAAAAATGAACTGAATGACAATGTACAAGAGACTACCGGACTAGTAGGAAGGTGTATCTTGTCTCAATGGTCATAAAAGTGAAAGTTTACTAGCAGCCCATTAGACAATGGCTGGGGGTTGCAAGCTAGTTTTGAAGGTAGAAATCCCTTGCACTTGTCTGTCAGTTGCCACCCTCCTTGCATTCTTACTATGCCTCCAAAAGGGATCTTGGAAATACTTGGGGTGGTGAGGCTGTGCAGATTTTAGTACATTAACCTTCTGAAATAAAATAGTTTGTCCTTCACAAACTTTACAAACCGTTAGTTGGACAAACCCGTCTGCAATTCTCAGAATCACTTTTCCTGCAGCCTGCTAATTTATGTCTGCATGAGACTTCTTGTCTTCTGGTCTGTCAGAAAATTGTCTTTACAAAAAATATTTCTACTAAAATTTTAATATTGGTTTTAATATCAATTAGCTCTAAAAGTTGAGGAGCCGCACTTTGTGGCTATGGGGGCCGCATATTTGACACGGCTGGTCTAAGATTAAGAAAGTGAAGTGAAACGAAGCTTTTCACAGATGTCCTATGCTCCAAGTGGGAGTAACAGGAAAAAAGACAGAAGTACCTTCAGAATTTTAGGGCAACATTGTAGACATATTTGCAAGAGCTTACACTCAACTTGATGTTCTGCTCCTCTTTTGGAGCAGCATGAAGCATGAAGAAATTAGGACCTTTATAGAATTCCTTGTAATATGATTGAGTTTTTTTAGTAATACAGCACTTTGTTCTACAGGGCATTACATTCTTGTTGCAGCAGTTGAAGAAGACAAGGAAAGACAAAGTGACCGTGTATTGGGTGAGCTATCTGGAAGGCTTCCAGAGGGTGCTCTTGTTTACGCAAGATGAAAGGATTGCTTACCAGGCAAGAAACAACNAGCAAGGTAAAAAATGAAATCGACCCTGTACTCAATTAAGAAAATGTGGCAGAGTGGAGGTATAGCTCTACATATTCTTAATCTCAGCTGAACTGAACTACACTGAAGCTTACATCCTCTTGGCACGGACCACATAGAAAACAGAGCTTCCTCTATTGTTGCCTGGCTTTTGTGTCGGAATGTGTTTACTGAGCTGTTGCCTAGCAATGCTTTGATCAAATCCATTACATTATGGTCTTATGGAAAGTGATGCTGTTTAGTCTGATAGTCAGATGTTGACATTGGTACCTACATCTTTGATCCTGATGGCATCACATCCCAGAAGTTCATAATCTTAATTACAGCTCGCAGGTTCCACACTGCTCAACACAGTGTTATTTTTGCAGGCTCTGGAATCAAACTACTGTCAGAAGGAACTGGCATACATCAGTATCTCTGACTCTTCACCTCTGTGGGAGGTGATGGTGGCTCACCGTTGGAAGTTGCTCACCCTGGAGCTGGCCTCATGGATAGAGGACAAATGGAAACAGGATCAAAAGAAGGCCCAAATGAAGGACTATGTTCATGTGAGTGCACTTTTTGGTATTCTGTGACAAAAGGGAAGCTTGTGGTGTCCACATGTCCTTGTATGTGTGTGTGTCCGCATCTTCATCCATCAGAGAGGTTGAGGATTAATCCAAGTATGCTTTTCTCCTTGCTTGCATAATAGCCTGGCCTACTCTTTGATGCTAGTAATAAGGAGGTATTGTCCTCTGAAATGTCAGTAAACTTCTACCAGACCAAAAGTTAGAATCTTTCATGTCCCTTTTATTGAAATAATATTTTGTGCACTAAGAAGTAGGTCAAACAGAATGACCACAATAACAGTCATATTCTCAGTATGTAAACTAATTACCTGAGTGTATGATTTCTGAATTATGTTTTTTTAAGTTGTTGAGTGTAGTAATACAAAACATATTAGTGGTTTATCTTATTTCAGGTAGACTTTGAGAAAATGCAGATGACCAAACCATTCTTTGGCGATTTGCGAAGGCACTATTATCCCGGACTTTGGCTTCAATGTCGGAAGTCAGATCACCAAAGTTATATCCACTGCAAATTACATAGGATACAGGTAAGATTTAATTTATTCACACTGAACACTCCAAAAGAATTTTGTATATGTCACTCATGGAGCTGAGCCCTTCTTGAGAAGCCACCAGTTGTGCAGCTACTCAAAAACGTCCCAGCATTTTGTGGAACCCATAGGTTCATTACCATGTTCCCAAGAGTGCTCCACTGATTTCTATCCTGAGCCAGATCAACCCAGTCCACACCATCCCATTCTATCTCTCCAAGATTCATCTTAGTATTGTCCACCCACCTATGTCTTCATCTTCCTAGTGGTCTCTTTCCTTCTGGCTTTCCTACCAATATCCTATATGTTTTTGTCTTCCCCCTTCCATTCGTGTTACATGCACTGCCCATCTCATCCTCCTTGACTTCATCATTCTAATTATATTTGGCAAAGAGTACAAGTTATGAAGCTCCTCATTATGTAGTTTCCTCCCATCATTTCATCTTTCTTTGGTCCAACTATTCTCAACACTTTGTTCTCAGACACCCTTATTCTTTGTTCCTTAATGTCAGAGACCAAGTTTCACATCTATACAGAACCACAGGCAAAATTATAGTTTTGTATATTCTAATTTTTAGCTTTATAGACAGCATACAAGAAGACAAAAGGTTCTGGACTGAATGGTAGCAAGAATTACCCGACTTCAGTCTTCCCTTCATTTCTTCCTCAATCAGGTTTTGATTTGTTATAGTCCTTCCCAAATATCTGAACTGTGTCACGTTTTCAAAACATCTGTTACCTATCTTTATGTCATGATTTTGCCCTGCATTTTGGCGACGAGACAGCAACATATATTTAGTTTCCTCTGTGTTTACTTCTAGACCCACCTGCTTACTAGTGTCAGTTACAGTTTGTATGTTTCTCTTTATGGTATCTATATTATCACCCAGTACATACATACATACATAAATACATACATACATAAATACATACATACATACATACATACATAGCTTCACAGATCCGTTGCCCATATTGGGCTGGATATTGTGCTCATCAGATTAATTAAAAGTAGTTGCAATATGCAACCAAGTCCAAATAGACACAACCTAGATACAATAGGAATATAATACAATTAGGTATTTGCCATATATTCATCAATAGAATAGAAAGCTTTCAAGATAAGAAAGGCTTTCAGTTTTCGTTTAAATAAATTAACATTATCCTGTAATTTTTTTTTTGTGGCAAATTATTAAAAATTTTTATGGATGTATAATACACTCCCTTTTGTATAATAATTAGATTCACATCATCAGCATAAACCAGCAGCTGATATGTCCCATTTAATTTCAGTCACACCAGGTTTTTCTGGACTTTACTAATGGCATGTTCTAAAGTAAAGTTGAAAAGGATTGGCGATAAAGCATCTCCTTGTTTTAAACAATTCTGGATAGGAAAATTATGTTTACCTATATGGACTTTAGTATATGTTTCGTTTGAACACATTTGATCAGCCTAACTAGTTTCATGGGTACCCCAAACTCTATGAAAATATTCTACAGTACTTCCCTCCTAGCACACGGTAGCATAGTTGGTTGAGGCACTATGCTACAAGCTGGAAGGTTGCAGGTTCAAGTCCCGATAAGGTCATTGGATTTTTTTCAATTGACCTCATCCTTCCAGCCACACTATGGCCCTGGAGTCGACTCAGCCTCTAACAGAAATGAGTACCAGGAATATTCTTTGAATGTTCTTGTGGGTAAAGGGCAGCCAGCACGTAGGGCTGACAACCTTGCCGCCATCTATGAGCAGATTGTCTAGAAAATGTGGGAACCTCAACATCTCACAACCCTATGGGCCTCCACGGCCTGTTACAAGGATACCTTTTCTTTACCCTTTACTTCCCTCTTAACCTTTAAACGCCGGACTTCGAAATAGTGGTAAGCTTGAACTGGCCGGATTTTATTTAAATGCCCGCTGCTGGTGCTCGTTTAAATGCCCGTTGCTACTCTGTGTTTAAATGTCCGTTCCTATTAGGCGCTTAATCAATTTTAAGCGTTTTGTTTAAAAATGCTGTATCTTGCTCAATTTTTATGATAAATGGATTGTATTAACTTTGTTTATTTCAGCAAAGAACATAGTGTTGCATATTATAACGGAAGATTTGAAATTTGTAATACAAAGTGTTATACCATATTTTCAATTTTTTGTTTTAATTTTGATGCGTACTTCAAAAATGGTTTCCCAGGTCTTCACAGAGTTGTTCTGCATTATAAATTCATTTCTGTTTGTAACACTTGACGAATTTTAGCAGTCCCTGGTGTCATAAAACAGATGGAAGCAATAAAATCATTTGGTCTTCTGCTAGCCCTGCTTACACACTTCGGATTTTCGAATCTTTTGACTGAAGGACAGAAGAATGAAAACATGGCTATTCAAGAGAAAGCTAGAGGGGTCCCTTCTTCAGTGCTAAGACCTTCCGTTAGAGCTGCAAAAGTTTATTGCCCCTTCTATTTGAATGAGCAGACAGCTGCATCGTGGCTAAGATACAGAGTGCGATCTGTTTTCTGTGCGTTCGTAGTGAAATCGAATACTGTAGTATAATTTCAGCCTATATATACATCAAGCAGGTAACAACAAAAAGGTATGTACATCGAATTTTACAATATATTTTTAACATACCTATCTGCAGAATCTGCAATAAAATTACTGGATCGTGGAAAAGTTTTGGCGTAACTCATACGTATATTTTTATTTAATTTAATTTAATTCCTCTATTAGGGTTTTACTCAAGTCTGTCTGGTAATTACTACATCTTAAAAATAAATAGTTAGGACTGTGCATGTGCTTCACTAGTGGCATGTGCGCGCGTTTCCACTAGCAGAGTTTAAATGCCTGACTGGTACCAACGGGGCATTTTGGCCACGACAACCTTACTCATGACTGGCACAAACGGGGCACTTCGGCACTTAAAGGTTAACTGAATTATAGGCTTCCTTGAAATCTACAAATAGCTGATGTACTGTCTCATTATACTAGCATTTCTTCTCAAGTATTAGACAAATGCAAACTGATCAGTAGTTGATCTGTTACATCAAAACCCACATTGATGATTTCCAATAATTTCATCTATATGTGGACTTAAACTTGAGAGAAGAATATTGGATAAACTTTTGTATGAAGTTGATAGCAGTGATATCCAACAATAATTACTGCAGTCAGCTTTATCACCCTTCTTGTGAACTGGTAAAATAACAGACTCCTTCCACTGATCAGGCAATTTTTCCTTATGCCAAATAGAAGTAATTAGCATGTGGATCTTAGAATCTAATATTTTGCTTTCTGCTTGAATCAGTTCTGCTGGAATTTGAGCACTACCTGGAGATTTATACGGTTTCAATTTTGCAATAGCAGTTTCAACCTCAAAAGGGCTAGGTTCAGGTACTAATGGCTCAGCTGTTTATTTTGTACATGTACTATAGTTACTAATATGTACCATCAATTTCTTTGGTATCATTTGACATAGAGTCTCAGCTGCTGAAGTCATCATTAAATAAATAAATAAATTACTGGGGCTATATGCTTATCATGGTTATTGTGGTTGCTTTGGTTACCCATGGTTCCTGTTTTTACTATGGCTCCTGTTAGTTACTGTGGCTGCTGTGTGTTGAATATGTTCAGTGGTAATTTTAATGCTCATTTAGTTTCTTTGTCTCATGTGGAAAAGAAACTATTCAATAAAATATATTGATGTTATGGAAAGTATAAGTTTTTATCCTTTGCCTTCCATGTATTTACTGTTGTAAAGATGCATGTATGTGGTCCAGTTGGCCAAGTGCTGAATTTTCTTAAAAACTAATGCATTTCTCCATGATTAAAATTTAGCCACCATCCCATCCTATGAAGATTTCTGTCTGTTAGGATGTGCCATCTTGTATGCTTTACAGTTACAAACATTTTTAACCAACCTGCAGCCATCATCTTCAGAGTAGAAGATAAGGGCACAAGGTAGATGAAGGTGGCTTCTTTGAAATATTCATACATATCTACCAGAAGACAATAATCAACTCCCATTAGAAGCTCTAATCCTTTGGAACGCTGAAATGCACTGTGCCAGTTACTGAAGATTTTATGACCTTTTATGACTCCTTGCTTCTGCTTTCAAATTTTTTTTGACCTGCACAGGTTGACAATCAGCTTCATGATGCAGTGTTCCCAACAGTCCTGTATTCAACCCCTGTGCCTCAGCAAATTGTGCGTCGTGTCGGCATGAAACCATGCATTGAAATAGTTGTGATGAAGCGACACAGACCTGCTCAGAACCAAGATGTGTACAAGTAAGTCTCTCATCTATGATAGTACAGATAAACCCCAACTTGCGAATATAATGTCTTGTTTGAAATGTGTTTGTAAGTTGAATGTTCGTAGGTTGAATTAATTTTTTTGTCAGCTATATTGCTAAATTTGTTGATGTTAATTTGTCAAAATGTTCGTAAGCACAGGGTTCTGTGTCCATTAAGTGAATTCGCTGTCACAATTTATTAGTTCATCCAATGTCTGTAAATAAGAATTGTTTGTTTCTTGAAAGTTTGTTAGTAGATGTTCGCCTATACTTTCAGACATTATGCATCATCTGGGGTATATTTGGTGTATGCTGAGTGTAAAGTGAGAGAGTTCTACACAATTGGGTCCATAAGAGGGGGCTGGTCTCTGTCACTGGGCAGTAATGGATCCACCTGAATGTCACCCTCTCCTGCTTTATACCCGATGACAGGGAGGGAGTCAGCTTCCAAAATGTTGTCAACGTTAAAATTACCCAGAGAGTGTTCAACATCATAATCTTACAACGAATCGATCATTATCACAAACCTTTAGAAAATTATTACTCATTTAACTTCAAGCTTATAGTCACAGGTGCACATACATCTATCCCATTTCATGTGTGAATTTGAAAAATGTAATTTTATTTTAATGCACTTGAAGTAACTTAGGCAAGTTTACATTAGTAGCACTTGCTTTAATGAGAACTGCTTGCTGCATGACTAAGGGAGGAGGCAGAAGGGGAGCAGAATATTTTGTGGATGGCAGAGGAGGAATGCGCCAGTCACGGTAGCCAAGCGGTCTAAGGCCTGCACTGTCTTCGCTCGCTCGGAAGCCAGGATTGTGGGTTCGAATCCCACCCAGGGCATGGATGTTTGTGTGTGTTTTTGTACAGGTAGAGGCCTGCAACAAGCTGATCATCCACCCAAGGAGTTCTACCATATGTCTAAGATCTAGAAATACCAAAGTGAATGGAGAAGTTCATGGAGGTAGGCCTAGGCCCACTGGGGCTGTAGTGCCAAGGAAAAAAAAAAGAGGAGGAATGCAAGGGAGAAGTGAAAATTTGGCCGAATCTTGCAATGTCTTGTGTGCATCTGCAGCAGTAACCCTTTCAGTGGCTAAGGAAACCTTGAGAACAACATTTATATATGTTTGATCTGTGCATTTTCACCCTCTGTGAATTCATTTAGAACATATCTTTTACATGAATTTAATATCTATGCTCCATGTTTTTGTGCATGGGAATGAAACCTTCCATCTCTCCCTGAGACATGAATGTACGTTGAGATTATCTGAAGAGATTACAATGTAATCTACTTAAGGCTTTTCTGTGGAGTGAAAAGATTTGAACACTAAGCTGAGAAAACTTCCCCTCAGAGACCCACGTCATCAGGATGAAGCTTTCTCTTCCTCTTCATGAATGTCTCCTTTTTTCTTCCAACTTTCTTTTGTCTTTCACTATTCTTCCTTCTCTTCTTTTCCCCCTCCCTCCCTCTTCCCCCCACTCCTATTCTCTGGTCCCTTTTCTTTCTCTTCAGTTTCCTGACCCATGCAGTTGTACATTCATGGTCTGAAAGGGTTTAATGAACAATACTGGTACATCTTCTAGACTGAAATTCTTTGATGCATTGCTTTCATGACAAATAATTTTGAAATTTTAGACAAGATTCTGTTTAATATTTGATAATGTCCAGAGATCTTATTTTTGGTACTTCTCATTGCTTTTCAGGTTTATTAAGGTGCTAATCCAAGAATTCTCTCTGCAACTGGATAAGGGCTTCCTTCTTTCAGTACATGACATTCTATCAAATTGGGAAGTTGAAGAAAAGTCGTCCGTCAGAATACGAGCAGACATTGCACTGGTACACATTCCCATAGCAATGATTGCTGCTAAGGTATACATCTTCCTGTAATATTTTAAGAAGAGCATGAAGCACAAAGCAGGTTGATGCAGCAATAATACTCTAGGCTTGTGTTCAGGAGGTGTTTGGTTCAAACCTCAGCCAAGACACCAGCTAACCTGGTCTCATGGTTTTCCTCAGTCAATCATAAATTATAGGCTAGATCCTCAATTAGGCCACAGCCTTCCAAATCCTTCCCAATTCATCATTCGTCTATCCTTGTAACATTTGACACTGTCTTGCTTAGACACTGACACTGTCATGAAAGAGCACATTAATGCCAGGTAGCTGAAGTGTCTTCTATGTGTTTGTAGCAAGCAGGTTAGTTCGTGTGGTATGTCTGACTTGTGTACCACAGATACTGGGTTTGTCTCAGTATGGGTAATAACGTCTTTGGAAGTCAGCTGTTTGAAGGTGGACTGGATTTTCAGTATTTTGGAAATTGTTACTATCTTCACCAGCAGAGATTTATGTAACCAGGGTCAGTGCTAGCCTAAATGCTGACCCAGAAAACAAGAAATCCCCTCCCTCAAGTTAAAAACAGAACAACTCTCTCAAAACTTCATCACAATTAATAACACAAAATTTTCAGACATTGTGCTGAAAGCCATCATTTGTGTCACAGTTCTTATAACAGTTTTATTTAATCATTGCATAACATATTTAGATTACCACTAATTAATGATCGTAATATTGTCACGTGTTGGGTGTATATAGCACGACAAATAACTTCATGCCTTATTGGATATAGCGAATTTTATTGCACATTCGCTCTTACAATCACACAGTTTACAATCTCACAATTACTGGCCTCGGCAGTATCACAAATATTAGACTGCAAATGCTAGACTACAACAGACTGGTTGACTGCCTGGCTAACTCATAACTAGTAACTCAAGAACTTGAGAACTGTCTTCGGCGGCTGTGTAGTTCCTTTAGAAACCCTCAGCCGGACAACGGGAAAACAGTTACGTAATAGGCACCACTGTTGTCTGACGCCGTGTTTGCCTGTTACATAATGGGTACCGCTGTTATTACCGTCATCTCTAGCAACCACTGTTTACCTGCTTTGCATAGCGACCAGCGTGCTGGGACTCGGCTCACTTCAGCTCCGCTTGGCATGTCACGGCTGGTGGGGAGGGATGGTCATCATCCATATCGCAACACGTCACAGTATGAACAAAAGAGCAGCAGATATTAATTTTCATGTAGCAAAACTAAAGAGAAGGAAAAGTGTTTGTATAATGTCCTGCCCCTGGGAGTGTTCTCACCCAGGTAGCCACATGGTTCACTTGTGCTATCATGCTGGTCTAGAGTGTGATGCTGATGATGATAGTAACATTTTAGAAAACATTGTTGTAATTGTTTCTCTTCTCTTCCCTTCTTTTCTCTCTTCTCTCTTCTCTCTTCTCTCCTCTCCTCTCCTCTCCTCTCTTCTCCTCTTTTCTAATTCTGTCAAGAAATTCTGAACTCCTGCTCCTTCTCTAAGAATTTAATTTCAATTTAAGAAAAATGAAATGAATGTAGATAAAATATCATATTAACGTGAAAATTAATGTGGGAAATACATGTCTGTACAGATAGTGTGTTCCCATCAGGCAGATTTAAGTTGAGAGAGCAAGACACAGTAAATTTCATAAAATTCATGTATAATGTAATGTCTAATTGAAGGCCATGCCATAGCTCGGGTGGTTAGGGACTGGTTTCTTGCTGTAGAGCTATGGGTTCAGTCATGTGTACTTTAAGTGATATTCATGGTGGATGGATTGGCACTGCAGTAGAAAATTATTGGTGTCCCATTACTAATTATCATTCTATCCTTGCTCTATACTCATCCATCTCTGCCTCCTGAGTTATGCAATAGCCCTGATCAGGCAACACATTATAAAATTCATGGACTTTCATTTTGGGGTACACCTCTGGTCTGGCACTTTGCTGATTACATAGTAAGAAGCTGTTATTTTTAATGATTAATTCATGAATTTCTGATATCATAACATTTATGTTCATTGATTATGTACAGAAGATAAGGTTATGATTGAAGGGAGCAGTTCATATGATTATTACATAGTTACGTGTTTCATTTTGATGATTACAGACTGCTAGTGAAGGTCCCAAAGTGGTGATCGAGTACCTCCACTTATCACCATTAACACTGCAATTCAGTTTCTCACCACGGGGTACAGTATATAAGAACAGAGTTCATTCCTTCAAGTCTGACCTTGTTGATTTCTTCCTCAACTCCTTTGGAGCTATGCTTATGGAGGTGAAGGGCATCAGGTTGAAGTAAGAATAATAATGGCATAAACATATCTGTAACTGGGAAATTATAATAACAATTTATGTTACTGTTAAACATAGTAACTGATTAGTCACAAGAGAAAGGTTGCTGGTCATTTGACATTCTGATATAAAGGACCGGTAGAATCTGATTAGAGGAAGAATATTGCCATTTCCCCACTTGTTATCATTCCTCCACCAGCCAACATAAAGTAGATTCTTATAGACAATATTTGAGGTTCTCACAGCAGTGGCTATGAGTTCTGTCTTCTGGGACATAACATCAAGTATTCTGATGAAAATCAGCCTATGTTTCAAAGTAACACCTCACCTTCACCTTCAGAGTTTAAGGATAAGCTAAACAAGAAACCAGCAAGAAGCAGGCAGCAAGCCTGCCTCAAAAATGTTGATTGAGTTTCAATGAACTACACAGTGTCATATCCCAGAATATAGAACTCTTCATCATACACCTAGTATCTTTATTAAGTAAACTGTCTTGGCTTGTACCATGATGTTTATGTGGGGTTTCGGTCCGTAGGTATTAGTTGATTAGAGTCTTAGTAAGGAGGTTTCAGGCTGGCCACATGCTATCCTTTCTCCTCATTCTGTCTGCATGCTCTTCAGTCTGACCAGTATACTTTGCGCCAAGCAACTTATGTTACACTGAAATTATGTATTGATCGTGTCCCCGCAGACATTCCATCTTGCCCTCAGACTCAAGAGTGCTCACACAAAATGGCAAGCAAGATGGAGCATTTGTAGCTCGCCTTAAGTAATGAAACAGTGGAAAATATATGAGTGTCTTTGATGCAGCTGTATACTTTGTGTAGGATGGCTTATCTGGAACAGGCGGGTAGCCTTGTCAGCCTGAGTCAGCTGCGTGATGAAGTCTATCGGCATTACAGCAGTCAGCTGATCCAGCAGTTCCATGTCCTTGTGCTAGGACTTGATGTCCTTGGCAATCCATATGGCCTCATCACAGATTTTACTGAAGGCTTTGGAGACTTTTTCTATGAGCCATTTCTAGTAAGCTAACAATTTAGATATGCGCCATTCTACATAGACTGCAACTTTGATGAAAAATGGCCTCTTGGAAAACTGAAATGTGTTTGGATTGTAACATTAAGATGGATTAGAAGTAAATAGGTTATGAAGATGGGATGTGAATGTAATTAGCTGAAGATTGAGCCCAGTGGTGGGTATTTTTCTGGTAATGCTGAAGCTTTGGGTTTTGCTTCCAGAGAGTTAGTTAATTAGTACGATAGATCTTAGGGAAATAAGTTGTGAGGTCAGGAAGTGGATGGAACTGCCTCAGGATAATGTCCAATGGTGGGCTTTGATGTTAGCAGTGTTGAATCCTTGAGTTCTGCTGCCAGAGAGTTAGTCAATTAGTTAGATGGATGTTGATTTCATTGAAGTCCATGGTTTCTATTATTAAGGTTACTTTTTCTAATTGACAATTTAAAATTATCACAGTTCCTTTAAATAGTCCAGCAGATGCATTTAAAATTGTCAGGCACCTTCAGTGCCTGTTAGATAATAGTTTGTAAGCCACTACCACCCGTATGATTTTTAATATATCCTGTACTCCTTCCCTTTTTCTCTCTTAATTTTTCATTGTTAACATTCCAAGAAAAGCCATACTGATGTTTAATTTTTTTTATATATGTGGTCAATCTTGTGGCAGGGTGTCATGGAAGGGCCAGACGAATTTGCTGATGGCCTGAGCTATGGAGCACAAAGCCTCCTGGGCCATGTTGTTGGTGGCACTGCTGGGTCAGTCTCCCTCATCTCTTCCTCTCTGGGCAACCTCCTCAGCAACCTCAGCTTTGATGAGGACTACAAGAAAGTAAGCAGTGGACCATTGAATACTGCATGTTGTCTGCTAGACACACTCCCACCAAGAAAATTGGCTGAAGCAGTAATACTTAATCATCACCTTGTTATCATAGTCACCACAGAACTTGACGAGATTCAGACACTCAGTGTCATCATGATTGCATCGTTGTCTCATTATTGGTTTTTTTTTATTCGCTTAGTGGGGGGTGGAGTCTAACTGGGTCCACTGGGAATGGCGGCCACTGATTGGCCTATTGTAGCCTGCCCCGGGTGATTATGATGATGGAGAATTTGGTGGAATGAAGATTGCCAGGGGAAACCGAAGTACTCAGAGAAAACCCACTCCAGTGCCACTTTGTCCACCACAAATCCGGCTTGACCAGACCCTGAGATCAAACCTGGGCCACCGCAGTGGGAAGCCAGCAACTAACCACTTGAGCTATAGCGCGGCCCATTATTGTGGTTACTGTACAACAACATACCCATTGTTGTCATGACGGAAATGAGTTTTCATATGGAGGAAATAAGTTGGTTTAGACTTGGACCCATCCATGTAATAACAAATTATAAATTTTCCCAGGGTTGTTGCTGCAAGACAAATATTTCTTTTTCGTTTATCAACCTTTTTACAGTGCACCATTTGAGAGAAGTAGGGTGGGACAGACAGATGGACTTTGGCGATGATGTATATAGATGTTGTCAGTAACTCAGACCGTGTAGTGATATGATGATAGTAAATAATGAATTGGAAAGGATTTAGAAGGAAGTGGTCATGGCCTAATTTAAGATAATGTCCCAGCATTTGCCTGGGGCACTGGATAAAACTAAGAAACACCTTAGTCGGGCTAATCATTTTCGCGACTGAGATTCAAACTGGGTGGTGCTGGAATACATGCCAGAAGCATTATTGCATGAGTGAGCATGCTTTGTGATTTCATTAATATCTTTCTCATTGGAGCCCAAATTTTTGTAGGGAATGTTCTGCCCTGAATATGGAGAAAATACTCGTACATTCGTCCAAAATACTGCCAGACTGCATCATTTCATAACCCACATAAGAATCTATGAATACAGTGAACACTGTAGACATGGATGCTTCCAGAATTAGGAAATATTATTGGCATCAAAATATTCAGGATTTTTTAAGGATACAATATCTTGGAATATGATACTGTGTAGTTTGGTAGATCTGTACTAGTGTTTCAAAAGAATCTATTGCCTCCATCTTCAGAATAAAATGGTTATTACCCATCTACAAACTATAAAGTATCATAGAATTACAGATAATTATAATATTGATACTCACAGCTCCTGTACAGTGGGTACTGGGGATCCTTTCCCTAGAGGTAAAGTGGCTGGGGCATAAAGCCAACCATTCTCTTCCATCTGCTACCAAAGTTACGAATACACTGAGCTACATATCCACTCCATCTGTCTTCATTGTGTGGTGCTTAATTAAGTGCAGATACAACTTCACATTTTATTCTGTTTGGATAGAATTTTGATGAGAATGCAGTTGATTCAAAATGTTAGAAAGGTAAAAACATAAAGCTATCCCTTTAAAAGGCCGTGGATACCCATAAGGTTGTGAGACATTGAGGCTCATAAATTTTCTAGACAGTTGGCTTGCAGAAAGCATTGAGGTCAGCCTTACATAATGGCCACCTTTTACCACCAGGAAAATTCCTGGTTCTAATTTCTGTTACAGGCTGAGTTGACCCCAGAGCCATAGTGCGGCTGGAAAGATTAGGTCAATTGAAAAATCAAATGACATCGGGAATTGAACCTGTGCCCTTCTGGCTTGTAGAATAGTGTTTTAACCAATTACACTACCATATACCCCTCCAAGTGTTGATATTATATGTAATTTATTGTGTGCTTTGTCTTGACAGAAAAGACGGTTCTACTTACAGCAAGCCAGTGATCTGCCTGATACAATTGTTCAGGCATCCAAATCATTTGTGATGGGAGTGGTCTTGGGTCTCTCAGGTGTCATAATGAAGCCTACCGTTGGTAAGTTGGTTGTGTGTTTTGAATGTGTTGGCAGTCCAGCGTATGTTTGTAGAGACAAACATTTGTATTCTAGACGTAGTAAGCTGTGCTGATGTGACAGTAAATAAGAAAGTCTGAAAGACAGAATAAACATTTTAATTTAAAGACAGGTTCTTACATTTTGTTTTTCTGTAGTGTTAGATGTTTGTAAGTAGGATATTGTCACATATAGGGTCATCCACACAATGAAAATGATGGGTTCTAGTTCAGATGATTGGATTTATTAGCACCTTGGTTACAACCTCTTTTAGTTACAGTCAGTACATGCAATAAAGCACTATCACTGATTTACACACTTTCCAGCGCACCGTTACACACGCACTAGGATTCCCAGTCTTCACTAGTTGTCTCCTGGCAAGAGATCTCAACACAGAAACCATAACAGTCTCACTGGATCACACACTGCAAATATTACACATAACTAAAGTCCTCAAATCACAAGTTAAATCCTGAGGGACTGACATCGACCAACATCGACCAACAGTAAACACCCAATACATGACCCCTACCCACTGTTGCTGTGTGATGTCACCGCACATGCATAGCTGACGGACATGCAGGAAACGCATGTCAAGTGACGGCCACCTACTGTTGATGTGACAATATTATGAACAATCTGACTGGAAAGTTACATGCACCTGTGACAGCACATTAGCAGGACTGTAGCCAAAATAATTTTGATGAAATTATATATGGAAAATTCATGTAGAAAGGCAATCATTTATCCATGGTCTTCCCATTTATCAGGTTTCTCCTGCTACTTATCCGCTTGCTGCCTATTTCATGCTGGTTTCTTTCTTGATTACTCATGGACCCTGACTATGGACGCGATATGCTCCTCCAGAACATCAGTAGACTTTCACCAGACTGTGAGGTATATTGCATTCCAGAAGACAGAACTTTCGTTAAAGTGAGATTTGAGCCATGTGTCAGGCACTGCACTGATATGAAACTAAATTAAATTTTCCCAATAAGTTAGAGTCTAAACACTACTGTATTCTTGAGGTGGTGCCATGTAGCGTGGTAAATATTTACCAGCATTTTGGAAAAAATTGCTGTTTCCATCCACAAGGTAGAAGAGAAAACTCTTCATGGTGAAACAGCTGGTGAAATAGGGAGGAGAGAACTAGGATAAAATAAGAGTGGAGTACACTAAATGATAACGTGTGGCATTGAAAAGGGATAAATATGCAGCAAATATCACATCACTCTCAACTATGAGAGCAGACCCTTCCTGTACCTGAGTTTAACAAAACTGAACACTGAGGCTGTTGTTCTGATGACAATACTGTAAACATATAACTGAGAGGTGAGCAAAGTAAAAAAAGAGTAAAGCTATCCCTGTAAAAGGCCGTGAAGGCCCATAGGGTTGTGAGACATTGAGGGTCCCACATTATCTAGACAATCGGCTCAAAGATGGCGGTAAGGTTGTCAGCCTTATGCGCCGGCCACGCTTTACTCCCCATGAAAATTATTTAATTAATTCCTGGTACTCATTTCTGTTAAAGGCTGAGTGAACCTCAGGGCCATAGTGCAGCTGGAAGGTTTGGGTCAATTGAAAATAATCCAGTGACCTCATCGGGACTTGAATCCGCGACCTTCCGGCTTGTAGCATAGCCCCTCAACCAACTATGCTACCGTGTGCCCCATAACTGAGAGGTGCTCTATTAAAATTTTGTTTGTGATGGCTGTCCTGACTGAGGTGTTTATGGTATTCCTCAGTTCTTCCAGACAAATGCTAGGGTAGTACCTCAACTGAACTATGATCACTTCCTTCCAAATCTTTTGAAGTTTATCAGTCCTACCATTTGAGGCTATGTAGCCTGGTCTAGATACTGATAACAGTAAAAAATTTACCACAGAAGAAGTCAAGCATTTGTGTAGATTAAACCTCGAGTTTGGACAGATACAACTTTTCCCATTGTACATTCATTTGATGCAAGGAACTGTCAGCTTATTCTGCCTCTTCTTTTTTCAGCCTTTCCTATTTACTGAGACACACACACACATACTGTGCCATTATTGATGTACATTATTGCACTTGTCTCATCTGTTCCTTAAGTAACCGTAGCTTTGTGTCTAGCTCTGTGTGTGGATGTGTAGTGGGTGATGATGTCACTGTGGAATGTGCCATGTACTAATGGAGTCTACTCACGTTCTCTATTCCTTTTCACACAACACCATTTTCGTTTTGCATCATGTGACATGGACATTAGAGCTGGAATTGCCAGGTATGACAAACAATATTGTATGTTTTTCACAATAGCATAAAGCCCAATCAAATTGTTGCAGTTAAGCATTTTATTTTACTGTGATCCGCTGATACATGACAGCCCTTAGGCACATTCCTATGCCACAGTTTCAATGAATGTGTATGCTGTAAGCTTGAAAATTTCTGGAACAACAGCTACATTTATATTGAGGTAATAAACTTGAGGTATTAGTATCCTGACCTAAGTGTTCCTGCTCTCTAGAGGTATATTTTGAATTACTTTTTGGCAGAAGAGCACATTGCAATAAAAATTCATGTAGGTCTGTGGAAAACGATAAACACAGTCAGACTGGGTATTCTTAGGAAACACTGGACTTGGGGAGGTCTTCACATATGTAACATATAGAATCATCCTGATTTATACTATTTAACATAATTCCATCTTCAAAATAATCATTGAAATGAGAAATAGATTTGCATACATTTTTAATATTATGCATTCATTTCAGCACATATATTGCAAAATACTTACTTAATATTCAGCCCTTTGTATATAAGGGAGAGTTATTGATATGATTAATCACCTGTCCTTTATATGGGACATACACTAGCATAGTTGGTTGAAGCACTATGCTACAAGCTGGAAGGTTGCAGTTTTGATTCCTGATGAGGTCATTAGAATTTTTGATTGACCTAATTCTTCCAGCTGCACTATGGCCCTCAGGTCAACTCAACCTCTAATAGAAATGAGTACCAGGAATCATCCTGGGACTAAAGGATGGCTGGCACGTAAGGCTGACAACCTCACTGCCATCTGTGAGTCGATTGCCTATAAAATGTGGGAGCCTTGATGTCTCACAATCCTATGGGCCTTCTCATAACACTATTCAGGCCTGTCACTTCATATTTATATCATGATCGCTACTTGTGTAAATCATTCCAGAAATTCAGCTTATATCATAGTGAATCTGCATATAAGAATAGCCAATTTGGCAAAAATCCAAACATCACCATTGGTAGGATACCGGGGAAACCCAATCATATTTTATATTACTATTCCCATTATGATTGATTGCAGTGCTGGTGCAAGGATACTTGGAAAATTCATGTAATTCTTAGTTGCAGCACCATTTATAGGACATGGGAAAAGCTCAAGTTAAGCAAATTGAAACCAGAAGATGTGCTGATTGAGTAAAGTATTGAATTGAAAATTTAAGAAGTGACTGAAGAGGAAATGGAAAGAGGGATGGAGGATGGGAAAGGAATATGGGAAAAAGAAGGGAAGGATATAAATATATAAAAGAGAATAAAATAAATTATTTCCCCTATTATCTGTAATAATCCATGCATTACTTTGTAAAATAATGGTCTTGTGTTTCACAAGCCGAGTGGTTTGTGTATGCTGACATTGCAGTGCATGGCAACTGTCCAGTAACTCACGTTGATTTTGTGTTCTTCTCATTCTCAGGTTGGTAGTCAGAAGCATATGATTATGAACTGTGCACTGTAGTATGTAATGCTGAGAACATGTATGGCAATTCAGATGTGTCTGAAATACACTTTGCATGAATTATTATTATTATTTCTGTCAGATCAAGGGAATGCAGATTTTCTTCGTATGAGGAAAAGAACATATACACTACAAAACTGTACTCTAAAAACTGTGAATATCAAATTTAGCTATTATGATACAAATATATCACCAGTAAGAGTTACACCATTTTAATTATAAAAATACACTGTCAGTGAAAAGCAAAACTGGAAACAATAACCTGTAAATATCCATGCTGTAAGAATTAAGCCCCTCCTTTTTAGTCAATAGGAAAGTTATGTAAAATATTCATGTTTGAAGGGGGCACATGGTAGCGTAGTTGGTTGAGGCACTATGCTACAAGCCAGAAGGTTGCGGGTTCAAGTCCCAATGAGGTCATTGGATTTTTTTCAATTGACCTAATCCTTCCATCTGCACTATGGCCCTGGGGTCGACTCAGCCTCTAACAGAAATGAGCACCAGGAATATTCTTGGGGGTAAAGGGGGCAGAGCGTAGGGCTGACAACCTTGCCGCCATCTGTGAGCCGATTGTCTAGAAAATGTGGAAACCTCAACATCTCACAACCCTATGAGCCTCCATGGCCTGTTCCAGGGATACCTTTACTTTTTTTTTATTCGTGTTTGAATGTTATATTATTCTTTTCGAGTTTATTTTGCATTCCTTTGCCAGAAGTGAACACTGGAAACTATTAGTGTATTCAGATTAATCCTTGGATTTCAGGTATGCTAGATATTATGCCTAGATAAAATATAAACAGTGTTGTGTTCCTCAAAAGTTTTGCTTTCCTTGAAGGTTTTAAAAGAAAATACATTTTTTAAGAAAGTAGCAGTGACAAATTATTTTTCTGAAGAAAATAGCAATGGTACTTTATACAGAGTGGGGTGCAGAAACTTCCTTTTTTGAAGGCAAACAAAAGAAAAATTATTGCTGATAGACAAAATGTATGTTTAGCTAACGAAAGAACATACTTTAAAGTTTTAAATCATGTAGTTTTAAACAAAATATCTTGAAGGTGGTGGCCACCGTTCTCTATGCACTGATGCAACCGTTTTCTGAAGTTCCCCTCTGCATGTTCCAACATGTGCACCGGAATTTGGGCTACTTCCTGCCAAATGAAATTCTTTAGCTGAAAGAGGTTTGTGGGGTGATATTTAAAAACCTCTGCCTTGAGGTATCCCCATAAAAAAAATCACAGGGTGTTAGATCAGGTGAGTGCGCTGCCCACGGGATGTCACCTCAAAGCGAGATGAGCCATCCGGGGAACATTGCACTCAAAATTGTCATCGAAGCTCGGGCTGTGTGGGCCGTGGCACCATCCTGTTGGAACCAGACTGCATGTTTGCGAGCGGAGTGTCTTGGAGATCTCAAAACCGACTGTCAAACTGCCTCCACATTTTCTGGCATTGTAACGGTCCGTTGTCATCCTCATGATTTTTTCACCACACTCCTGGTTGTCGTGAAGTTCTCTACCCACAAAACAATCGATTTCCGGTCGGGAACCAGACCTCTGGGCTTAATTCCGAAGTGAGTATGGAACGCATGCTGCACTGCCACATAGGAATGGTTGTTCAAAAAATAGGCTTCGACAGCAAATGCACACTGCTCACTCATCCACCTCATGTTTCCTACTGAGGAGCATTAGACAGAAATTTCCGCGACTGCTGTGTTTGCCAAGCCTATCCCCACTTTTCTGTGACCTCCCCTCCCTTCAAACTGCGTCTTCACAAAAAGGAAGTTTCTGCACCCCACTCTGTACTTCTCTCAAGAATGTAGCAATGGTACTTTATACTTCTCTAAAGAATGTAACAATAAAATTGCATTTTTCTGCAGAAAGTAACAATAACAAATTACATTTTTTAATAATGTAACAGTGACAGACTATATACTATTCTGAAGAATGTAGCAGTAACTATTTATGCTCTTATTAGGAGAGAAGCATTGATGAATTATATTTTCAATAGAATGTGTTTTTCTGAAGAAACTATCAGTGACTAATGAGAAAGAAGCAAAGATGACTATACTTTCTTAAGAAGAGTAAGAGTAAAACCTACTTCACTTCCTTGCTTTGTCACAGTGCTTCATGTAAATATTGCTGCAGTAGAGAACTCCTGTAGGCTATCTTTGTTCATGTACCAGGGCTGTATTTAGAGAGGAGGGCTTAGATGTTCACATCTCCCCTGAAATTGTAAACATTAACTTAAAAGGAAGAACTGTTAATTTGTGAACATGCAGAATAAAATGCAGGATTTTGTTAATTGATTTTTCTTAATAAAGGTTGAAATTATTGACCTTTTATCAAACTTTCTTGATGGATTTGAAACAGAAACTGCAAATTTATTGCATGCAAACAATGGGGATCTATCAGGATGGTGTGTTTGATTAATTCATCAGGAAAATACATTACTCTTCAGAACCTGTTTTCCTAGCATTAGAAAGCTTTACATTTTTCAGAGAATACATTTATAGATTCTGTATGATTTTCAGAATAAACATATTGTTTACATAAAAAGCATTAAACAATGAATTTTTATAAGGGAGGCATATTATTTTCTTGTGAAGTATGAACTGAGTTTTAAAATACATATTACTTAGATGAACTTTATACTGCAAAGTGTTATTGCTTGCTGTAACCGTGATACTGCAGGAGCACATCATGAGGGTGTGGAGGGCTTCTTCAAGGGAATTGGAAAGGGCCTAATGGGACTGATGACTAAACCTGCTGGAGGGGTTCTGGACTGTATTGCAATGGCCCTGGATGGAATTAAAAGGTGAGAGTCATCAGTTGATGCTTCAGTTTCTCCAGTTCTTGAGCAGTAATATTTGGATATCTCATGATAGCATAATGTGTGCTACATGTAAGTAACTTCTCACTTTTTGTGCACGTGTCTCATGTTCCATTTTCTTGTGATCGCTGATGTTGGATGACCTCTTTCCAGAGCTGCTGAAATGGGTGAGGATGTGGTGATGAGGTCCAGATTACCACGATACATGAACCCATATACAGTAAGTTCATCTAATTAGTAGATTTTTACACTCCGAGGATTTTTTCCCAAATTGTCTTAGAAGTTTAGGCTGTTAATATCATACATGTAAATTGCTTTATAATCTACACGTCTTTAATTTCCCAAATATGTAGTATGCAGAAGTGTTATGATCGTGAAAAAATGAACTTTTATGGATTAACATAGGGGCAGCCAGTAGCGTAGTTTGTTGAGGCACTAAGCTACAAGCTGGAAGGTCGTGAGTTCGAGTCTCAATGAGGTGGATTTTTCCAATTGACCTAATCCTTACAGACGCACAATGGCCCTGGGGTTAACTCAGCCTCTAACAGAAATGAGTACCAGGAATCTTCCTGTGGGTGTAAAGGGCAGCTGGCACATAAGGCCAACGGTCTACATAATATGGGGCCCTCAACATCTCACAACCCTATGGCCCTTCATGGCCTGCTATAGGGATAGCTTTGCCTTCTTTATGGATTAACATATTTTCAATGACTGTGAATACAAAAGCATGGTTTCCGGAATGTCATCTGTACACACACACACACACACACACACACATGCCTGAATGGTTGGATGGATTTTGTTCATATTTGGTATTTAAGAGTTTATCCACCATGGATCAGTAAAAGTTATCACTATGCTCAACTAATTAAGCACTAAAATATGAAGGTGTAATAAATAGATGCCCTTCAGATGAGCCATAAAAGAAGGCTCTAACGATTTTGTTTAAATATCAGTAATTTATGGAGATTATCTCCTAAATAGAACTGTGTAGATTGTGTCCTCAGGAACATAATAGTATGCACACTAGGGGCCCACATAGGGAATGTCAGTTTTCTCAAAAACAGCTTGACTGATTTTGATTACATTTTAATTGCATATTAGAGGAACTGAACCCAAATAATAATTTGTGTACCAAAACTTTCTAAATTTAATTGAACTACAACTGTGGACCCCTAGTAAGGGCTGAACCACAATCTCTGTTCTTCTCTCAAAATTAGCTCCAATTGTTTTTGATTAAATTTTGTCAGTTTTTAATACTGATAACTCCAAATAAAACTGCACTGGTCATATTTCTCAGAAAATAGCACTCAGCTGTCTGGAGTCTGAGCCACAGAATATATCAATTCTATGAAGCTGTGATCCACTAGGCATATATGAGAAACTGTGTGCAATGTCTTTGCGTTGATTTTTCTGTCAGTATATTCGGTTGTAACTTGTTCCTGTCATATCATTATAAATGTACAAATGTTTAGTAATTGCTAAGAACAGAAGATGTAGATGATAGAATAGATTATGTGTGAGGAATAGGAAAGAAGTGGGAAGGGTAGGTAGGGAAATGTGGTGGGGGGAAGATTTCTGTTTACTGCTGAAGCTTTGTGTCTGGATTTGCTGTTGCAGTCACATCTGTCTTCCCTTTTCAGGGACTACGGCCCTTCTCTGTGTATGAAGCAACTGGACTCCATCTTTTGAACACACTAAGTAAAGGTTATTACTCTGACTCTGACATCTACTGGGCACATGCCTCCCTCACCAAGGAAGCAAAAGTCAATGTTCTCATTTCACTTCAGTGAGTCTTCTTGTTCTTTAGAAATTCTGTTGTTTGTTTAAGGAATCTTAACTTAGTGACAGCAACATTTCCCACAATTCAATATAAGATCTGAGACTTTCACAGTGGTGAAGATCTTCTGGGTCCTGATACTGTGTATCTGAGCAAGGTGGCTGAAGTGCTGATGCTTGTGACTTGTATTTGAGAGGATACTGGTTCAAGATTTAGCTGGGACAGTGACTCTCCTGACTGAGCTATTTGTGTTGGAACTGAGGTTCTCACAGCTAAAGGAATATAGATCAGTACAATTCTAGTAACAGTCTTCAGGAAAGAAAAGTAAGCCAGGCTGTTTGCCATCTCCTTCATGCTGGTTTGTTGCTTGGCTTACTCATCAGCCCTGAAGATTGAAGCAGTATGTTCTGAAACATCTGTGGACTGCATGACATGTCCCAGAAGGTAGTAATACTGTCCATGGTTCCTGTGATTTTTCTCAGTCCCTCCAGGGAGATGCTGAATTAGTAACTTAGATCAGATCACAACTGCTTTCTCCCAGATTCTTTCCAATTCATTATGTTCTTTTGATATCACTCATATGTAGTCTGAGCTACAAATAAATGGACACTCTGTGGTCTTGTAGGCTGTTATCAGCATTTTTTATGGGAGTGTACTGTCTCCATTGGAGACATGTGGTAGCATAGTTGGTTGAGGCACTATGCTATAAGCTAGAAGGTTGTGGGTTCGAAACTCAATGAAGTCATTGGGTTTTTCAATTCACCTAATTCTTCCAGCTGCACTATGGCCCTGGGCTCGACTCAGCCTCTAGCAGAAATATCCCACAACCCTATGGGCCTCCACAGCCTTTTACGGGGATAACTTTACTTTACCTTTTTACAATGTCAGTCTTCTATACTGAAGATAGAGGCAGTATATTTCCCTAAAATGTTGGAACCTGCCTATAAGACCACATGGTATCATAACCCAATAGATCACATGATTGCTTTTAAGTTTGTCATAAATGTAGTTTTCACTTGTTATTATCTGTCTTCAGTGTTTCCAAGTCTATGCCATCACTTCCCTTCTGTAGCCTTTATCATGTAAATATGTGTTTCTAAATTCAGGCGCATATTCCTGGTTGAGAAGTGTCGTCTGTGGGGTACATGGGATGTGGAGTGGGTGGTGTGTATAGACGACATCATGGCAGTTCCACACATAGCAGACAACAAGCTGGTGTTCAAAGTACGGCAGGTGAGCCTCTGAAATGTTCTAGTTGCTATCTTAATATAAGGCGTGGTTTCTCCAACTATGTGTTGCAGCCCCCTAGGGTGTCATAATTTAGTCTAAGGGGCATCAACAAATTCTCAGGAATTATTTAAATTACAAGTGTATCCACATATAATTTTAGAATATCTCTAAGTAAAGTTTGATATATGTAGGTGCTTTTGGAAAATGTAGATATAGGCCGTGAAATATTTCATGAATTTTTTCATGACTTTACAGAAACATTTTTTAAATAGTGCACTATAGGTGCAGAGTGGTTGTAAAGCTACAACAGTGTGCAGAACTGCACTTTTTTGCTCACTGGCATAGGTGGAGGAGTCATTTAAATTTATATATTATTTTAAGGGGTTGCAGTATCACCAAATTTGAGAGCCCCTGATGTAAGGCTTTTTGTAGTACTTATATGGAAGTACATAAGGGGAATAGCAACTAGCTATTGTAACATGTGATCACAGTGTTTGCTTGAATTGACTGAAAGAAACTATGAAATGCTCAGTTGGGATAGGCGAAATACAGGCCAAGGCTTGAAGTGAAAACCTCCTTAATTACAAGGAGTGCTAAACCATAGTTGATTGAGGGGCTGTGCTACAATCTGAGAGGTCTTGGTTTTGATTCCTGATGATGTCATTGGATTTTTCAAATGACCTAATCCTTCCAGCTGCACTACGGCCCTGGGGTCGACTCAGCCTCTAACAGAAATGAGTACCAGGAATCTTCCCGGAGGTAAAGGGAGGCTGGCACATAAGGCTGACAATCTTACCGCCATCTGTGAGCTGATTGTCTAGAAAATGTGAGAGCCTCGACGTCTCACAACCCTATGGGCCTCCAAGGCCTGTTACAGGGATAGCTTTACCTTTACCATTCCTAACTAACAAATTCTACAGACCAGAATGATTCTTGACAAGCTAATAGTCACTCATCTGTTGAAATTCCTACCTGTCCTGTTGGTTCCCCCACCTCAGCCCTAGCCCTTGGCTAGGTTCGCAGGTGCCAGAATTGTAGAACAGACCTAGAGGCACTAGAAACTAAATGGCCAACAATATTTTAGCTTTTATGTACTATTTAGAAAGATGAGGTGATGGGTTCTTAAATGAGTCATCAGTGCTTCATATGTATTGTGAATGTTCTTTGACTGTTACAGGATGAAAGCTTTAACTTCTGCTCTGGAGAGGAGAGGTACATTGAGTGCCAAGATGTGACTGTATTAGAGTGGCTGCAGAACAAGATAGAAACTGTCATGATATTGAACATGGAGGACAAACCATGCCCTAGTGAGGTGTGAAGTTCACACCTCATGGTAGAATAGAACTCTCCACTGTTGCACATATGTGTAAGCATTGGTGTAACAGGTATTCCTTGATTTATGTAACACTTGTGTTCCAAAATGAAATCACAGAGGGCGAAATTACATAAATCAAAAATAAATTCCTCATAATAATCAATGGAAATGTGTGAAGTCTGCTACATAGTGTATCAGAATATTCTTGCCATTATTTAAACTGGTTCTCTGAGCAGTACAATACATCCTTTTTCTTATGTTAATAAGATTTATGTCATTTCAATATGATTAATTTGAGTTCATGATTATTTATTTTCAAAGAAAGTGCTATATGTTGCTAAGGAATGGGATGGCATAATGACCTTGAAATCCACAGAAAAGCCTGTGCCACTGAGTACAAATCACTTGCAGAGTTGTCCTGAGAGATTCTGTCTGTCTCTCTCTCTCTAAAAGGTGACAGAAACAGTTTATATCTACAATAAAGAAATCATCAAAATTAGCACTCCCCAGTACCACAAGAGAGACAGCTTGCTAAATGAATGGATGGCTGATCAGATATGGATGACTTCGTTGAGTTATATAGGGTGATGGTTGAAGTCAGTGATGAAACAGTCACTGAGGTTGTATAAGGAGCAGACTGAATTGGTTGAAAAATCAGCAATATTGAGTTTTGCCTTTGTGGTCAGTGAAGCTTATGGTAAAATTTCACTCCAGATGTTTGGTGGGCACACTGGCTGTGACTTCTTAAAAAAATCATTCACTTTAGGTTACTTCACAGTCTCTGACTTCTCATGCAACAGTAGATGCACAGAAGAGGTTGTGTGGCTGGGCCAAATTTCCCATTCACCACTTGAATTCCTTCTTCATCACCCATAAAGCAATTTACTCCCTCTTCTTCCTGTCACTGTAATTGACTGGCAAGCAATCTGCATTTTAAGTGAGCACTGTTAATTGAAATCGGTCAAAATTAGTTGATTGCCTTAAAATGGAATTACGTTTTTCAAACTTGTATATAATGAGGAATACCTGTATGTACATATTAATATGAAATTTATACCAACAGGTGACAGGGTCAATCTGCATGGTATGTCATGCTTGTTTCTGTGAAAACTTGAGTGTTTGGGCCTGTTCAGTGGTTTAGTTAATAAAAATTACACTTCAGTACACAGATTCACAGTTCTCCCACCTTGTAGAAATAGAAGTATAGCCTGTCACTGCTAGACTCTTACCACCTGACAGCGTTGTCATAAAAAGAAAACTTTCTTTCGTGTTGCACAGTGTGGTCCCTAAATCTTCTACTCATTAAATACTGTCATAACAAGGATTTATGATTGACCTCACAAAGTATAAAAACAAGGTTGGAAAGCTGCATTCCTTGTCAGAGCATGCACAGTTTCAACTCTGCAATGCAGCAATTTGCTGCTTGCCCTTGCCAGCATAGTTATTCTTGGTTCTGGGTCCTATTGGGACTCACAACCAAATTTTTATTTGTTCCAAGACTTTTATGTGTTTTGGAATGGGGCCTTCTCTGTGACTTTATCATTGTTTCCACTCTAAATTCACACTAAAATGCATGTAGAGTCCACAAAGTTCTAAAGTTTGTTAATGCAACTTCTTTGGTCCCTGCCGTTCCTACGCTTACCATCAGTAACACCATTCTTATTATTGTTATGCTTCCTATAATATCTTGCTTATTCTTGTTTACTGTGGTCACTAAATTTTGGTAGTGCACTAATCTTGCTCTCACCTCACAAGTTTGTTTGCCTCCTTTATTTTCCTTATCAATTGCTGTAAATTAAAAATTTGAATTTATCTTCAGTGGTATAATATGCATAGCAAATTTCATCAAAATCCATCCATAACCATCCCTATAAGGCACTGTCAGGTGAAGTGACTGGATATTTGGTATGAAGAAGAGAAAAGAATCACACATGTGCCAACCCTAAATAATGCAAGTAGTTTGTTTCTCATTTTCTTTAATAAAGCTTGAGCAATTACATTGGTTATATGGTGTCAGATATTAGGAAGACGATGGACAGGGCCGACATGGAATGGAGGAATCATGACATGTTTTAAGTGTTAGTCCTACACTTGTCAAATAGGACAGAGAAAAACTTCAATTGCATTTGTTGTGTAGTGTCCCATGAAACAGAAATATCATGAATGCTGAATAGGTAACTGTTTGTAAGGTGGTAGTCATAACCTGAAAAACAACGTTTGGGGTTATTATGGTAGTGAATACTATTAACATTGCAATATTCTGGCATGCAACATCATGTGTTCTGTTGGATGGGTCTTACACTGTTGCATCCTGTTGCAGTTTCATTCTAAAATATACTTTATTTTTAAAACTGTCTATACAATGTAAATAGTCATTATGAAGGTTTTCCTTTTTGCCCAATATATATTTAGCTTACTGACAAGGGTTATGGACAGCAGTAACATTTCAAAGAACAACATCTTCAAGGAAGAGAGCAGTTGAGAATGTCATGATGATGAATAATAATATAGGCTACTAGATCAGGGTTTTTAATATAATTCCCTTAGTTCTTGTTTGGTAGTGACTCCCCAGACCCCTTACTCAGTTACTGGTTTATATACCTTCCTCAGAATTTTCTTTTCACACATATAATTTTATCCTTTGCAGTTATAGACCATGCTTCACATACCTACATTTTAATTTGTTCTATTCTGCTCACAGTTCTAGACTTAAAATTTTAATCTGTACTAACAGTGAGTAGTGTGAGGTAAGCAGTGAATAAAATGAATATTTCTCAAACAAGCATGACATTAAGTACAGACAGTATTTCTGATGTTGCACATGTTTGGTGCAGATGTATTTCCATAGAATCACTTCTGTAAAAGTCAATCATCAATCTTGAAAGCCTATCACTCTACAAATGAGAATCACCATTCTGTACAGATCCTTAATATGCATATGTAATATATAATGTAAATTTAATGGATATGAGGAGGTAAGCTTCCAGATGAAATGTTATTAATTTATAGCATGTTCCTGTGTACATTGGCACTGTATTTTATTTTTATGCTTAGCCCTTTCAGATACTGACAAGTCATTTTCAGACAACATGCATATTAGTGCCATGATACTTTTCCTAGGGCCTTTGAGGAATTTTACAAAATCAAAGTCACATATTACATAGCAAGCGCACTCCTTCATATTACTTAACCTGAAGGCTCATTACTATCCTAAAAGCTCATTACTCACCACTGATTCAGCCCAGTCATTATTTATGTAAGATGCATTTTAATACTGTTAATGTACTGTAATGATGACCAACAATGAAAACACACATAAAGAGTTAATGGTGCCAGTGTCCAATATCCAGGTTAAGTTTTTAGTATTAACTTCTGTGAGACGTGGAGTTTCAGTGAACTATCAGTATTAATAGCACTAACATAATTAAGTTGTGGGAAACTGTAAGGTTATTTTCTGGTTGCTGTTGTTTTAGGTGAAATTAGTAACAAAAGTTTCAGGATGTTGTGTAAGACACTTCACTGTCTTGTACTTTGTAGGTGTCATCAGTTGTATTTTATTTTCATTGTTTTCATCAATTCTAGTTACTCAAAATGTACAGGCTTGGTAGTGACCCTTCTAGTCAGTATTTTGTTCTTATATGTTTATAAAATGAATGTACAATTCAGCATGCATCTGAGCCATGTGGAACAGTAATCTGTGAGATATCAGTGGTGCTGAAAATGGGAAACAGATTATTTTCATAACTGTTTCCAAATGATTTTGCTGTTAGCTGTGTTAACAGGCAGTGTGCCAAGTGGGTTAGGAAGGAGACAGGCAGGCTGCATTCACCTTACACAAGCTAGTAATGAAATTCTGAGAATGGTCTGAACCATCACTACCTGCTCTCCCATGACATTAATCATTTCATGTTCAGCCTAAGCAGAATAGTTAAACCTGAATATCGGCAGATAAAGGTTGTGTTTCCTTCCTCCACGATGTGAAAGCACCATAATCTGCACATACACTCAGTCACAGTTTACCATACAAATAACAGAAAATACTAGGAATATCACTTGCTATATTGTTTGTAGTTTAGTTATCGGCAAGATGTCAAAGAGTGGTATGACCAATTAGTAATGTGTGAACCATCCGAGAGGTAGCTGTGTGGAATAAGATAACACTTGGTTTCTGTAATGTGGCAGAAACTTCTAGAACTTGGTACATATGTGATTATATATATATGAGACAATATCTAAAAGCCTGAAACCTGACATTTCAGCTGTTTAAAGAGCAGTAACAATTTATTTTTGCTGCCTATCTTGTAAGATAATGAATATTCCCTTGAGTCAGTTCATTCCAATCTCAAACTTCACATTCTGTTTGTTTAAAATCATTTTAATATTATCCTGTCATCTATGCCTATGTTCCCATGTGACCATGCCCCCTGACATTTTACATCCAGAATGTCATATGCATTTCTCATTTCCCCCTTCTATATTATATGTATAATTTAATCACTGCATATTTTCTGCACCCTCGTTATTTCCATTTTCTTCAGTTCCAGTATTTACCACTGTATCCTCTTCTCAAATTATCCTCAAGCAGAAGACATAACTTTTCATGCTTTCTCCATTAAAGTTGTGTATTGTTAGAAAGTTGGATGGGAGATAAATGTGGGTCTCCATATAAAATTTTCTTTTCCAAACTATGTTACTCTGAACATTTAAAGCACATGTTGTTCTGTAAGTGATATTACCTGCCTCAGGGATATTTCTTAAGTATTCAGGTGGGTGGGTGGGGGGTCTTTCTACCAAGTGCTGCCTGGTGTTTGCCTAAAGTTTTTGGGAAGGCTAGAGTCTTAGTAATTGGAAGCCTCCAGGCTGAAAACCAGCTATTTTACCACACAACTAATTTGTTTAGTGACTCAACACATGAATATATGAACTGCAGATGTTATTCAGATTTAAGTGTATTCATTTGGAAAATAAATTTGGAGAACTATAATATTCAGGTGTCTAATGAATGTGGTATGTAAAACACATCAATTTGCAAAAGTAAGTGCTCAATTAAACATCACAGCATGAAGATTTGTGGAGGGAACAGAGGTATTGTTCCAACCATTCTTAATGTTGGAACTAGCTGGTGAGTTTCTCATATATTTCAATGGGTGTGCCACACCTCAGGTGGTTAGATGGTGGCTTTTCATCACAGAGCATTCAGTTCAGTTCTGGGTGATTAATTTTTTCTAATTCGCTAGTGGGGGATGGAGTCCAGCTGGGCCCACTCGGCACGGTGGCCACTGATTGGCCTATTGTACCTGCCCCGGGTGATTATGATGGAGAATTTGGTGGAATGAAGATTGACAGGGGAAACCCGGGCCGCTGCAGTGGGAAGCCAGCGACTAACCACTTGAGCTATGGCGCAGACCCAGTTCTGGGTAACTTCATGTGAGATTTATGTTGGCTCTGGAGAAGGTTCTTCCAAGTTGTTTCAAATCTTCTCTGTCAGTGATTCTATCATTACTTCATACTCATCTGTCATCTTCCCCTGAGGCATTGGATATCCCTGACCAGGTAACACAGCCCATTCTGTCTCTTAAGTTGTGGGCTGGATACAGGGTAAGAATTTTCTTCTATTGAGGTGATCAAGTGAGAGTAATGAACAATAAATCTAGCAGTAGAGATCTGTTAAAAGCTGTGTGGCATGAAAGTAAACATAAAATCACAAAAACATTTTCATACTTTATTCTTACTTTAATGAGATTCACATAATTCATTACAATTAAGTGCAAATTTATAATATAGCATCTCTTTTTCTTAAACACTTGACAGCCATATCAAGTGCTCCTTCTCGTGTCTTGTTACCACCTATAAATCCTGTTGCATGAACAAATATGCAACCACCAATTCCAGACACTGCTGACAGTTTTTCATCTCGCAAGCCTTGCCATTCCTCCAAAAGAAAGAGTCGGCAAATGAAACTTCCAACAGCTATAGGTACAGCCTGAACTCGCCAACTGCCATTACTGTCACTGAACAGGACAAACTTCACACTGGGCTCAAGTTTCAACTCCCTCTCCAGCTGGAACAAATGCTCCTTCCAAGGGCAGGCTCTTCCATCAGGAAATTCAATTATCTCTCCTGAAGGGTCAGTTTTGTATCTGTTCTCCAAGGCCTGTCTTACAAGATGTCTGGCTGGCCACCATATATTGGCCACAGATTTTACTCTATCTTCAAATTCTTTTCCGACTAATTCATATGCTTTGTAAAAGCTTTCAGTTTCATCTTGAACATTGCTGTTCCATGCTGGATTAAAGTTACCAACTCTAGAACTTAAGTTCGTTGTGATTCTATAATTTGGTTCCCCATCAAACATCTGAACGCCATTATCTATTCCATCAATTTCTTGAATGAAGTACTCATACACTTGGTTGTACACATTCCTGACAGCATCATCACAGGGTTCATCCCCAAGAACAGCTCTGATTATTTTATCACCAAAATGGTGATATACTAGACCAGCACTGCTTAATTTTGTCTTCCATGGTTTATCAGGAGTGAGAGAATTCATTGTCTCTTCAAATTCCCGCTGGTGATGATCGTAACGATGACGTGCTGGGTCATATACTCCTCCAACATCTACAACGATGTCACATGCATCTAGGATATTCTGATCTCGTGTTCGTACAATTTCCGCATTCTGATACAGTGGAATTCTTTTCAGCATGTAACATGCTAATATTTCATCACAGTGGAAGACTCCATTGTGGGTTCCAATTTTTATGTTTGTTTCCCTGTGGTTTTCTCCAAGCTCTCCTACCATCCTGCTGGCACAGTAATGCCTGAAAAGATATGCGATACACATAACTAGGGATACTTGGTTAATATATAAAGGCATCAGTAAAAATAAAACCATCATTATCGCTGCCAAAGTCCTTCTATTACTACTAATACAAGTTGCTACGCCCTTCCAGGGTGCTTACACATTATTCCTCTTACATTACACATGTATTATTTTGGTCAGGTTGGGAAGGTAAGAGATAAGAATTCCAGAAATATATTTGCTTACTTTCCACAAGTAATTTGACATTGGTGGAAAGTATATCTGTAGTCTCAGATTTAACTATTCTCTCCACAGCCCTCGTTAGGCTTTTTTTTTCTAGTAACAAGAAACACCAAAATTTGGTGATACTAGGTAAATCCAGCTGTTTCTACTGATGAGAAATTTGGTAAACACAGAAACGTCTGTAATGAGATTTCACTATCATGCCAGTTCAAGACAAAGTGCTGTCAAGTTATACGTTTATCTGGAGCTTTGGGAAGTGAACAGGATCACTGTACTCTGTCAGACCACATATTTAAATGAGTGTGAAATTCAAATGCTGAATTTTTGTTACTTCCGATACATGCACAATTTTGATGTTCCTTAACAGTAGCGACTGCCTACAGGCTGGACGACTGAGGGGTCGGAGTTCGAGTCTTGATAGGGTCAAGAATTTTCTCTTCTACACGTTGTCCAGACCTACTCTGGGGTAAAACCAGCCTCCTATCCAATGGGTACCGGGGGCTCTTTCCCTGGGGGTAAAGCGGCAGGAGCGTGAAGCTGACCACTCACCTCCAGATAGTGCCGAGGTCAAGAAAATGTGGATCTATACATCTACTCCCCCATACACCTTCATGGCTTAGTGCTTAATAGTTACGCATAGGGACAACTTTACCTTTTAACAGTAGTACAGCAATGAATTCTATTGGCTATATGTTTACATTAAACAAACGAGGAAAATTTCCCTCACGTGTCATATTAAATAAACTATACCGAATCTTGCAAAAACTGAATTATAGCTTTATGCGGATTCAGAAGATCTGTAGAACCCTAAGAATTACACTAAAGATTCAAAATTTGTGCCGATTACATGTAAATACACATAAACATTCGATTACATAACCTCACTTTTGAAATTTGCTTTTGCTCTATTCTCCACTTTGCTACACACACGCACATTTTGTGTGTTAAGTATAGAAAACTCACCGCGTTTAAAGTACAAAGATATAGGTCTAACTTCTGACATAAATTCTTAAAACCACTGATTACAGTGAAACGCCGTTATATATACCTCGCGTTCCTCGCGATCACCGACAACCCACTCAGCAGTCGTTTCAACATGCCCAAGCATTAAACAAAATTACAGTAATTCTAATATAACAGGCTGTGAACATGGTACTCAAATCGAGCGCGGCAGTTGAAGACTAATTTTTGCGTTTCTTGATGATATTTATGTCTTAATTAATTTGAATTTTAATATAGCTGACATTTCTCGTCATTTTTTAATATTACTCTTCGGGCGACAGTTACTCTAGGGCGCCAGGGAGCCGATAACAGTCAAAAATCAAAGTTCACATCCATTGACAGTGGCAATTTCTGAATTTCTGTTTCTAGTTCAGCGGTGAATTAAAATTAAATATGGGGGGAGGAATAGTGGCAGGGAAGATAGCGTTCGTCACAGGTGGGTGGCAACTGGTTGAAGGTAAAAGAGGTGTGCAATATGAACAGTTGGTGTCTTCCCAGATATCCCATTGAACCTATCCACCACACTAGTATACGTAACCAAAACGTTAAAAGATTTATCCAGAATGGCTGAAAATATGTCACTAACCCAAAAGCTGGGGATATAAACTGTAACTTCATACAGGGCTTCCATAAAAAGACATGCCGCCGGGATTCAAGTTATCTCCTCATTAATGTTATGTTTCCATTCTTTTGCTGTTCTACGTGTTCTGGTATAATGTTCATTTTATTGCATCACACCCATACAATCCAACTTGCATGTGTATCTATCTGTACCCACATACACTTGAGTAACTTCTTAAAATTGATCTTAATTTATTTTATCATGTTGCCCCATGTTGCTTGCAGGTGCTGGCAGTGGGATTGGACGTGCGGTGTGTCAGGTCCTGGCTAGGGAAGGAGCAAAAGTCATTGCTGCAGATCAGAATGGGATAGCAGCTCAAGAGACTCAAGGCCTCTTGTCAAGTAAATATGATTTAAGCTTCCATAGACAGTGTTGCCAATTTGCATCCTCCAGTATGGAACAACATTTTTAGTAAAAGCAAACTGTTGGCTTTTGACTGCTTTGTTTGTAATAAATAGACTGTACTGTCATGAAGAAATCATATATAACTATATTACATAGATTCCATCGAATGTAACAATTGACTTGTCATCACTCCTCTTTTATGTGCAGGATATCCTGGGTTGAGATCTAAGCCCACAGACTGGCAATATGGGCTGGGGTTTACCCTCCAGATCGAGCAAGTTCATTTGAGTAGTAATATCCCTAATTATTGATCATTTTGCTCCTGTGTATTTGCTCTGTGAAGTGGGTACTTGTTTTCAGTGTTTCAAAGGTGCATGCTGCTTTACTCTACATGGCGCAAAGTGAGTAGGGTGTGTGCCCATCCAGAGGGAGAAAGGATGGGGGGTGGGGGTGCCGAATCCATGTCAATAGGGACATTAGACGGGTACATGTTATCAAAACCTGGCCTTATGTGGGAAGCTAACTGCTGTATCTTCTGTTTTATCTGATTTGTTGCAGATGTTTGGATTAATGATCACATCTCTGTCACTGTTGATGTGTCCATGGCAGAGAGTGTCAACATGGCTATCAGTGATGTCATCAAACATTATTCTAGGCCTCCATCAGTGGTAGTAAATTCTGCAGGAATTACCCGTGATAACTTCCTCCTTAAGATGGATGAAAAGTGGTTTCAGAAAGTTATAGATGTCAATTTGAAGGTAGTATATTCCATACTCAACGGTTTATAAATGCAGCAGTCACAATTGCAGAAATTACCAATTAAAATGGCTTTTGTTACGATATACATTTTATTAATATTTTATTTTCATTTCAGTTGATAGGAAATGTGTGAGATTAATTTGTATATGTGAAATTTACCTTAAAGTACAGGTGGCAAGAACTTGAGACTTAGTTTTTTAGAAACAAGGTACACATACTGTTTTGCACCACATGTGAGGGAAAGCTGTGTAAGCTTCACAGGACCTGAAGTTCATTCAACAGACATCATATAATGTCCAAACAGCCATTCTTTCTCCTTCCATGCCTGTCCCAGCAGCATCATGGTGACCGGCATCATGGATAAGTATGAACTGGCATTATGACAATTCACACCATTCACACCAAGCAGTGAAGCCATCTACAGACTGTTAAATGTTAAGTGAAACTTTGCAACTTTCTCTCACAGATGGTGCAGAAACAGCATGTGAGTCATGTTTGTAAAATTTTTATTTGAGATCCAAGTTCTAAAGATAAGTTGTGTTTACTGTAAACTTAACTGTATGATCGGTTATGGTTCTGTAAACTCATTTTACAACTGTTTTGATCAAATTAGGTATTAGGATGAGCAAATCAAGGTGAAGAAGATGGGTGAGGCAAATGTTGTGGATGGGAGAGTTGGGAAACGCTTATCAGATGCTATTCAGAAAAACCTGGAGGAAAGCAATCACTTGGAAGACCTTGACATAGATTGGAGAATAATATTAAAATGGATCATGAAAAAATAGTATGCGAGATCGTGGATTGGATTCTTATGTTTCAGGACATGGACCACTGATACGTTCTTGCAATGATGGTAATGAAGCTCAGTTTTTTTGACTAGCTGAATCACTGTTAGCTTCCCAAGAAGGACTGAGCTCCATGGCATTAGTTAGGTACCCCACTGGAACCTTTACTGTATGCTGTTGGACTGCTGTTTAATAATATGTGATTGAATGTTTTGTGGATCTTTGCAGGGTACTTTTCTGGTGGTGCAAACTGCAGTGAAAGCTATGATTGATGCTAAAATCTCTGAAGGTTCCATTATAAATATAGCAAGCATTGTTGGGAAAACTGGCAACATAGGACAGTGTAACTACTCAGCCAGCAAGGCAGGGGTGGAAGCATTCACTAAGACAGCAGCCAAGGAATTCGGACAGTAAGTGTCAAAGCGTCAGTGAGATTTGAGATTTTCAGGGTGCTGAATGTGGAAGGTTGCCACTGCCTTCTGGGATGTAATGCTGTGTTGTTTAGTAGAAAGGTACCAGCATCTGTTCTACCTTGAAGATTGAGGCAGCAGTTTCCCCCAAAACATTGGTAACATTTTACAACACTACTTGGCATAAGATCCCAGAAGACAGTAACATTCAGTGTCTTCCTTTGTTTCTGTTAGTTGCTTTGATGGTTATCTACTGACAGTGTATCATGATTGTGTACTGCTTACTGCTGAATGGGATGGAAGCCACATTTGCAGCATAGTTCTGTGGAGGAGGAAGGAGTGAATTTTGAAATGCTGTGTGTATTGTATATACACGTATGTATGCTTACCTTGCTAGTGCATGCATGTATGGACCAATTTTATTCATATTGTCATGTGCTGGGTGTTTGTCATGTGACAAATAACTTCATGCCATTTTGGATCTTAGCGAATTTATTGTACACTCATTCTTACACTTACACAGTTCACAAAATCATTGTCCCAATTACTTCTTCTGCTGTAGTCACTTCCATTCACTTGATACAACTCAACTCATAGCTGCTCTCAGCAAGTCTTGGAAACCTCTCATCTGTTCTCTTAAAAAACCCCCACCGGGATATGACGCCAGATCCAGAAGGCCACACAGGCCATGACCAACCAACATAACAACCCCCCCCCTCAGCTTACGGGTTGTGCCCAGCCTTTAACCTTGCCTTTCTCTCCCCTACACAAAAATCACGCTTGTCCCAGCTCCCTTCCCCTACCCCTCCCACACTAGTGCTTTCACTTGTATACTTGCCCTTCCCCCCTACCCTCTCTGCTCTCACATAGCTGTGTATATTTCCACACAGTCTGCTTTTACCGGTTCTCACGGTCTCTTCGCTTGCAGATTTCTTATATTTTTTCTTCTACCCTGAAGATGGAGGCGATACGTTCCTCCGAAACGTCAGTTAACACCACATATACACGGTGCCAAATCCCAGAAGACTGCTTTCTTCAACTCATAGCTGCTGGAATTCAACTCATACTGAATACTGCTCTCAACACTCTCTGGTTCTACAAAGTCAAAGTCACATTGCATCTGATGGTCAGTCAGTCAGTAAGTCTTGGTGTCGAGCCCATCTGGGGCTCATAACTAGATATTAATTATTACCATTTGACAGTTATGGTCTTGTTTCTGTGGGGTGCCCTCTCTGACGAGAGGACGGGTCTGTCTTTTGTATATGCTGCTGGCCCTTGCCAGCACAGTCTTTCTTGGGTCCAAGTCCCTTGGGACTCGCAACCATATTTTACTGTCTCAGATTTGAGACTTCCCTTTTTGTAGCCTCCTATGACTCGCAGGGTCACGGTGGAGGTATTCAACCCCGCCTCCACACAGGGTTTCTCTGGTTCTACACTGACGAATACTCCTCGTTATGTAGCTTCCACACTGACAACACAGAAAACAGTTATGTGATAGCTACCACTGTTGTGTGATGTTGTGTTTATCAAGTGCCTAGCAATAGTCTCTGCACGGCCTCCTCTGTTGCTTGACGTTACGGCCTAGTGTGGAGAGGTGTTTACCGAGCGTTGCGTAGTTATGGGATGAGTGGGGTATGTGATGTCACTCGCACCTCCTGTTGCGTAATCCAAGCGTTCACAGAGTTGCCACCTAGCAACACGCCAATACAATCTGCAACTCTCACATTGCGCGCATGCCCCAAGGGCTCGGTGGCTCAACAGTTCCTGCGTAGGCCCCAAAACACAAAATGGCTAATTTTCTTGCTGTAGTTATAATGACATTTAATTAAATTTAGTCATTTATGGAGACCACCATCATAAATAAAACTGAACAAATGGTATACAAGGAAGTATATGCAATGTCTTTCCACAGATTTTCTTTTATATCTCAGATTTGGTATCCGATGTAATGCTGTAGTTCCTGGTTTCATCAGGAGCCCAATGACTGATGCTGTTCCAGAGAAAGTATTGCAGAAGATTATCCCTTTCATAGCAGTGCGCCGCATGGGAAAGCCTGAAGGTGAGTGGCCACACGTTTCAGTCAAGAGATAGGGGAAAGATTGGACCTAACAGTCCTGACGTTGGCAAATAATTGAGGATATACACAAGAAGGAACATTATGATCTGTACAGGTCATATAATTACTCATTTTTGGATTTAATGGTGGTTCAGTTTTGACGCTGATGTTTATTTTGGATCTTTGTACCTTGTGGATATGGGCAATTTTGACTGGCATGTCACTGGCACCTGTTGCCTTCATCTTCAGGACTGTGAACTTCAGCCATGAAGATGGAGGCAGCATGGACCTTTGAAATGTCAGCAACATTGTCCACATCCATAAGGAAGAAATATCCAAGGGTAGAATCAATATCAATAAGTTTCCACTGTAATTTGTATGCATCCTCTCCAGTTTCGGTGATTTTCAGTTCTTTATCCAGTTAGGCATTACCATCACCATCATCAGCAAAAAAAGAATCCAGTGCTGAACCAAAAACGAAGTAGACAAAAATTGGAAATATACACATAATGAAAGAATTTCGGTCTGTTCACTCTTGTTTACTTAATTATGTTGCTACTGTAAGACACTGAAGAACTGCATTCAAAATAAAATGCGAAGAATTCTATCTCTGGCATATAATGCCATACAAAGGTAAAGTAAAGGGATATAATGCCATAGTCTGTTGAAAGTCAACTTATGTTTCGGATGCAACGCGCTCCTCCAAAATGTCAGTCGACTTTCAATGGACTACACAACGTTACATCTCAGAATGTGGATCTCTTCATGACCACTGGTGTGAAAAACCTCAAATCCTATATGTATTTCATTATTTCTACACCTTTTATTCAAAATATTTTTTCACTGTGATAAACATTAGCAAGTTGCGCTCCAGATGGCACAGAAATATCCTTAGGTCTTCACATAAAGTATTCTTTATTTTTCTCTGATTATAACTAAGAATGGAATCTGCTGACAAATGTTAATAAAACCCCCTAAAAATCATATTTAATGAAAATCTTTCATGTAGTTCATGAGTTTTTCCATGCATACAGCCAGAGGAGTTTTAATATGCACTCCTCAGACATGTAAATGCACCTAAAGAAATCAAATTTGTGTTGTTAATGCTTCATATTTTTATTTGAATTACAGAAGTAGCTGAAGTAATTGCCTTTCTGGCTTCTGACAGAAGTTCCTACATAAATGGAGCATCTATTGAAGTTACTGGGGGGTAATGCCTATGTAGTCTTACTACCTCATTTGAAATAAAGATATATATGTATTCTGAAATAATATCACTCCGAAGAACTACTCAGGTTCGACTGAAATAGAACATTTAAAGATAGCCACGCACTGTGTACTGTGACTGCTGATGTAACAGATGTGCTTCCTAAACGTTTTTGTATACATCTCCTATCGTTCATTTATTATATCACAGTTATATTACAGTCTTCCTTGTCTGAGGTATATTTGATATAGGCCTTCACAGTGTATCAGAACTTTGCATCTAACTGGGCATAGAGGCCCATAGGGTTGTGATACATCAAGGCTCCCAAATTTTCTAGACAGTCTGCTCACAGATGGTGGTGAGGTTGTCAGTCTTATGCACCGACCATCCTTTACCCCTAAGAGAATTCATGGTACTCATTTCTGTCAGAGGCTGAGTCGACCCTAGGGCCATAGTGAGGCTGGAACGATTAGGTCAGTTGAACAATCCAATGACCTTATCAGAAACTGAACCCACGATCTTCCGGCTTGTAGCATAATTCCTCAACCAACTGTGCTATTGCTTACTTGTAACTTTTTTTTAATGCTTGTGGGGTGGGACTAAGTCCCTTGTACTGCGGCCACTTCTGGCCTATTGTACCAGCCCCAGATGATAGGCGAGGGTGATTGTGGAGCAATTGGTGGAATGAAGATTGGCATGGGAAACCGAAGTCTCACAGAAATCCTGCCCTAGCGCCACTTTGTCCACCACAAATCCAATTTGACCAGACCCAGGATCAAATCCGGGCTGCTGTGGTGGAAAGCCAGTCACTAACTGCTTGAGCTATGGCGCAGACTTACTTGTAACTTACTTTACTTCACTGTTATCCTGTCTGTACTGACCTATTTGAAGGCAGTGGTGATGAAACCTCCTGTTGGTCATGCCTTAGCTTAGGCAGTTAGTCACCACCGGCTTTTCACTGTGCATAACCTGGCTCATTCCCAGAGTAGTCGATAAGGGACTAGTGGTTGACGAAGTGGCACTGGGTGAGACTTTTCTCCTAGCACTTTGGTTCTCCCCTGCCATTTATTAACTTGCCGAAGTACTGTAGTCATGATCAAGAGCTAATACAGCAATTGCATTTGAGACCAGAGTACAAAAGGACTCAAATCTTATCTCACATATACTAAAACAAAGTACTTCATTATTTTAGACCACTGTGAATATGAAATGCATTAACATCACCTTGGGCCATCAGCTACATTAAGGTTCAGTTAAAATCCAATGTTCCAGAGACCTACACCATTTCATTATCAGGGTTGATATCACTGATTACCCAAGATTTTAGTGCAGTCATGATAAAAGCTTAAGATCTTATATACATCAGACAAATGTTTAACTATAGAGATTAGGGGAATATATTTTGGTGTATGAATTATGTGCAATTAACCCTTTAAAGACTGAATTCCTTTGAAGTAATAAAATTTATATCCAGTTTGTATCTCACAGGAAATACATTATGTCNTATATGGCATTTTTAAATGAGAATGAATATATACCATATGTATATTTTTCTATAAATTTATTTTATTATATCAGTGCAAAGGGACTTGACAATATATACAGTGACCTCCGGTCACTTCTTGCGTTTCAGTCTCTTGGCATGAATGTGAGCTTTGTAATGAGTCTTCCTTCGCTCCTCAATTATCTCTTTGTATCTCCTTTTGTTGTACTTCTTGAACTGTGAATCTGCCAAAAGCTCATCCACTATGGTTTTCTTTCTTTCCTTCTTGGGCACCCTGCTGTGGTAGAAATCTGCAGGGCTGTCAAGCACTTTACCAACCTGCAACCAGCAGTAACTATGAAGAGTGGTCCTCTGGGATATGATAGCCTGTACTTTGGTGGAAGTTTACCACCATTTCAGGAAAGCATACTGCCTCCATCTTCACTGTTGAAGAATAAGCTGAGCAAGCAGCTTGGCTTACTCTTTGACCTCTGAGGATGCAGGCAGTTTCTTACTCTTGAGACGTTCATAAACTACAGAACTATGTGGCATCACATTCCAGAAGACAGTATTGTTAACTGACACATTAAGTTACCACTGTTTTTAATCCATGCAGCCCATTTTACGTTCCACAATCCTGAGGGGCCCTTTCCTGCGAAACAAAACCTACAGAGTGATATTTGAGGTTCTTGCAGTGGTGACTGAAGATTTCTGTCTTCTTAGCTGTGACACCGTGTAGTCTGGTTGGCATTTATCAAACAATAACAAAGCAGCATGAAGACAGAGGTGACATGTTCCATTCACAGTGCTGTTTGACTTTCACCACACTAAACTAGTGTAAGAATCTCAAATCCAATATGGTAATGAATCTTTCGATACTATAAAATGCTGGGAATTTCTTGAGTAGCTGAACAACTGTTAGCTTTTCAAGGATGACTCGCTCTATACAGTTAGTTGCTTAGTTATGATTATATTAATAGACTGTTGTTCATATTGTATGTGGTTCAATCCAAAAGTTCCCGAAATATATTAATAAAAACTATTACATCTTACCTATATCTTATTCTGCACCATCACCTTCAAAGTAGTCCCCTTGGGGGCGCATACACCGATCCCAGCGTTTCTGCCACTTTTCAAATGCATCCTGGAAGTCTTTCTTTGTTAGGGTGTTTAGTACCATCTGCATTTCCGCTTCAATTTCCTCAACTGTATCAAATCTTCGCCCCTTCAACTTGATTTTCATCTTGGGGAAGAGAAAGAAGTCGCATGGAGCTAAGTCTGGTGGGTACGGTGGGTGGGGAACAACTGCCATATCTTGTTTTTAGCCAAATTTCCTGCACAATGTAAGCCGTACGCGGTCGTGCGTTGTCATGGTGGAGTACCCAGTCATTCATGCGCCACTACTCTGGACGTTTTCTCCTCATGTCCTCCCTCAAATGCCTTAGAAAATCGCGATAGAACTCTTTATTGACTGTCTGACCAGGAGGGACGAACTCCTTATGAACAATCCCGTCAATATCAAAAAAACAGATCAACAAGGACTTAATGTTGCTCTTGACTTGTCTAGCTTTTTTTTGGCTGAGGTGAAGAAGGGCTCTTCCATTGTGACCATTGCTGCTTGCTTTCAGGGTCGTAGCCATAAACCCAACTTTCGTCACCAGTGACAACCTTCGAAAGAAAGTTTGGATCCTCTTGAAGCTGTTGCTGAAGTTCCCTGCAGACTTCCAAGCGATGCTGCTTCTGTTCATTTTGTGGCAGTCATGGCACAAACTTCACCGCAATCCTCCTCATGTTCGGTTCCTCTGACAAAATTCGTTGACATGTACCATAACTTAGTCCCAAGGTGTTACAGAGGTCTTGGATGGTCAGTCTACGATCTTGCAGAATCAGATCCCTAACTTTCGTGACATTTTGTGGTGTTTTGCCCGTTGATGGCCGTCCCAAACAATCGTCATCATCAGTCAATGTTCGGCCATTTTTAAAACGCTTATACCAGTTGTAAGTTTGTGTCTGGCCTAAACTATTTTCACCAAAAGCTTGCTTCAACATTTGGTGCATTTCTGCAGAGGTTTTCCCAAGCTTGAAACAAAACTTTATACAGACACGCTGCTCTCTCAGGTCAGCCATCGCAAAATCGCAAAGTCACGGAAACACAACAATGGAAATACATTCACCAACAATAAACCCAACCACTCAACTCGACGCCACTTGCCACACTGATTCAAGAAGGATGTGTGAGGAGACACTTAGCGGTATTTCCATGTATTCATAACCATTTGCACGCAAAATTCAAATTTCGGAAACTTTTGGATTGCCCCACGTATAATGTCAGTCAGAAAGGGTATCAGTTCTCAGAAAACCCACAGATGTTTTACTGATCTCTGAATCAGAAAAAGTCAGCAATGAATGTTCTTACCAGTAACGCAAGAGAAGGGTCAATCGAGCCGACAATGCCTCTCGAAGAGAATGTTGCTGAAAACAATTCACTGTAAGCATACTTACTTGGAAATATTTAGGTAACACTTTGAGGTCATTCTTCTTGTAGAAACGTTTTGGATCAAGAACTGATCGCATCCGTATAACCTCTAACTCACTCTTCAGTTCATCAGTCATTTCTGTGGCAGGCATGTTGAACCAGTTGCTTCCTTTAGTGCGCTCTCGTTCTTTCTGTAGAAATAATAAGTAAGTAAGTAAGTGCCATATACATGAGTGTGTTCCTACTGGAAGTAATCTGGCAAGTGCCATGGATGTGACTGTGTATTTTCTCTCATCAGACTGGTTTTCAGTTAAGAAACCAAAACAGGAATAAAATTTTCCTAAACAAACCTTTCTTTTCTTCTGCAGTATTCTGTCACTTTCTTGATACGCTGGAACTGACTCCAGCTTCTCAAAGCCTGGTGTAATGACGCTCTTCCTCAAGACTTCATCAACTTTAGTGAACTTCCGTGCCTCCTCGTTTACCGCCGTACCTTTCTTGCGCATTAACTGAATGTCCAGGTATGTTTCATTTATGTTGTAATCTTCTATATCCTCCTTTCTGGAACTAGAACTAAGAATTCACAATTCTTTTACCTTCTAAAAAGGTTGCATGAATGGGGGAAAGTAGAAATAAAAAAAACCCTGTGATTCATTATTCCAAAGTCATCATACATTGAACCTTACAAATCTTAGGCACAGTCCATGTTTATATATATTGCCTCTGGGTTATGTAAGAGCGGAAGGACGGCAAGGAGTAGCAGGGCAATCACTGGAGCCGCATTGTCAGAGGGAGTTATGCTGACAGTTTTAACTAACCCAGCCACACCTTTCAAACCTTGCCTGATTGGATCTGGTGAAACGTGCAGCGCACTGAGAACGACTACGTCAGAAACAAAAATAGTAGTTGCAATAGTGTCATTAAATAAGCCAATATTGAGTCACCTCAATAATAATACTGATGCAATTATACGCAGGAGTTCTCCACTCTACATAGACTGAGCTACTAACAGAATCATCAAGTAGTCCACAAGTCAAAATGTACATTTTTAAAGTGCAGGACAAACTGATACCTACCTGGAATTTTTATCTGTCTCTTGTCTTTTTATCACGACTGGAAACTTTGGCAGAGGTAAGTCTGAAAAGAAAAATTCAGGTGATCATAAACGAAACTGTCGTCTCCACCTCCATTTCAGGGCATCAGAAATCTTCCTGTTTGCACTTCAGCTTTCCATCATTTTCTTGCATGATCAATATTTTGTATTCCTCTTGGGGCACAACAGAATGAAATGATATGTAATTATACATTGTCTGCAACCTCCTCCCCATCCCAAATGATTCCATAAATTTGGGTCCCCAAGAATGGGTCAGTATGATTTGATGTTCTCATAGTAGTGACTATGAGAAGTGTGATCTTGTGGGTTGTAATGCCACCTGCTTCTCCTCATTTCTTGCTTGGCTAACTTTTGAACCCTGAAGATGGTTGTGGTATGTTCATCAGAAACATCAGGCTGTCTGCAGAGTATGTGGTGCTAAAATCCAGAAGACCATATTTTTCAGTAAGTCAATATCTCACGCAGCTTAAGGTTTCCATATTTGTTGTATAGGGTGAACTCTTGCTTATCTGGGGGTAAGAGAGGGAAGATGACCACCTATGTGGTCTAGTGGTCAGAGTACCTGGCTACAGATTGAGAGGTCTGGGTTCGATTCCCGGTGCTACCAGATTTTTTTCTGAGAAGTAGTGGGTCTGGAGCAGGGCCCACTCAGCCTCATGACGATAACTGAGGAGCTATTTCAAGGAAATAGCGGCTCCGGTCTAGAAAACCAAAGTTAACGGCCGAGGGGATTCATTGCGCTGACCACACAACACCCTCTATCCACAAAAGTTGGCACTAACTTCACCAACCGGCATTCACTCGGTTGGTATAGTTCTCTTGCGGACTAAAATCACAGAGTAAAAAACAGAGGGAAGTGGCAGCATGGACAATTAAAAACGAACAGATAATCCAAAAATCGAAATGTCCATTATCCATGCTGCTACTGGCTACTAAACGGTGAGACGAATATCTTTCCGGTATGTACAGCGTATTGCAAGGGGGCAGACGGAGCATAGTTGATTGAGTCATTATGCTAGAAGCCAGAAGGTCGCGGGTTCGATTCCTGATTAAGTCACTGGATTTTTTCAATTGACCTAATCCTTCCAGCCACATTATGGCCCTGGGATCGACTGAGCCTCTTATTGGAAATGAGTTCCAGGAATCATTCTGGGGGTAAAAGGCGGCTGGTGTGTGATGCTGACCTCACCGCAACCTGTGACTGTCCAGAAAATGTGGGAGATTTGATGTCTCACAACCCTATGGGCCTCCACAGCCTGTTACATGGATAGCTTTACCTTTTCCTTAACAGTGTACTGCAAATCACTGTAAAGCATCACTGATACATGTTACTGAAGCACACATCATGGACAACACTTCAGTCATGACAGGAAACTATAATCAATAAATAGGGGCTGGAGTAGCTCAGTCAATACAGTGACAGGCCACAAGCTAGACAACCAGGACTCAATTTCTGGCAGGGGCATGTGATTTCTCTCTACTCCACAGAGTCAAAACCGGCTCTGGGGCCCACCAGCCTCCTATCCCATCAGTATTGCAGGCTCTTTTCCCAGAGGTTAAGTGGCTGGGGTGTGAAGCTGACCATTCACCTCCATCTAGTGCCAAGGTTAAGACTGGTGGAGTTACACTTCCACTCCCCCATACATCTTCATGCCATGGGACTTAATTAGGTACGTGGACAACTCTGCCTTTTATAAGAAGAAACACATAGGTCCAAAAAAGAGTTCCACAGTTAATCCACAAAGCAGATCAGTGATGGTTATCTAATTAATTATGCCACTGCAGAAGTAATGTCAGTTACAAATAAAAGATGTAACAGAATGCAAAGAAAAAATCTTGTTCTCATGCCAGTAACTAAACCGTGGTCAACAAGTCCAGCCCTGCTCATGTACCTGACCTGTCACAACTCATTTTAGAAATTATCAGGAACTGATGAGATAATACAGTATATAATTTGCACATAAAAATCTCTTTAAGACTGAAAGATTAAACTTCATTTCCTCACAATATATTCATTATGGTTATGAAAACCCAAGTAAAGCGAAAATTGGAGGGCGACGTTCATTACCGCATCCACACCAAATAGGGTGTAGAAATAAAATTTGCTCCTCTGTGCCAAATTTTCTCGTGAAACATTTACTGCCATATGTAGTCTCTTTGCCGTGTCAGAGTAACAAGATCTCTTTTTAAGTAACTGAATGATACTTGATGACGACATAACACTGTAAACGTTAAGTATATTTAATGAAAATCATATTACCTGTTACGCAGTTGTCGTCACTTTCATAGTCAGTGTCAAGGTGTTCGGTATCCCCTTCTTGACCCAATGTATCCACTTTGAACAAATTGCGACGAACGGCTGCGTAATCGCTTTCATCATCATCAGAGGTACATTTTGTATCATTCTTACTTTCTCGACCAGTTACGTCTATTCTGAACAATTCATTATCATTTTCTTGCAAATTAATTATGTCGTCTGTAAATGAGTTACTTATAATTCCACACGTTTTCTTGGGGACGTCTTCACTGCCTTCCATATCTACTCTTCTCTGAACTTCAGTGTTAAAACAGTATTCCCACAAATCACAAATAAAACAATTATTACGCACTACCAACAACTCTAATGTATTTCCTCTTGTTTAGTACTGGTAGAAACACACAAATACAATTTCATAAGTTTTAGGTTAGTGAGTTACTTATGATACGTGGTTTGGAAGCTTGATCACTGTTGCCAACATTATCGTTTGCGTTCCACCAAACTTAATGATCTTCAGCTGCTTTGAAGCTATTAACTGTCCTTGCCTCTAAGGTTTTAGTGTTACACAAATGAAACACAATCATTTCGCCCTGCTCCTGGCCCTTATGAGTACCTTGTGAACTTGTGAGCCATTGATCGCATGTTTTGCAGCGTGTCTTCTTCTTTTCTTTTTTTGGTAAATACAAAAAAAGGCATAGGCATTTTGCAGCGTATACTCTTTCCTGTGCAATTGTGCCATCTGCAGTTTAGACGAACAATTTCATAACTGCAACAGGTGTTCCATCTCAGTCATTCTTCCGTATTTTGTAATCGACTAAGATCGATCCGGGCGAGGTTGCATGTACGCGATGAAGATTTTCGGCATGCATAAAGGAACCCGAAGGTTCATAATCGTGTTCACAAGACGCTGCCACTGTTTGCTATTCTAAGCTGCTTTAATCTAGCCTGTGTTCAGTAACACCTTATTCCCTCATTTACGCGTAAGTTTTCTATCCCTTCAGATTGTCTGACCAAAACTTTGTATGTATCTGTAATCGTTTGAATTTGTGCTATATTCCCCGCCCATCTCATCATAATTTGGTCATCCTAGTAATGTTTAGTGAACAGCACACATTGTGTTCTGAGTCCGCGGAAAAAGTCCCATAGATTGATCCCCCTTCCACATCTTCAAGTAGTTTCGTATTCCTCTCCAACGTATTTCCCCCCTGGTTCTCCTACCCGCCTGCTGTCTAACCGCTCAGTTCCTACGAATGTTACTGAGAAGCAAAGTTGTCCTTGTGCTTAAATAATTAAGCACTACGCCATGAAGACTTTCATGGGGGAGTGGATATACAAATCCACTTATTCTTGACTCTGCACTGGCTGCAGATGAGTGGTCTGCTTCGCGCCCTGGTCGCTTCACCCTCAGTACCCATTGGATAGGAGGCCATGTGAGCCCCAGAACCGGTCTGGACGACGTGGAGAGCAGAAAAATCTTGCCTCTACCGGCATTCGAATTCTGGCCCCTCGGTCTTCCAGCCCGTAGCCAGCCGTTGTACCGACTACGCTATCCCTGCTCCCCGTGCGAATGTTACCGGCCTGGTTTCTATACCTGGGCTCTGGTTGCGCACGAGAACTGTGGCAAGAAGTGGCAAGGCAGTGGTTGCAGCTGTATTGCAGGAGGAAGGGAAGGTGACGCTATTGTTTTACTGACTGGTGCAGACCCTACAGTCTCTACCTCAGTTAATGGACTTAACCAAATCGACTCAGCCTTCAGCTGAGATCGGCCAGCTCTGAAGTTGTGGAGAGTTCAGTATTCATTTATTTGTTGTTTATTAAACGATACTGTCAGTATCTCAAGCTGTGTAGTGTCAAATGGCAGGACGATTTAATGACTAATGAATTGGAAAGGACGTGGAAGGTAGTGGTCGTGGCCTAATCGAGGCTCTGATTAGGCACTTTCCTGGGTTACTGGGGTATACCGCCTTAGTCAGAGTAGTACGTGTCCCGAGATTCGAACTGAGCACATCCCGAGAAGTCAGAAACATTGCCGCTTGAGCCACTCTGCTCGGTTCGCATGAATATTGGTAGGCATAACCAGGCGATTGCCTACTTTGGGCTAAGTGATATGGGTTCTCGTGCAATCTGGTGGATTGTCAGCACAGTTTCGGAGGCACTTTCTGCCTCCATCTTCACGGTATAAGAGTTTGTGACGCCATATTGTCTGATGGATATTTACTATCGTTTTTTAGGAAACTTCGCTTTCATATTCAGGGTAGGAGAGGGGATGTGAAACCGCGTTTGCTGGTAGATCGTGTCCAACGTTTCGGAGGAAACGTCTGGCTCAATCTTCAATGTACAGGAGGTAGCAGGTTCCTCCGAAACGTCTGTAACTAGGTGGAAGACTACATGGTGGCACGTCGCAGAAAACAGCAATCTTCGCAGTCACTGGCGTGAGAATCCCAGATCTCACAGCAGTCACTTTTTGATGATGGGTTTTATTTTCAACCCTAGACTCTCTAACAGGAGCGACATTGCTGCCAACACAACACTCCTTTCAGTTTTGACGCGTCAGATGAATGCAGTTCCACATATTTCATATCGTGACATGATTTATATCGCTTTTCATGTTTCCTACATCAGTGGTCTGAATAGATTCCATTCCCTTTGGAACCAAAGAGAGTGCTAAAGCAAGCAATTACTTTTTCTCTCTTCCATGTCGTTTCGTTAACGGTGCACTGTACGTAGGTTATGTAGAGTTATGCTAGGTTAAAGCAAAGCATAGTATAACAGTTCTAGCACATTTACTCCCTTAACATTAATTACTGTAATACTTACAGAAAAGCATCTTGGATATGAAATTTGTGTTTAATATTTCCCTATACCGATCGTTCGAAACATTTTTCGCTTCTATAAATATTTACCGGCCGGTCACGGTAGCCGAGTGGCCTAAGGTATGTACTGTCTTCGCTCGCTTGGAAACCGGAATCGTGGGTTCGAATCCCACTCAGGGCATGGATGTTTAGTTTGTTTGTGTGCGTTTTTATGTGTTTGTGTACAGGTAGAGGCCTTGCGACGAGCTGATCACCCGCCCAAGGAGTCCTACCGAATGTGTAAGATAAAAAAAGACCGAAGTGAACGGAGAAGTTCATGGAGGTAGGCCTAGGCCCACTGGGGCTGTAGTGCCAAGGAAAAAAAATATATTTACCGAGTCACAATCGAGATGCACGCAAGAATGCGAGTTATCCCTGTCCATAATTAAGCACCACGCCGTTAAGACGTGTGGTGTGGAGTGGAGATATAGCTCCATAATTCTTGACGTCGGCACTAGATGGAGGTGAGTTGAAAAGAAAAATCTTTTGCCCCAGCCGGAAATCGCACCCCGGTCATCCAGTCCGTAGCCAAGTTTTTTTTTATTGCTAATGGGGTGGGACTAAGTCCCTTGTACTGCGGCCACTTCTGGCCTATTGTACCAACCCCAGATGATAGGTGAGGGTGATTGTGGAGCAATTGGTGGAATGAAGATTGGCAGGGGAAACCGAAGTACTCGGAGAAAACCTGCCCCAACGCCACTTTGTCCACCATAAATCCCACTTGACCAGGCCCGGGATCGGGAAGCCAGCGACTAACCGCTTGAGCTATGGCGCGGCGTAGCCAAGTAACTATATCGACTGAGTTCAGACCCCAGACGCACTGTGAGGAAGAACAAAGGAAGAAAGACGAGAACAATAATAAGAAGGAACAGTAGGCGACGGAAGGGAAAAGGAAAGTAATAAAGATGATGAGGAAATGGGGGAAGGGGAGAAGGAGTCGAAAAGTAAAAAAGTCGGAAGAAGGGGGCAGAAGAAGAAGAAAACGAGGAAAAGAAGTATTGAAGGAGAAGACAGAGGAGAAAGATAAGTATGGGGAGGAAAAAAGGAGACGAGAGAGACGAAGAGGAAGATATGGCAAAAGGACAAAATAGGAAGGAGAATTATTGTCTTTTATGTCAGGTCCAAGACGCCATCTTACGACACAGCTGACTCCTTCCTGAGGACGTGAATTATAAAGGACCATTATTTTCTTCATGCCCGCACTTCCGTCAGTATGAAAGCAACACTATTCAAACTACTTAACCGATTTTCGTCGAACTCTAAATAGTAGGTCTGTAAAAGGAAAAAGGTGAAGCTATCCCTGTAACAGGTCGTGGAAGCCCATAGGCTTGTGAGACGTCGAGGCTCCCACATTTTCTAGACAATCGGCTCACAGATGGCCGTGAGGTTGTCAGCCTTACGAGCTGGCCGGCCGCCCTTTAACCCCGGAAAGATTCCTGGTACTCATTTCTGTTAGAGACTAAGTCCACCCCAGGGCCATAGTGCGGCCGGAAGGATTTATTTGTGAATTTGTATTCTGATTCAGCTTTTAGGATCTGAGATTCTCATAGTGATGTTTGTGGGATATACCGCAGTGCAGTCCGTTGAAGCTGGGTTCAGTTTCTAGGAACAACGCGATGTTATATCCAAGAGCTCTTCATTCAATTTATTTAAATTTAGGGATACTTTGTGTATGGCTATAGATGAACGTTTACGTGTATTTGATTTGTTTCATTCTGGTCCGTCACACTAACAATATCATGAAAAGTTAAACAGTTCCGTCCAGTGTGACTTACTGGACGGAACTGTTTAACTTTTCATGTTTATGTGTATGTTTGTAACATTTTCACATTTGGCAGCTGTATATTATGATGCTTCTTCACTTGATCGAACGCTGGGATCGTGGGTTCGAATCCAACTTAAGGCATGAATGTCTGTGTACCTTTATTCTGTGTGTAGGTAGAGACCTTACGACAGGCTGATCCCCCGTCTAAGGAGTCCGACCGACTGGCTATAGGATCAAGGAACTGGAAAAGCGGTCAAGGCTCAACAAAGGGCTGTACAGCCATGATAATATACTCCGCGGCTTTAGTCCGCAAGCGAACTATACCGACCGCGCGACCGCCTCTTTTCGGCGAAGTTGATGCCAACTTTAGCGGATAGAGGGTGTCGCGTGGTCAGTTGCAACGAATCCCCACGGCCGTTAATTTCGCTTTTCTAGACCGGAGTCGCTACTTTAATAATAATAATAATAATAATAATAATAATGTGATGCTGCTAAGGTAGGCAACCATATCCCGGGCAAAGCACGGGTACGTCTGTTTCTGTATAAATTGAAAGTAAAAAGTATATTGTACCGTGGAGTAGGACCTACGCATTTTGCAAACGAGTTCTTCGCAATTTGCATACATCACTGCTGTTTGTCTTAGTTACTGCTTATACAAACAGATGTCAGGACACTTCAAAAGAAGAGATACGTGTATTTGCATCATACGAAACGCAGACTAAAGTGAGATGGCAGCAAGCAAGTTAGCATAGCAAAAACGCTGCAGACGGGTATTCGGGAAGTCCTCGGTTCGTACCTAGTGAGGGTCAGCAGATATCCTGATTGAGGTTTATCGCTATTTTCCTCAGTCCCTTCAGGCAAATGCCGGGATAGCATGCGGATTAGGTCATAATTGTTTCCTTCCAAATCCTTTCGAATTCGTCATTCATCAGTAATCCTACCATCCGACGCTGTAGGCTGTGATATTAACAGGCGCACGCGCACACACACACTCGGCCCAACTGCATGGTAGAAACGTCCGACTCTTCCGCCTGATTCATCAAGCAGAGTCATAGTCGTCATTACTTACATATCTTCATGAGGTTTCTGATTTACGTCAGTCGATTTTAAAGAAATTAATATAATTCCCTTTGAATTTCATGTAAAGCGCGGATTATTACCGGTCTGGATCAGCATCAGATTAAAAAGCACCCTGATGATGGAGGCAACACTTTCCTCCGAAACGTTAGTTCAACCACAACCATACTACATGGCGTCACATCTCGGAAGTCACTGCCATAAAAATCTCAAGACTCATTGGAATCAGATGAAGAGTTCTGCCTGTGCCACATTTTATTTAAATAAATGGATTGACGGACAGACAGACATGCACAGTCATCTTTACTTGGTTAACTATTTTATTATATTAACTCGTTGAACGACAGTGGTTACTATATGTACCACTCGCTTTAACAATAAAAATTTATGCTTTTTGCGTTCACACTACACGTATATTCTCGAATTTCATAATATTCTCATAATAAAAAGCGATTATTTTCGTGACAACATTAACCGACTGGTCTTTGTAATGGAGGTGTTTTGTCTCCTGTGAGGTAAGAACTGGATTTTTAAATATTATTTAGATATATTTTAGGGTCAATTTGTTTATATATTTTGTGCCGGTAGCGTAGTTAGTTGAGGCACTACGCTACAAGCTGGGAGGTCGCGGTTTCAATTCCCGATTATGTCATTGGGTTTTTTAATTGACCTAATCCTTGCAGCCGCACTATGGCCCTGGGGTCGACTCAACCTCTAACAGAAATAAGTACCAGGAATCTTCCTGGGGGTAAAGGGCGGCCGGCGCGTAAGGCTGACAAACTTACCGCCATCTCTGAGCCGATTGTCTGTAAAATGTGGGAGCCCCGAAGTCTCACAAGCCTATGGGCCTTCACGGCCTGTTACAGGGACAACTTTATTTGTTTTATACAAGGACCCTTCCGGTTTCCACAGACTGTATGAAGTCAATGCATGGATAATAAACAGTGAATTGGAAAAGATGCAGAAGGAATTAATCGTGGCCTGTGTCTAGGTTCTGTCCCGGATTCGGGAGACCACGAATAACTTCATTCGGAATAATCGGTGCCCTGGCCCAGATTCGAAGGAGCACCTCCTGAGTACAAGTCAGAAACATTACCTCTGAGAAAATTTTCTCGGTTTCACTCTTCAACGGTTAAGCCTCTATAAACTGAATTTATTTTAAATAATATATAAGAATTCAGTCCGTACCTCACGTGAAACATTACGTATCCGCTACAAAGCCCAACCGGTTACTGCTGTGTAGGGAAACAGTCGCTGTTTACTGTGAGAACCACACGGAACACAGATACACTCTGTGGGCAGAATGCAGTATATATAAGAATTCAGTCCGTACCTCACAGGAAACATTACGTCTCCGCTACAAAGACCAGCCGGTTGATGCTGCTTTGGGAAACAGTCGCTGTTTACTGTGAGAACCATACGGAACACACAGAAACAATGTGTGGGCAGAATGTAGCGTATTTGTATGTTAAAGCAGGTGGTACATACAGTGAATGGTTGTGTTTAGCTATCACTGGGAATTTAACTTCCATTGCAAAAATATATCCTATGAGTCACAGTTCGAAGTCTGATGGCTGCTGCATATGGCCACCAGAATTAAGCAGGCAAGCTGGAAATGAAACTGTAACTTGTGAGATCTGAGATTCACACTGAGGTAATTAATTACCTTTTGGGATATGCCATAACGTAGGCCTTCCTATTTACTGGTTAGTTTACTCTTCGGACATGAAGATGGAGGCAGTAATGTTCTTCGAAACGTCTGTAAACCTGCACTAGACTATGTGGTGTAACATCGCAGAAGATTATACTCCTCGATCAGTAATTTAGGGACTTTTGTAGCAGGTTCAGTTACTAATGAATCTGGTGTGAGAATGAATGTGTTGGCAGCATTGCTCGACCTGTTCTGCAGCTACCGTACGTTGTACCCAGTCGCGTATCCGCTGCTGCGCTGGATGGCTTCGTGTGAGCCCGGTCTTGGTACCACATGTTGCAAATATTTGCAGAAAAAAAAAATCAGTCACGTGAATTTGTATGCGTGAATCAGTCGTTGTGTATGTGACCTTAGTCAAGTGATTGGTTTATGTGCAGTGATATGTATTGAATAAATATGTCGTGTGAGTGCCCCCGTGCCCTCCATACACCCCCGCCCTCAAGACTCCAACGATGTTTGTTGTGACATATTACCTAATAGCAAGAATAATGGATTATGACCTGTTAAATTGTATATTTTAATGGCGACGAAGGATTTGTAGACGATTATGGGTTGTGGACAAAGTAAAATAGGAATTATATACCCTCGGAAATCAAAAAGTAAAAGCGGGAATAAGCGATCTGGTAAGTGATAATTTAAATTTATACGTTTCCTAGTGCAGAGATGTTATTTAAGCCGAACTTTTTTCGTAATCATTTCATGTTTGACGTGAAATGATCCGAAGAACTACGAAAATCCCCAGTCAGGGCAGTCTGTGTATTGCCCAAGATTCGAACCGGGTACATTCCGAATGCAAGTGACAGATGTTACCATTTGAGTCAAAACAATCTGTGCAAAGACAGTGCACAGGCTTTTTCTTATACTATCGACCTTGACTACTTCACGTTGGTAGCCAAAGCGATTGTTATTCAGTAGGACCACTGTTGGTCGCTTATTATACAGACTGGGGCATATACCACTGCGTAAGCATGTGGGTGCATAGTGCGCGCAACGATATTTTCCTGAAGATACCATCTGTGAGGTTTTAATTAGATAATCTCAATAGTGAAATTTAATCAAAATCGTTAGAAACGTTTTATTTTTGCGGGGTCATATGAGAAGGCCCCTGTTTGCGGGGTTGGAATGTTCAGATTCACCAGGCACCGATATATGATGCATAAACTGTTGAATGCCGAATATAAACAAAATCGGTCTAACCACTCTGACACTTCAAAGCCACATTATAGGCCTACGGACAGAGAGACAGACAGACAGATGGAATTGCAGAAAACACTTTTTCATATTTAAGGGGCTTGAAAAGCCCAGCAAAGTTTTGAGATAGGTTTTTGCACAATTGCAGAACTTTCTCATGTGTACTACTTATATGAGAAAGTAACGAGAAGAGAGTTGAGCGTGGACTTGTGCTGTTTTTGCACTGCACCAGGCAACATGTTACTGTAGATTGTTTATATGTAACATTAACATTACGCAAAAAAGTAACTTACAACAACAGAATTTCAGGAAGTTTGCAGGGGAAACCCGAAGGGAAGAGACCGCTTGGGGGACCTGCGAGTAAATAGGATAATATTAAAATGGTTTTTTGAAGAAATAGGTTATGAATGTGTGTATTATATTTATCTGTCAGAATAGGAACTGATGATGTGCTGTTATGGACACTGTAAAGAACCATCCGGTTCCATAAAAGACAGAATTCCTTGACTAGCTGAGCGAGCATTAGCTTATCAAGAATATTTCAGTTGCATTGAGACACTGATGGCTACATGCCCTTTAACTTCCAGGCTCTGCATGAGAACTGTAAGTGTAACGAAGATATATCTTTCATTTGCATTCTACTAAATACTGTACAAGAGCCGGGATTGCTCAGTCGGTATAGCGACGGGTTGCTGACCGGATGGCCGGGTTTTGATTCCCGCCGGGGGCAAGAGCTTTTCTTTACGCCGCAACATCCAGACCGGCTCTGGGGCCCACCCAGCCTCCTGTACAATGAGTACCGGGCCTCTTCCCACGGGGTTAAAGCGGCCAGGACATGAGGCTAACACCTCCATCTAGTACTGAAGTCAGGAACGTGGAGCTATACCTCCATTTCGCTACAATTGTTCATGATAACTTAAGCACAAGGACAACTTTACTTTCCTTACATTATGAAAAGAGACCTACAACCAGTTTTGAAATAAACCTTACTTAATCGTGTAATTTTCTTTCAGTTTTTTCTGTGCGTGCTAGACGACAAAGGGGTCGGAGTTCGAGTCCCGCTGGAGGCAAGAATTTTCACTTCTCTTTGTCGTCCAGACCGGCTCTGAGGTCCACCCAACTTCCTATCCAGTGGGTACCGGGGTCTCTTTCCCCGGGGGTAAAGCGGCCGGGGCGTGAATCTGACTCACCTACAACTAGTGCCGAGGTCAAGAAAATGTCGATCTATACATCCACTCCCGCTTACGCCTTCATGGCACAGGGACAGCTTTACCTTACCGTTCGGTTGAGTACTGTGGTGGCAGTAACGGCAGAACTGATGAATTCGTGGGCACGTACGGAAGTGAACACGATTGTGACAGGCGAGGAGCTCGCTCTTTGTCAGGAATGCGGTTGCTTCCCTTGCCCGTATCACAGCACACCTCCATAGCAGCGGAAGCCTTCAGGACGGACAACATTCAGATTAAGAAACTAAATGTTAATTAATGTAATTAACAACATCTGAATCATTATTCGAAATACGTTCGAGAACTCTACCGCAGTATTTGCACATCGTTGTAACAGCCGTGGCCGCCGTACGTATTATTAAAAATATACAGTAAAATTCATAATATATTTGGGTGTTCCGTGTTAGGAGAGGAACGGTAACTTTTGAGACGTTCCCAAGTTCCAGGCCCTTCTCATGCAGCCGTCTTGATATAAATTTTTCAAAATTAAACGTCTCTGCTGCTGTAAACGCTACCAGATTATATTTTTTTCCTTGTGCCACAAGCCGGAAGGCCGCGGGTTCGATTCCCGATGAGGTCGCTGGATTTTTCAATTCTTCCAGTCGCACTATGGCCCTGTGGTCCTCTCAGCCTCTAACAGAAATGAGTACTGGGAATCTTCATGTGGCTAAAAGGCGGTCGGCGCGTAAGGCTGACAACGTCACCGCCATCTGTGAGCCGATTGTCTAGAAAATGTGGGAGCCTCTACGTCTCATAACCCTATGGGCCTCCACGACCTCTTACAGCGATAGCTTTACCTTTTTACCTTTATAATTCGACTAATTATGACAATGTAAATTCCGCGGCCAATATCTGAAGCCATTACTTCGAACCATCCCAACTTTCACACTCTCCCTGTCAGAAGGACTAGCGGGCGAGTCCTGGGAGCATTCTAACGAAATTATTCACCTTCTGACCTCACACTGAAGTTTCTGTCAATCTTTCCACTACTTTCCCTTTCACTCGCACCCATACTCTACTCCTTACCTCTCTCTTTCTCTGTAGCTAAGTTCGGAGCTCTGTCCATCTGTTACACATGGAGCAATTAGAGCAATTTTAACGCGGTAGCGTAGTTGGCTGAGAAACTATGCTACAAGCCGAAAGGTCGCGTGATCGAATCCTGATGATGTCATTGGATATTTTTCAATTGACCTAATCCTCCCAGCCACACTATGGCCCTGGGGTCGACTCAGCCTCTAACAGAAATGAGTACCAGGAATATTCCCGGAATTTTCTTGGGGGTAAAGGGCGGCCGGCGCGTAGGGCTGACAACCTCACCGCCATCTATGAGCCGATTGTCTAGAAAATGTGGGAAACTCGACATCTCACAACCCTATGGGTCTTCACGACCCGGTACAGAGATACCTTTACTTTTACTTACTTTACTAGTGTGTCATTTGTAGTCGGTACATAAACCGGCTAACAATTGATGCGTACCGGCAAACTTGTCAGAAGTGGTCCATTGTAGGTGTCGACCTGGAGTGTTGACTGTTATGTGTACCGGCAGACACGCTTTTGTTTTGTAAAAGAAGACCGCCAGTTATTGTAATGCGAGCTATATGTATACAAATTATTCAACTTGATTATAAGCATGTAGCACGAAATATATGAGAGTTATTGTGAGTGACGGGTAGAGTTAACGTTGAAGAGTTCCATCTTCTGGGACATAACGTTGTACAATCCATTGAAAATCAACCGAAGTTTCGGAGGAATATGTCGCCTCCATCTTCAGGGTCTGAGAATATTTCCGTATTCCGTATTGAGGGGGTGAGTTTCCCTATGCACTTAGACCGGTTACTGGTCCATTGTGCGTCCCCCTTTTAATTTCTACTGTCTCCATACCCTACCGGTACTGGTGCTTACTATCAGCCCCTTTCTGCCAGCGAGGTTCCAACCTCTTACTGGCAGTGGTATCTAATAGTTAGTCCCTTTCTGTCAGCGAGGCCGTCCCTCCTCTGGCAGGGGTTCCTAGTCCCTTTCTGCCAGCAAGGTTTCTACCCTCTACTTGGCAGTGGTATCTAATACTTTAGTCCCTTTCTGTCAGAGAGGTCCCCCCTCCTCTGTCAGTGGTACCTGATACTTCCCCCATCTACCGGAGGAATTGGAAACTACTTGGGCGGGAAACTTGGCTTAATTTTGCTCAGAGGTCTCCTACAGACATGAGGTTCTTTTGCGTGCCGTAAATCTACGACACGGGACCCACGGCTTAAAGTCCCTCCCAGAGGACTTGTTCCCTGAATTTTTCCGCCCTTAAAGTGTCTGAGAATAAGTCAAGCAAGAAAAGAGAGTGAAGCGGGTGTCAGGCTCTAAAGAGTGATTCGGCTCAGTATAGTTGGTTGAGTACAGAGTCGCCAGTTGCTGATTGTGGAGCCTCGGATTCAGGCCCAGGTCAGTCCTCCTTGGATTTGTTTTGGATAAAATGGCGCTGGCCCAGGTGCTTTTGCAAGGATTGCTCTTTTCCCCTGCCAATTACCATTTCATCAATGCTCCATTCTCTCGCCTACCATCCGGTACTGGTACAATAGGTCCATTTGCGAACACATTAACAGTGAGCTCAGCCTCGTCTCACCCACAGGGTAAAGAGAAAGGAATAATGGGGGCTCTAAATCTCCTTTCCTACTATTTTTAACAAAAGCCTTCTCCTGTACCCATGGTTCCATTTGAATGTGTAATTTATGTTGCTAAAAAGCTACGAATAGCTCTGAAGGATGCTGTCTTCTTGGGGTTGACCCTATGTAGCCTGAAAGATCTTTACAGACGTGTCGCTGAAAAATGCACTCCTGAAGATGGAGGTGTCAGGTACATGCGAAACTTTGGTAACGATCTACCAGACACGATGTCATACCCCAGAAGGCAGAATTCTGTCAGTCATGGCTGTGGGAACCTCGCATGTCCCTCGCATGCTCAGTTCTACATGCGGAGACATAGCAGAACAGTTTTCTTGAATGTTCTCATATAGGACTCCGTTTCAAGTCATCATTTCACCGGCTTCTTATCGCGGCGATCCGGGTTTGAACCAAGGTCAAGTCATATGGGACTTGTGTTGTAAATTATGTATAAGAATTCAGTCCGTACCTCACAGGAAACTCTACGTCTCCGTTACAAAGCCCCACCGGTTACTGCTGTTTAGGGAAACAGTCGCTGTTTATTGTGAAAACCGTACGGAA